GTGTGAAAACACGTCGGTGTGCAGTGAGCTGTTTCTGTGTGATTCCACTTTACATCCCTCCAAACACTAATGAAACACTGACTAATTAACCCAACCAGTAAAAGTTTAACCAGCCTCAGTGTGAACGCACTACAACACCTCCGCCTAAAAGAAACTTTCCTTTTTACATTCTCTGAATAAACATCTTGAGGATGATCACAGAGATGAGAAGAAGGCGTAAATCTGTGATTCTGTGGGAATAACAGGATTATTTTGAATCAGTAACGGATGACTTTCTGTTGTTTCCAGCTTTCTGATTCTACTTTCGCTTAAATCTCTAATACCTTTTGAATCTGTGCAAAATCCTAATTACTATGAACACAATCGCAATCAAAAGACCTAAATAAAAGACATTAAAATACCCCGTTTTATTGGCTCTTGCATCTATTTCTGGTTCGATCAATTTCATACATTTAAAACATTAGAGCAGCTTTTATCCACCCTGTGCACCTGGTCCTCCCCCCGTGACAGCTCAGATAGCCTTCACGACCCAAAATGGTGGATTTATGGATGTAGTGATTTGGAATAATTTATATTAGAGCCATTATGTCTCGGTTACATGCTTAATTCTGCTTCACACAAGTCACAGAAGGGTCCAAATACATCCGTAGTAATTATTCTTTGCTAACTCAGACCTGTAGGGGGCACAGATGCGTGGTCAGTCCAGCATGTGAGCCCCCGTCCAGCAGCTGCAGGGTCACATGTACGGATGCACCCAAGGCCACGTGCATGATTCTTTAAGATGGCGCTGCTCATGCCTGCCCTCATTCAAATTTAATCCCAGATTAAAAGGTCGTGATGGCAATGTTGAGTTACATCATTGCATCTATAGCTCTGTTCCAGGTTTTCATTTTCCTCTTTGATTAACTTATTTTCTTTATTGTTGTTGTTCGTGGCTAAACAACAGCCTCCAGAGGGGGCATTCTTGAATGTGCGCAGATGCATTTACTGTTTGCAGGAACAAAGTGATGATGGGAAAATTTATGCAAAATTATTTTGAATATTTAGGTGAGAAAGAAAAAAAGGTTGAAACAAAAAACACCATAAATCATTGATTGATCTTTAGACTACGTTGAGAGAATGTTCTGAGTGCATCAAAATAGCTCTGGTGAGCTACTACAGCAGATTTGTTGTTATTCTGCTGTGTCTAGCTTAGGGAGCCTGAGGCTCGCCCATCTACTTCCAGAAAAATGAATGGGAGTCTATGGAGTTATAAAAATTGTTCTCTGATCCCGTTTGATATGCGCCATGCATAAGATCCGTGACTTTAAATGACACATTTTGATGCCAAGAAGGCAGCAAAAGTTATTTTAGGTTTAGCGTGGAAAGGTGTAACGGAAAGCAAATGTTTGTGTCACCATATTGACATCAAGAAGAGAAGATTAGTTTAGTTTAGCGAGCTTCACATCTCCCAGATGTGGAGAACACCACTGTAAATCTGGCCATATGGTAGGTGGCAGCTACGCTGGGGAGAGGAGATTCTGCTGTGACGTCATTTATGCAACACCTGATTTGTAGTCATTTTAATTACCAACTTTACAAGCTAATACATCTTGAATCACCGCTCTGTATAAAATGTGCTCTACAGACAGAGCTGCCTTGCCTTAAATTACAAAACAGACATAGTTGAATACTTTTCATTTAAAGAGCAACTAAACCCCAAAATAATTTGTTTTGCATTCAAACTGTATTATTGGATCTTTACAAATGTAATCTTTCCGTTTCCGTGCATTTTTTGACATGTTTGTGTAAACTTGTTTAAATCTAGAATCTAGGTGTGAAAATGTCTCAGTGCTGCCCCCCTGTGGCAGAACAACGACTACTGCATTTCAAACTTGTGATTGACTGGGGCTGCTGCAATTTCACGTCATCGGCACAGTCTCCTCCCTCTTCCCCTCCCTCCCAGGAGGGAAATTCCCCCACTTAGCCAAGCCTCTTCCGTGCCACCTGGCAATGCCCACTTTCATAGCATTTTTAAAATCTTGACTAGGGGGTGGAGTTACGTTTTCTGGTGATGGTGTGCAGTCCCTCTTTAAGTTGAAGTACAACATGTGTGATTCAGGATGTAAGGCAAAGCAGTTTAGAAAATAGCTTTTGTAGCCCCGTTTGACTTGCATTTGTTTTTTGTTCCAGGGACCCTTCAGCTGACCGGAAGAGGAGGAGATTGCTACTTATTGGCAGTTCTAGGGGTGGGGTCAAAGGAGCATTGGCCCCTACTGAAACCTGATTGGCCCTTGAAGTGACCCTGTCAAGTCATTCGTCTATCCCTTTGCAATAATCAGAACTGCTTTCAAAATGAGAACATTCCTTCTCAATGGGACCTTCCTGGTTAAATAATAAAATTGAAGAAATGCACTCCTCGATGTCAAATGGTTTTATTGACAAGGATGAAGGAGCCCTGCGGCGACATACAAAGCTGAGTGAGCAGAAGCTAACGGCAGCGTGAAGCAGCAGCATGGGCTGAAGACCAAAGCTAAGCAATGCGATAAAATGGGTAAATAAATGCAGCACGGCTTAGCGTGCATACTGACAATGTAACCGTTACATTAGCTTAACAAGCAGGTGAAGACTTACAGATACAAGTCGAACAGTAGCATGGATAGACAGCAGTGTGATGGTTGAGCAGCAGTAATCCAAATGAGAAGCAGCAGTACGTACAGTGAGGCATCGTCACATGTACGTGACTTCAGGCACGTCCGTGAATACCCCTTTTTTCCCCCTCGAGGCTTGATTGCAGCACAGGATGCTATTACAAATCCAAACACTAGTGCTAATGAACCAAATGGAAATTTGGTTGAATTTGGTTTGTTTCACTAAAAACGCTTTAATCGGATACAATTTGTACTTAAGTATCTGTACTTCTGAAATATCTCACAGGCTGTTTTAGTTTGGTCTATGCACAGTACAATGTGGATTGGGTGTAAGGATGTTGGACAAATACTTGGCCCCAAAATTACCGTGGCCCTTTAAAGCCCTGAGCTCAGAGAAATCTTAGATCCACCACTGGTCTGGCAGGAATCATCCCAACTGTTCCAGGAAGGTGTTCGCATCCTTGCAGGTACATGATGCAATCATTTATTGATCAGAACAGAAATACTGGATCAAAGAGAACCCTGATTTACTAAAGGATGAAAACAATGTGAAAGGAATTGAAAAATATCATGGTTTAAGGGATATTTAGCATTAATTTCCTTAACATCTGAGATTATATAAAAAACTAAAAGAACCTCCACCTATGAATGGCTTTCTTGGAGGATGATAATGTGGCAAGTGGCAGTCGTAACAAATAAATTAAAGGTTAAAAAGGTTGCAACAACGCCACCCTGGGTTATCCCTCCAGGGAAGTGTAGAATAAAGGCCTGTAGGTTCAAAAATCACCAGGGGAACAGATGGGAGTCTTTCCATTAAAAGAAATTTTATATTTGAACATTTAAGCTAAAAACCACATAAGGCGGAGTTAAGTGCCCCGAGTCCAATTATCACCAGTTAGACCACAGGAAGTAACCATTTTGGGCCTAGGGCCAACAAATACTAAATGAAGTTCAATCTACACAAATTAAACACACCAAATAGTAATAATGAAACAATTGAAAAATATGACACAGGATACTTCCTTTTAAGCCTGTGGGTTTTCTGGTGGTTGCTCCGGCGTCCGACACCCAACAATTCATTAACACAACCCAATGTAGATGAAAACAGATCAATACAGACGAAACAGCAGTGATGCAGCCCTCTGGGACACCGCTGGCTCTGAAGATGGAATTGGTCGTGGCAGGACTGTGAGAGATTAGCAGAGGGGCCGGTGTACCGCCGCCGACGTCAAGCGCTCCCCTGATCTCGGTTGGAGCACTGTAGGCAAAGCCGGATGACGAAGCGGCGCCTCGGGCAGCCTCACTGCAAACAAACAAAACTGACATGGTCCCCCTGGATCAGCACAACCCTCCCCAAGCTGAGGCGAGGACTCAGTCGTTGCGCCGCTGGATCGGATCAGCCTTCAGACAGCTGGCACACCCGCACGGGCAGAGAGCTGCCAAGGAGTACCTGGATGCAGTGTTAACCCTCTAACCTCATGCACAGCTCCATTCTGCAATCACCCGCTACCAACAAATTGAGACGGAGAAATGAGCATGAACTAACGCCGCACCGGCAACACGGCTGGAGTGAACTTACGATTGCAGCTTGCAGTTGGAGTTTGAGTGTCTCATTACCCCGGCACCTGAAGTGCCATACCAGAGCTGTCATGCTGAAATAGCAGGCAGCTGCCTTTTATTAGATGACTCACCCCACCCTGCAATCACTCTAATGTGAGCCACCTGGCTCTTTACTGGGAGGGGACCAGACAAGATCTGTCTGTCCCATCACAATAAGAATATTAAGATGTACTTCTGCATTTCTTCTCCATCTTGGTTGCTGTGCCTAACAAATTATTATAAAAAAATCCCTAAACCCTTTGATGTTTACCTAAATATTAAAAGGTATATTAGGAGATGGGTTTGGTCTGAACCATTATTTAAAACATAATTCAATTCTCTAATCCTAGCTGAAGCCGGAGCAGTTGTGGCATCACGTGATCTTGCTCAAATGCTACACAGCCAGAGGCTATAAGTTCAGTGTTTACTGATGCTGCCTCAAACATATGCCCACATCTGGCTCCTCTTGATGGGATCATTTGCATCCTCTCACCATCATGAGATCAGACCTGAGAGGCTGGAGTAGGTTAAAGGTCCTACATCGTATAAATACAGGCAACAGGTCATCTAGTCCGAATGACTGGTTGCATTATCTGCCATCCCCGCCCCGTGCGCCTCCAGTTTGTAGGTTACCGAAAGATTTCACCACCCACAGAAAAGAAGATTAGAGAGGAATTAATGGTATTCCTTTGTCATTATAGCAACAAATTGATATTTGGTTTTAAATCAGAGGGGTGGGGACAGTGGGAGAGTCGGAGCAACGTGTTGCGTCAGGACACACATAAGCAGTGGGATGGCACGGTTACAAGCAAACTCTAGTCAGGAGGATGCTCGTGCACAGGAGCTGAGCGCTGGACGCCTCCATGCTGCAGGAGGTGACACTTCAGGATAACACAGAGATGATCTGGTTTATGCGTGGCTGGGCAGTATGAGTGGGACATGAATGTGCCTGTGGAGGACGTGGACAGCTGTGGCACTCTCCGGGTGAGACTCTGACGAGTGAGAGGGACGTTTGGGTTCCTCTCGTGTTTCCAGCTCCTGCTCAACCATGAGATTGGCCCTCCTGGCCCTGAGACTGATGGTTCTGGCCTGGATGTGGCCCGTCACTCAGCTCAACAGCAGCACCTTCCCAAACAAAAGGAGACACAAGGAGGTCTACACAGCAGAGAGCACTAAGCCGAAGCATGGAGGGTGAGCAGAGACGGACGGTTCCTTCATTTATTATCTTTGGGTTGGCTTGATTTATTGAATGTTTTTATTTATGCAACTTTAATTCTGTCTCAAACCTGCTTGCATAATTTATCCCATTAACGCTCCGATGGATCGAGGTCAGGTTAGGCAACGAAGTCATGTGACACTGGAGGTGACGTGCATATTCCTCAGAAATTCATCCTGATCTTTGCTAGACAAAGATAGACGTGTTCACGTTATTAAACTCAGATTGGGTTTGCTTGTAGACAGACAGTAATCAGCTCAGGATGCAGATAAAGGCTCGTCCCCACAACAACTCTGACCCAGAAACAAATACCAGAACCCTGAAAAGAACTCATTTCATTTAGACTCTTGGTTTTAATCAGTGCTAAAGGTCAATTAGCCATCACTCACTCTGCTGACCAGATGTCAGACCTGTTTAAATTGGCTGTCTTTGAAAGCAGGCTGCACGGTGGCACAGTGGTTAGAGCTGTTGCCTTGCAGCAAGAAGGTCCTGCGTTCGCTTCCCGGCCTGGGATCTTTCTGCATGGAGTTTGCATGTTCTCCCTGTGCATGCGTGGGTTCTCTCCGGGTTCTCCGGACTGTTAGGTTGATTGGTCTGTCTAAATTGTCCTTAGGTGTGTGTGCATGATTGTTTGTCCTGTGTGTCTCTGTGTTGCCCTGCAATGGACTGGCACTCTGTCCAGGGTGTAGCCCGCCTGATTGCCCGTTGACCGCTGGAGATAGCCCCCCCCCCCCCCCCCCCCCGCGACCCTGCGTGGATTAGCGGTTTCAGAAAATGGATGGATGGATGGATGGTTGTCTTAGAAAGCGGAGGTTGGAGATTTAAAGAAAGCTGTTAAATGGCTGTTTTGTTTCCAGACGGGTCGATCTCAAGATGAAAAAGCAGGACAGCACCAAGTCTCTGCTCATTAAATCAGAGCAGCTACTTCGGATTGAAGATCACGACTTTGCAATGCGCCCGGGCTTTGGAGGTGAGACCATTTCATTCATTCGTTCATATCAATGCAGATGCGTTTAAACGTTTTCGTTTCTCAACTAAAGGAGCAACAATCGTTTGGATCAAACGCGCCATCGTCTTTTTTCAGTAATCGTGTGATTACGTGTTACCCAGACAACTCAGTCAGGTCCATGCAGGCCATTGTGTTTGTCACCTGAAAAAGCCCATGACCTAGATTGTCCGTTGCATGAGACAATGACTGCAGTCGGATAAAATAATCTGAACTGTGTTCCTAATTCTGAGGCTGAGTGCTCTTAAAAGCACAGCTCACAATTTACAGTAGATCATTTTACTATGTTAACCCTTTAATGTCCACAACAGGAAGAAACATGTTTTTTAATCATATCTTATTCATTTGGGGAGAAAAAGCTTCAATATGAGACAATACTGGTGTCAAATACACTAGATCACTTCTTTAACCAGCACCAGACCTTAAATCAAGTTTAAAAGTTCATTAAAGGTTGTAGGATACATTTATTTTTTCCTACAATGAAACTACCGATTTCAGTAAACCTGCCTGTGCTGGGAACGCACCCCATCTAAACGTCAATTCAAGCTAACTCCAGCACATCTTCCATATTCAGGTCGTAAACGATAAAGAATCAAAGTGAAATGTTTGTAAATCTGTGAATAGAATCAGCACGAGTGGAAAGGGCAAAGGAAACAGATCTCGGTTACTGCTGACGTTGTATTATTTATTTATTCCAAAAGCCTTGGTCCGTTAACCCTGAAGGTATTATTTGTAGATTCCTGGTTCATCTGCTTCAGTAACGGTTGATCAGAAACACAGATTTTGTAACAATCAGCAAAGAAAAGAAAACACTTCTATTGAAATTCAGGGAGTTACTGTTATAAACAGACGGTAAAATAGATAAAGAACTGTTCAAATTGCTGCTTTTGTTTAGGATTCTGTGCTATCGTCTAACGAATCTGTTAGAAAATGTAATATTCATCTAAAAGCTTTAATGACATAAACCCTCCCTGCATCTAAGACCTTTGTTTATGAACAGCATCACTAAATATAATTCAGTCCACTTCACCACTGGACTGCAGCTGTTGACTGAGGGTTCTTAGTGCTGGACGTCATTAGGTAATGGCACAGGGAGAACTGGGTGTGTTTACAGATCCCATCATATGCTGAGGCCACCCTGCCTGTGGACGAGGACATAAGAGCTCATCATAAACACACCAGTAGGTATTAAAGCATGAAATGGGCCCAGCTCTTTAGTTAGACAGTAAGGTTGGAACGTCCTTGCTGCTGAGGTCTTTCATCGCTCTCGTGTTACTGCGGCTCAGCCACATGCAGCTGAGAGAGTCCTGCTTTGTTTTCTCGCTCTGATCTTTTGTACCCTTTCCTTTATGTTTGTCTTTATTCGGCTCATGTGAAATAAAAGGCTCACAGACAGGATAATCACTGCATGAATGATTTTGTTCCTTTGGTTCCCATTGGAAAAAGGACAAAAATAATAACAACGTAGTTGCAATAAGCAATCAAAGTAATAAAAATCATGTATTGAGAATGTTTAGCTGGAGCTGGGGGGAAGGCAGCCCTAAATCCAGGTCGAGCTTCAGAAGTTGCAACGCAGCCTTCCATCAGCATTTCTTTTATCTCAGGAAAAAACAGAGCCCAGCTTATGGAGAGGTTCTGAGGTGGGATTTACACACGCATGACTCTGTCAGATGTGCAGATTATTGTGACAGATGTGATCCAACAACTACTTAGAGCTTATCCTTCACTTCTGACCTTTTGTAGGTTCGGCTCTCCCCGTTGGCGTAGATGTCCAGGTGGAAAGTATCGACAGCATATCTGAAGTAAACATGGTATGCACCGCCAGAGTTCCTGCAGATAAAAACCAGGGAGTTCAGCTGCTTTAATCGTTGATCTGATCTCACTCAGGACTTCACCATGACTCTCTACTTGAGGCATTACTGGCAGGACGATCGACTGGCCTTCCCCTCCAGCAGCAACAAAAGCAGAACCTTCGATGCGCGCCTTGTTAAAAAAATCTGGGTTCCTGATGTCTTTTTTGTTCATTCAAAGCGTTCTTTTATCCACGACACAACCATGGAGAACATCATGCTGAGGGTTTTTCCTGATGGAAACATTCTCTACAGTGTCAGGTAACAATGAGCATCCGGCTGAAGGGTTCACGCGTGCATTATGATGCTATTCTGCTGCTTTTCTCTGAAAATTCCCACAGGAGTCAGTTTAGCGTCATATGGGACGCCTACCCTCGTGCTTGTATCAGTAGCTGGAGTCAGATGAGGGACAGCAGCATGATGTCAGGACCTGCACTTTGTGCCATATTGGCTCTGCCTCCCCAACACACACAGACATAAATGCAGCTCTGTGATTATGTCTACTTCTGGCAGCTCAGAGGCTTTTCCATTTTGATCCCTCATTCTGCCTCCAAGCCCGATAAACAAAAAAAAAAAAAAAAACTGTGAGTAAATGAAGAGTAACAAGACCAGATCACCTGAATCCTTTTAATAAAAAAAAAATCAAGAACAAAAAAAAAAAAACCACCAAATTAACCAGAAAAATTTGACAATGCAGAGATTAGACTTTTAGATCAGTGAGGACCTTTTTTATTTTAAAAGCATAATTCTCTTGTGAATTTTTATTTTGATCTTTTTTCAAGTAGACAATATTTTTATTAAAGTCAGTAAAAAATATTTGTGGATCCTGGATCCTAAACACTAAAATGGTCTCGTTTAATTCCCTGTGTTCTGTTCTAATAGTAGTTGTTTTCTAGTTTTTGGGTCTTAAAATAACATTCTTCCTTTTTTCAGGAGCACAAAGGGGATGTGAGTGATTCCCTAATGTTTGTTGTATTTAGCACTTACCTGTGCTTAAGCATGTGTGGTTGCAGATTTAGTCAAATCAGCACAACTGAAATATAAAAAATAAAAAAACACAACAGCGTACCAAAGTTAGGGCCTCAGCCACGTTTTTAACTATGATGCTGCAGAAGAATGTCACACTGATGAAATACTGGTGGAATGCAACGAGATTGTGTCGTGCCACGATCTGGCCCTTGTGGACCACTTTAACAGCTGTGTGAATTTGCCTTTTTGTTTCAGGATCACCGTGACGGCGCTCTGCTCCATGGACTTCAGTAGTTTCCCTCTGGACACGCAGAACTGCTCTCTGGAGCTGGAGAGCTGTGGGTATCAGAACACTAACACCTGGCTGCACATTTGATGTTATTACAGAAAAGAAGTCTCCTAATTCCAGGATTATGTGTGTGTGACATGTCTTCCTGGTAAACATGTTACGCAACTTTGGATGCAGGTTTTTAGCTCAAAAATGTTGGCTAGAGGATGCTTTGCTGTTTTGGAGAACTTCATTTGCATCACTGTGAAAAAAATCAGCCTTAAATTAATCTCTTTTGATTTTTTTTCTTCTAATTTGGGCATTTACTGTGAAGGGCTTAATGGTTTTTATTATAGGTATTTTTCGTTTTTCCTTAAGATGCGTACAGTGAGAACGACCTGATGCTCTACTGGAAGAACGGGAACGACTCATTACGGACCGATGAGATCGTTCTCTCTCAGTTTTTCATTGAAGACTTCCAGCCTTCCTTCGGGCTTGCCTTCTACAGCAGCACTGGTATGTGAGACTGCAGGTTAGAGGACCACTGAACTGGATCCAGTTTGGAAACGCTCGTGTTCTTCGGGGATTCATTTAAAATAAAGTTTTATTTGGTTCAAGTTCCTCGTGGATGCAGCTTGTAGTTGTGACAGTTTTCTTCCATCTTTCAGGTTGGTACAATCGCCTCTACATAAACTTCATCCTCAGAAGGCACATCTTCTTCTTCATGCTTCAGACGTACTTTCCTACCATGCTGATGGTGATGCTGTCATGGGTGTCCTTCTGGATTGACAGGAGGGCCGTACCTGCTCGGGTCTCTCTGGGTGCTGAAACATTAACTCAATATGTCTGATGACAACATTTAGTTGGAAAACATTTATTAACTAGGGTCACTTCATTACATATAGGGAGAATAGCCTTTGCATTACTAAATACAATATAACACGACGTCACAATCGTTTCTTCACTGTAAAAATTCAAATTTTGACACTGCCTTATGAATGCATTCCCATGTTTAGTGTAGATTGTAATCTATGCTGATGTTTCATGAACCCAGGCATCACCACAGTTCTGACGATGTCCACCATCATCACTGGTGTCTCAGCCTCCATGCCGCAGGTGTCTTACGTCAAAGCTGTAGACATCTACCTGTGGGCGAGCTTCCTGTTTGTCTTTCTGTCAGTCATTGAGTATGCCGCTGTCAACTATTTCACCACAGTGGAGGAGATGAAGAAGCTCAAGAATGCAAAGGTATTGTTGTTTCTGTCACCAGTGTGGTCTTAAAGGCACAATGTGTAAGAATTCAACTGTGAAATGATGACAGAACAGCCTGAAGTCTCAGATTTCCTTCTCAGACTTGTCAGTTTTTCTCCTTTCAAAAAGGAGAAAGAGGGATATAGTCTTTGTTTACAATCTGCCCTGCCTCCATACTTCCTGTTTCCAGTGCCATCATACCTGAGCTCACGGGGTTGCCAAGTCTGCAACAGCCTTTGTAATCCGTCACCGGCCGACAAAGAGCAGCAGTGTTGTGGAAAAAAATGTCAGCCAGTAAACCTTTGGCCCCAGAAGTTGTGTTTTGTGCCCCTAAGAAGCTATACCGCATGTTTTTGTTGCTATATTATTGGGTGAAGCAGGCAAGAGGCTAATGTTGAGCTAACAATGCTAACAGTCAATTAGAAACTAGTAGTCATCTCTAAAAATATCTCAAGCTACTTTTATCGGTTACCATTAACTCAACATTACAGTGACATGTATTCATCTACTCATCGACTTACTGTGAATGACTCGTCTTTGCTCATCAGCTGGGATCTTCTGGTGCAACGCCCTAACTGGCAACAGTTGCTGAAGGGTTTTGATGAATGGACTGAAGTACCCAAATTTGACCACAGGACGTCATTTTTACATCACGCACCTTTAAAGCTCTTTTTCCACATTGTCCTCTCTGATGCTGCAGGTCCCCAGCACCTTCAACACCAACCAGGCTATGGCTTTTGATGGGTGTTTCCATGACAACGACATTGACCTGACTCCTTTCTCAGAGGTGGATATCACCCCGGACACAGACAGGAGCACCCAACCTCGAAACTCCACTGTCTCTGCACCCCCAGATGGGACCAGACTCCACCGTAGAAACACTTTAAAATACAACCTGAGCTTCATCATGAGCAACAGCTACATGATCGACTCGTACTCCAGAGTCATATTCCCCCTGGCTTACCTGCTCTTCAACATCATATACTGGAGTTTGTATACATAGGACACTGATTCCACCAATAATGTCATCACATTTAGGATGGAAATATCCAACCACTCACAGGATGTGACCTTTTATTTGCACAATATCCGCTGCTCTACATTGATGTCTTTCATGATGTCTTGTATTTGAGAGCCAAGATTGCAGCAGTCTGCTGTGTCTTTGTGAATGTTTCTCTTTCTGTTGCATGCTTGTTTTATAAAAGAAAAAAAAAGAGTCAAAACCAAACCTGTTTATTTTTAATCATTATTTAAAGAGACAATGTGAAGTTTTTACCATTAATTTCTGGAAATATCCATCAAAATTTTGAAAATGAATGAAATGAAGTCCAGTTGCTCAAAAATATTGGCAGTTTCATAACATATAATCATAAAAATCGGGTCTAAAATACATGGGAGCGGGTCTAAGACCCAATCCCAATACTCACACGTGCACACTTGCGCCCTTCAATTGCACGTGTAGGTTCTCAAGTGCGGAAGTTGACCACGCCCCCCATTACACCCTTAATCTGCACTTCAGCTAAGTCCACAGCAATGCGGACCTCGGGCAAGGGAATTACCCACAAGTCATTGCTGCGGGAGAAAAGGCTCAAGGTCCTTTTCTGAAAATACATATTTTCTAATGAAATATTAGTTAATTTTAGGATGATTAGTTGATGCTCTAAGACTTTTAGACAAAGCAGCAATAAATGGAAATTTATTACAAATAACTGTTTGGCTGTTTGTTGAAAAGTTGTTAATAAAGGTTTTTGAAAAAAAATCACACTGACCAGCATCCCAGCATGCGTTGCGATCGATGACACATTACTCCCCGTCGCAATTCTGCAATTAGCTGCACACTTGTGCACTACGCACTCGAACCCTACTGCACACTTTCTCCAAGTGCATTTTGCTGAAGTCTGCAGGGCACAGTGCAAGTACTGAGAGCGGGTTTAAGTCTCTGGGCGACGCCATATTAGATGCCATGCTTTCTTCTACGGGACCCCATGAGGACAAAAAGCATTTACTGATTTGTAAGAAATAGTTACAAAACTTTTGTCATTCTTAACCGTTGTTGTTTTACACATTTACCTCTTCACTTGTTGCCAGTGATGAAAGGGAGTCTGATGTACTTGTTATTTTACTAAAGTTTGTACTTCCCAGGGCTTTTTGACCCTAATGGGCATCCGTTGGTAAGGTCTTACTCCAACACAAAAATACTGCTTGCTTGCAACCATTTAAGTATCTACTGCCCCCTGTCGCCAGGAAAAATACACACTGTCACTTTAAGGGTTCAATTTGATACAAAACACTCAATTCTTTAAAAATGAACAGCTAATTTTTGCTCTTACGAGTTGGTTTAAAACTATATATTTCTTTGGGTTATGATTTACTTGATTAAAAATGAGTCAATGCCACAATTCCTCCGGGGTCACTGTCCTGCAGGTTTTACGTGTTTCCCTGCACCAACACACCTGTTTTGAAAAAGAAAAAAGGAACATTTGAAGGTGCTGCTGTGAAATCTGACATTTGTGCACTTGCTTTTCCTACAAATGTTTAATCCTGATCAGTTATGAGACTATAGTTTTACATGACAGCATAAAAACAGTGGAACTAATAGAAGCGGGTCTCTAATCTCAGTTTTTGTGTCTAACGGCCACTGATTCTTGACAAATGAACAGGAGAGGGACAGAAAACGGTCCGGTGGGACAAGATCAGCATAAAGTCTGCACCACGGCTGCACGGTGGCGCAGAGGTTAGCACTGTTGCCTCGAAGGTTGCAGGTTCGAAACTCGGCTCGGCTGCGGGCTTTCTGCGTGGAGTTGCGTGTTCTCCCCATGCATGCGTGGGTTTCCTCCGGGTACTCCGGTTTCCGCCACAGATCGCAACATGCCCTATAGGTTATAAATTGTAAATCGCTTTGATAAAAGCGTCTGCTAAATGAATAAACATAAACATGAAGTCATTTAGAGATGACTGAACAGACTGTAATATGCAGCCAGCGGGTGGTAACAGGGCTGACTGATTACATCTGCCTGCAATAAAGTGATTAGTAGCCTAAGGTTTTATCAGTTTGAGTGTGAAATCTTTTCTCTGCTCCAATGTATTTTTGAAGGGACTCTAGGATTAGTCACCGTAACCAGCGAGGAGATACTAAAAACACAGACGATGAGGCAGACAGATGGTAGTTTTATGATGAACAAAGGACAGGAGCTTAGAGAGGCATTACTGCATGCTGACAGGTTGGCCGGTGAATAAAAACAGTAGATGAGCAAAGATTAAAAACTAAAAGTAAACAAGAGAAGAGAACCAGCGGCCGCACAAACAGGCGGAACAAACCAAACCTATACAAGGCTAGAAAAAGATTCTGAAGAGCTGGAAACATGCAGACAGTGAGAACAGGAGAGCCTGCGGGACATCAGGAGTAAAAACTGCAACATCTGGTGGGCAAAAAGTGACACTGCATTCAAACAACTTGTTTGAATCAGTGCACTCAGTGTTTTGTATTATAGCATTTTAAAAAGCTGTATAAACCATGCTTACGTGATTTATCCTTACACGATAAACACGGTAAAGGAGCATTATACTGAATGCAAATTAAAGAGCAAGTCACCCCCTACAAGAAACTTCCTTCACTCCCTCTTCATGTTTGAAAAATGCAACAAATGCTGTTGCCTAGCAGACAGAGAGGGCGGAGCCTCTAACAAATACACACACACAGGCTCACAACGGCATTGTGACATCATAAGGACCAGTTTACATCATAGCATACCTCTTAGCCAATAGCGGTGGCAGATTTAAATTCTAATGCAGTGCAGAGTTTTTACCTGACAACGGCACAACACTGACAGTTTTAGGCAGAAAATTAAAATTTTAACTAAAATGCACTAAAGTACAAAACTATTGACTACACGTGTCTGCAGCACGATTAGACACGCATTTATATAGTTTATCAGCAATAAAAAGTAGACTTGGGGGTGACTTGCTCTTTAATATTAGGACACACTGGGCTTCCTTGATATAATAAAAGTCACTCAAAGCTTGCAGTACCAAACATGTTTCATGCATGATTCCTTACAGCACTCCTTTTTGTGTTTAATAGTGAGTTCACCTGTTTAATGACAGCTTCAAAGGTCTGAACAATAAAAGTATGGCGGTGCCGCTCCTCAGTCACATTCCTGATCGAGCTTTGCAGTGTTGCCGTGGAAACAGTGTTTCTGTCAGCTTTATCACTGACAAATGTTGGGACACACCCTGAGGCACACCTTAAACTTCAAACAAAATAGAAACAGCTTTTTTCTTTCTTACCAAAAGTGCTCCAGCAACCCTGACGCTGTAATCGACACGCTGCCTGACGGAGTACAGCCACACTTCTGGAATTTTGTTGAATAAACCAGACGCCTTCTCGTTACGAGTGCCGTTCAGATGCTGAGTGAGACATACTTGAACTAAAATGAATGCAGCGACCTGCTGACGATTCAGGGGCGTGCCTCAGCTTTTGATGCTGCCGGGGACAAAGAGTGAACACTTCAATTAGCACCAGTTAGGCTGGCGTCCACGGCCATGTTCGTGGTTTAGTATTATTCACATTCTGTCGTGGAAAGTTATGTTTATTAGAAATGAAGAAGTCGTGGGAACCCCTGGCATTTCAAGCAGATCTTCTCGCTGGCTCACGTTGGGTCCGCCAGTCAGGTAACGCTCTGCTGCTGGTCTTTCTGTTTTCTGTCAATTTAAAAGATTTATTTTCCAAACAAGCCAGAATTTCATGTGTTCTTTAAAAAGTTGTTTTCTCCAAATGTTTTGATTTTTCTTTGGTTTTTGGAGTCTCGTTTTAAGTCTGTGTACCTGATCAAAACAGCATGATTTGTGAGTTTCTACTAAAATTAAAATGGACAAACAGAAGACAACAGAAATATGGCACACCTAAAAAAAATCTGCAGCTGATGAGACAACTGTAGGTCAGATGGTCTTCACAGCTCCAGGGAAATCACCTGGGTGAAGATGGAATATTCTTTATTCCCATCCCACTGTTTAGTTGGTCTTTTTCTATATATTTAATAAAAGATGTCTGGCTTTGTGACGATCTGCTGGTAACAAAGAGTCGCATTTTCTGGCAGTACGAAAAGGTCAGACAGAGTCAAACAGGTTTTTTAATTCCAGTTGGCATTGCACTCATTATAGGCGGCTGAAGGAAAAACAAACCTCTGATGACTACAGAAGGACTAGAGTACAGGTGGTGTAGCCTAAACGTCAGGAACACAGAGGAAAACAAAATCTCATAATCTGTAAAGATACCTGAAGTGTGAATGCACAGCAGGACGGATTAATAAACCAGGTCCAGGTGTGCAGAACAAACAAAACGTTCACCCGTTCACCATAAAGTGCATCCAACATGAGTGAACAGTTCAAACACACAAACGTTCACAATAGAAATAGACATTATATTAACTTGTTTAATAGATTAATCAACATTTATGAGTACAATAATTATTCTTTCTATGACATTAATTACTTATTATTTATTATTTATGTGATCCAAGCTGTCTAACTTGATAATAGTATTAAACTCACTCACTCACTCACTCACTCACTCACTCACTCACTCACTCACTCACTCACTTCTTTTCTAAATCGCGTACATGATGTCATTGTTGCTTTTTGATTTTCACAATAAGATGCCCCCCAAAACTCACTGGTGTCCATAATCAGCCAATAATTAGTGTGACTGTTATTATTGGGGGGCTGCGCAGTGGAGCAGTGATTAGCACCGTTGCCTTGCAGCAAGAAGGTCCCAGGTTCAGATCCCAGGCCGGGGTCTTTCTGCATGGAGTTTGCATGTTCTTGTGCATGTGTGGGTTCTCTACCAGTACAACAGCTTCCTCCAACAGTCCAAAAATATGACTGTCAGGTTAATTTTTCTCTCTAAAATATCCTTAGGGTGTACCCCACTTGTTTGCCCAAAGACTGCTGGAGATAGGCACCAATCCCCCACAACCCTGAGTGGATAAGCGGGAACAGAAAATGGATGGATGGTTTTATTAGGGCTCAGCCAGCCTGCATCTCAAATATAATTTCTTTTTCCTAGGTCTGTGACCACACCATTACTTAGAGTGGGTTCATGCTAGCAGCAACAGATGTATAATTGGGACAGAAGTAGCTCAGGAGGTAGAGCAGGTTCTCCAGTAATTGGAAGGTTGCTGGTTTGATCCTGCCACCCACCAGAGAATGCTGCTGTTGTGTCCTTGGGTAAGACACATAACCTGCCTTGCCTACTGATGGTGGTTGAAGGGACCGGTGTTCAGCAGGCCTCGCCTCTGTCAGTGCGCCCCAGGACAGCTGTGGCCACATCGTAGCTCATCCCCACCAGCGTGTGAATGGGTGAATGACTGATTGTGTTGTGAAGCACAATACAAATACAGGCCATTTCCATTTTACAGTAACAGTTCTTAAATGTCCTCCTTTCACTCTCAAAATGGGAATATTTTATCTAATTAAAAAGCCAAAGTTTTAATTGTATCCATTAACTATAATTGTTCCAGATAAATTGGTGTCAGCAAGTCAGACCTGCACAAAAATCAGAACTGACACCCAAACCCAAAACATGTCTGAACAGAACACCACTTTTAACAAACCAGCGGACAAAGACTAAATCTAATCATAAAACCTCTGAAATGTGACACAAGGTTCAACTATCTCATTGAATTTTTTTTTTTTTGCTGAAAAGCTGAATAAGTTCAACAAACATAAATGTTGATCTGAAAAAGATCAAGTCCTACCTGAACAGGACTTTGGTTAATATTTAGGGAAAATACATTTTATAACATAGATAAAGAAATATTCATTGCTTTACTTTGATATAGGGACTAAAGTTGTTTCTACCAAATTGTTAACATTCCAGTAAAATGCAAGGCATTCATATTTATAGAACACATTTCAGATGAACATATGAATGAGTTTCTCTAGGTCTTTTCTGGACATGAGACCTCAGAGTCATGTTATTTGATGAAATTGATAAAATGCTGATCTAGTTATAACCATAATGTGACCAGTGAAGCTCAGGTCTGAATCAATTATTCTATTCCAGTTTATTTATATGGCTCATTTAAAAACAGCTAACAACCCTATAACACCAAGATTTCTAACTTGAGTCTTTGACTTTATTCATTTGGCGCCAAGTTGAGCAATAACCTCCATTATATCATTTTTATTTCCAAAGACAATAACTTCCATCTTGTCTTTCTTTAACTGGAGGATATTTGACTGCATCCACTCATTAACTTGCTCCAAACACTGCCAGAGTGAGTCTAAGGGACCACTGTCACTAGGTAATAGAGCTAGGTAGATCTGGAAGTCATCTGCATATCTATGACAGGCAATGTTGTTATTGTGTATGACCTGAGCCAGGGGGAGCATGCAGACATTGAAGAGCAGTGGTCCAAGAATTGAACCTTGGAGGACCCCACGTGTCATGGTGATCAGCTTTGATTTGTGATCACCAACAGAGACAACATAACCCCTGTCTTTGAGGTATGATTGGAACCAACTATGGACTGTGCTTGATAGTCCCACCCAGTTTATGAACCTATCAAGTAGGGTGTTGTGGTCCACAGTATCAAAAGCTGCACTGAGACTGAGCATCATCAGAACATATGTTTTGCCTCAATCTGTATTAAGACAAATATAATTCAATACCTTAATCAGTGCAGTCTCAGTGCTGTGGTGTTGTCTAAAGCCTGACTGAAAACCATCCAGGAGGTTGGTTGTCTCCAAAAAAGTTGTTCAGCTGTAACAGCATTTTCAATAATTTTCCCAAATAGAGGGAGAATAGAGATTGGCCTGTAGTTCTATGGGAGCCCATGAGGACAAAACTTATTTACTGATTTGTAACATCAACATATATGCTGGACAATGTGTTTCCATAAACTCCAATTATAAATTTTTGAGCCAAAATGGGAGATGGCCACCACCGCCATTTTGTCCGTGTCACAGGTTCCGTCAAACCTACACAATTCCAAAAAAAGGAAAAGAGGTGGAGTTGAGGGTGGGGCTGTAAGGCTGGGATCAAATGACGACACCCGTCGAACTGAAGCGATGTAGCTACAAGCTAACCCAAAGCTATGCGGAGGTGGGAGCTAAGCTAACGGAGGTAGCAACCTAGCTACAACCGGAGTTAACTGTGCACAACACTGGAGCTTCTGAGTCAGAGATACGCCGGGCTGACCGTTGGGTGGAACACAGAGGTCTCCCGAGAGCTCCACAAGCCGGCAGCTGCGCAGCAGACAGGCGCCGCTGCGATCAGAGATGCGCCGAGCTGCCGCTGGGGAGAACCGGGTGGAAAACATCGGTTTCCATCCGAGAGCTCCACAAGCCGGCAGCCCGCGCAGCAGACAGGCAGCGCGATCAGAGATGCGCCGAGCTGCAGCTGAAGGTAGGGGACCATAGCGATAGTCGGAACCCAGCTCCACCAACATGTCATATTTCAACCCATTTTCAACAATGCAGCGTTAAGTTAAATGCACTGGGTTTTACCCTATTACATTTAAATGTCATGGTTAAACAGTACATGTTAAAATCTAAGCTCAGCTTGGCAGTGACCTAAAATACATAAATATAATTTTACTTACCGAAAAAAATGAAGTGGAGACTCCTTGGACGCTCTATTAGTGCAATTAATGCCACATCAAGTCATTGTGTCCAACAATTGAACAAGTAATATCCACACAAATTGCACTAACGCTACAACTAATGGTCTAAGTTGAGAGACTTAAAATGGCGGAACTGTTTTCAGGCGAGGCCGAGGCTCAGACTGAGGCCCTTCCACGGAGCTAGCTCTGCGGTCACGTGGGTCTGATGCTCATTAATTATACAGAATTTTAGGCTTTTAATACACTTAAACAGAAGAGTGAGAAAAAAACATCACCCCCCTCAGAGTTGTCATGAGTGTAAACTAGATAATTTAAACCAAAAACATGTTTTTGAACCAGGCTGTAAACACATTTATTTCTGCTGTGAAATTGGTATTTTTAACATGGGAGACGATGAGAATTTGCTCGCTTCTGACACCAGCCCCTAGCAGATGAAGGTGGAACTGCAATTTTAGTTACTTCCGTGTTGGCTTCACTTTCAGACCCAAATTATGGGGGCTTGATTTGTAACAAATGGTTGCAAAACTTTCATCATTCTTAAATGTTGTTTTACACATTTACCTCTTCACTTGTTGCCAGTGATGAAAGGGAGTCTGATGTACTTGTTATTTAGCTAAAGTTTGCACTCCCCAGGGCATTTTGACCCTAATGGGCATCCGTTGGTAAGGTCTTACTCAAACACAAAAATATTGCTTGCTTGCAACAATTTAGTTATCTACTGCCCCCCATCGCCTGGAAAAATACACACTGTCACTTGAAATCAGAGTTGCACTCTAAAGTTTTCATAGTGATCTGGTGGGTTATTTTTTTTCTCCATTTACGCTCAGCTTTCCCTCGTTCTCTTTTCTGATTGGTAACTGATTTAGGGAACTTCCATGGAGCTCTTGGTTTGCCAGTGGCAAATTTGACCTTTTTGGGTGCAATGGGTCAAACCAAAGTAATTAATGAAATAACTTTACAGGATTTTATCTAAATAAATAAAATATTTCATAAATTGTAACACAACACACCAACAGAGGTGTCTAGTAGTAAAACCAAACGTGTTCTACAATTACAAAATTTGTATAATTCAATAAAAAATTCTGTAAAATTAATCTTTTAAGAAATATTAATTTACAAGAGTCTGAAGCAGATAGCAGCACAACATATTTGAGTTGTCCTTGTGTTGTTATTCTTGTATAAACAATCACATATTAAAATATTTAACATTATTTGTAGAACAACTCAGCAGAATTCACAATGTCTTACCAGGATCTGGATGCATGTTGATTAATTTGTGGTTGTTTTTTTATCCTGTGTGTTTTCCCACTTGTTAGGTTAATGATATTACTGTACTTTTGGGAATTAGTGACTTATTTTACAATTAGATAGAGGTGATTTCCTGTTCTTTTATTTGCCTTTGTGATTTGCAAACTTGGAAAAATAACACACGAGACTGTAAAGCATTACCACATCATCTGTTTATTTTCAGATAAACTGTACTATGCTTTTAAGGCATTTAATTAGAACAAAAAACATCATAGGAAAACAAATGTTCCATGTGAAATGTAGTCTTTAATCCAGTATTTAATCTAGTATTTTGAATTTCTACAGAACAGATAAGAGAGACGATGAGAAACTAAGATCTGATATAACAGGATTTTGTTATTTATGTGTGTGATGACTGTCAGTCAAATCAAACTTTGAACAATTTTTTTATTTAAATAAACACTTAAAAGGTGTTATAACTGTATTTGTTACATTACAGAGAGAAGAAGTCAAGGTCCCTGTTTTCATGTCCACTGTTGTTGAAGACGTACTTGCTAATCATCATCCTGGCAGGTAAAATCTGACGTAAGGGCTAAACAAAGGTAGCACACAATGGAGCTGACGTATCCGTCAGCCTTATCTGGTCTAACAACTCAGCTCCATTTATGAAGCACAATGTGTTGAGTTCCTTTCTAATTTACACTAAAACTTGTTGATCTGGTCTGACTGCGCGTTGTCCTGAAGTGTGTGTCAAAAACTGTGAAAGATTAATAGCTGCTGCACAATCTTTGAATAGTCAAAGTTGGACTGCCTGTTTTTGTACATTCTGTGCTACAAAGATATTTGATTGGGCAATCAGGAAGAATTAGGGACAGAATCACAACCTCGACTGAGACGTTTGTTTAATGTCAGGAAGATCTGAAGATGTGTCTGTAATCTACATCAGATAATTGTTGCATTTCACTGGAGTCAAAGGCAGCAATGAAGGGCATGCGTGAGTCTGAGGAGGAACATGTGTCTCATGAGAAATTTCATCCAGATTGAACAGATAAATAAATAAAACATAAACTTTGACTTGATGTACAGACACATGTGTAATTAGATCAGGTTCATTTTTCTTTCAGGACACGCTTTTGGCATCAACCCCCATAACTCCAACCCCACCACTCCAGCAGCTGCACAGACTTCAGGTAAATTCAACAGAATATTAAGAATCAAGTATTTACAGTCACTAAAACAAGCACAGGATTAGATCTCACCCTAGGGGGGTCATACAGTGTTGTCTGACAGATCTAAAGGAAAACCAGAATTAGGCTGAAATCTTTAAAAGACAAACAACAGATTTTAGTCTCACTGAGAGAAAAAAAATTGCCTGACAAGCCATCCAGTATATGTAAGTATACATTCTGGGCTGGCTATGACTCAGACAGAGCTTGGTTGTGGGGTGGAATTCACAGCTGTCTTTCAGACTGTATTTGCAACATGGACAGCACTAGGACCAATCAGAGCAACAAACAATGTCACATTTTCATCACTATGGCAATCAGTCAAGAGGGCAGCATTGAACACCATAGAAGAAGAAGCAAATTCACCCTTTTTCTAAGTAATCTGCTTATGTCTCTTAGAAAAGCCCAGGTCCACATAGTCCATACTCGATGCCAAAGCCATATCAAACGAACGTCGATCCTGAGCTGACGCCATTTTGTAGTTTGTTATGTTGCAGCTCTCGCACTGAGCCCGCATAACGTCTCTCTCAAACATGGAGCGTTGTGATTGGCCAGAACTAAATCAGTTCAGTCCAGTGGTAAACCTGCTGAGGCCACAATTTGTCTAGATTTCTAGGTTAAGAAAAACACTGAACTGTTACAGATTAAGAACTGTATTGTCTCTCTAATTAGTTGAAGCTTCAGCTAATCCATCATCTGCTGCTCCTTCCACCATTCCTATTTCCACAACGTCTGTACAGACATCAGGTAAACCAATGACTGAATAACTGACGACTCATTGTTTCATCCATGTCTTTGTTATTAGATTAGCATGTCATGCGTTTATTCATATCTTTGTTGCTGATTAAGATTTGATTTTCTTTTCTTTTTTTATTTTTTTTTTGCTTTAGTATTTTATTTCCTCGATGTCACTGTGGATGTAACTGGACAGAAAAAAAATGAATCGGAAATTATTACCTGGGTATGTATGGAAATGAATACACAAAATACCAGATCGGATTAGATTACTTCAAGATTGAAAGTCTAACTTGTTAAAGAAATAAAGATCGTCATATTATGTTTTTTTTCTCAGCTGGATCAGCTGTTCCAAACCAGTCTAACAAGCTGCTTGTCTCCAGACACTCAAGCAACAGCCGCTGCTGCAAAGACTTCAAATGTAACAACAACACAACAAATTTACAATGTTACAACAGAAATTCCTACAACAGTACTAAACAACAGCGTAACCACAAATGCAACGTCATCACCATTAAATGACCATAAAACAATAATTAATGCAACATTAGATATAACCAACACAACCATAGTTCCAGAGAAAACGTTGAATGTCACTAACACAACCGATGCTCCAGCTACAACGGTAAATGTCATCAACACAACCGATGCTGAAGCTCCAATGGTAAATGAGACCAACACAACCAATGCTCCAGCTCTAATGGTAAATGTGACCAACATGACCGATGCTGCAGCTCCAACGGTAAATGTGACCAACACAACCAATACTGCAGCTCCAATGGTAAATGCCATCAACACAACCAATGCTGCAGCTCTTATGCTAAATGTGAGCATCACAACCAATGCTCCAGCTTCAATGGTAAATGTCATCAACACAACCGATGCTGCAGCTCTAATGGTAAAAGTGACCAACACAACCGATGCTCCAGCTCTAATGGTAAATGGGGCCAACACAACCAATGCTGCAGCTTCAACGGTAAATTTCATCAACCCAACCAATGCTCCAGCTCTAATGGTAAATGTGACCAACACAACCGATGCTCCAGCTCTAATGGTAAATGCGACCAACACAACCGATTCTCCAGCTTCAACGGTAAATGTCATCAACACAACCAATGATGCAGCTCCAATGGTAATTGAGACCAACACAACCAATGCTCTAGCTCCAACGGTAAATGTGACCAACACAACCAATGGTCCAGCTCTAATGGTAAATATGACCAACACAACCAATGGTCCAGCTCGAATGTTAAATGTGACCAACACAACCAATGCTCCAGCTCTAATGATAATTGTGACCAACACAACCGATGCTCCAGCTCTCATGGTAAATGTGACCAGCACAACCGATGCTCCAGGTTCTACAGTAAATGTCATCAACACAACCGATGGTGCAGCTCCAATGGTAAATGAGACCAACACAACCAATGCTCTAGCTCCAACGGTAAATTTGACTAACACAACCAATGCTCCAGCTCTAATGTTAAATGTGACCAACACAACCAGTGCTCCAGCTCTCATGGTAAATGTGACCAACACAACTGATGCTGCAGTGGCAACAACCTTAAATGTCATCAATACAAACAATGGTCCAGTGACAATATTAAATGTCACCAACACAACAAATGCTCAACCACCAATGTTAAATGTAACCAACACAAGTGATGCTCCAGTGACAACAATCTTAAATGCCACCAATACAATTGATGCTCAAGCTCCAACATTCAATGTAACCATCACAACAGATGTTCAAGCCCCAACAACGTTAAATGTCACACACACAATTAATGCTCCAGCTCCAACAATCAATGCCACCAGCACAACTGATGCTCTAGCTCCACTGTTGAATGTAACAAACAAAACCAATGTTCCAGCTCCAACATTAAATGTAACCATCACAACAAATGTTCCAACCCCAACAACGTTAAATGTCACCAACACAACTGATGCTGCAGCTCCAATGTTTAATGTAACCAACAAAAGTAATGCTCCAGAGACAACAACATCAATTATCATCAAAGCAGCAAATTCTCCAGTGACAACAATCCTAAATATCACAGATAGAGATTTGGCTGCAACAAAAGTAGTCATATTAAATGATACCAAATCAACCACAGCTGAAACAGCAACAACAATTGGCAACAAAACAACTGTCTCTGCACTAACAACACCAATAAATGGCAATGAAACAACATCCTTAAGTGGCAACAGAATAACCACAGCTTCAACAACAATATTGTTATCTGACAACATGGTAACTACTGCTACCCCAAGAACTTTAAATGTTAACACAACAGCAGCAACAACAATGCTAAAAAACAATAAAATCACCATTTCAGCTAGAGCAGAATTAAATGGCAATGAAACAACTGCAGCAGCAGCAACAATATTCAATGGCAACAAAATAAATGCAACAACAACTTTGAATGGGAACATAACGACAACAGCAGCAACAAAAATATCTAGTGGGAAACAAACTACTACAAATGCAACAACATCAAATGGCAATGAGATGACAACAGCAGCAACAAAAATATCTAGTGGGAAACAAACTACTACAAATGCAACAACATCAAATGGCAATGAGATGACAACAGCAGCAACAACAACTATGTTAAATGGAAACAAAATGACTACAGCAGCAACAGCAAAAACAACTGTGTTAAATGGCAATAAGATAACAGAAAGAACAACATTAAATGGTAACAGAACAACTGCAATAGCAACAACAACGTTAAATGGGAACCAAACTACTACAGCAACAAAAACATTAAATGGCAATGAGATAACAGCAGCAGCAACTAAGTTAATTGGGAACCAAACAACTACAGAAGCAACAACAACAATGTTGAATGGATATGTGATGACAGCAGCAACAACAACGTTAAATGGCAATGTGATAACAAGAGCAGCAGCAACATTAAATGGGAACAAAACGATTACATCAGCAACAACAACTATGTCAAATGGCAATGAGATGCCAACAACAGCAACAACAACGATAAATGGGCATCAAATGACTACAGCAGGAACTACAATGTCAAATGGCAATGAGATGACTACAGCAGCAGTAACAAAATTAAATGGGAACCAAACGACTACAGCAGCAACAACAACAACGTTAAATGGCAATGAGATGACTACAACAGCAGCAACAATGTTAATTGGGAACCAAACAACTACAGAAGCAACAACAATGTCAAATGGCAATGAGATGACAACAAAAGAAACAACAACTGTAAACGTACAACTAACAACTACAGCTGCAACAAGAAAAATGTCAAATGGCAATGAGATGACAACAGCAAAAACAACATTTAATGGGAACCAAACGACTACAGCAGCAACAACAACAATGTCAAATGGCAATGAGATGACAACAACAGCAACAACTACGTTCAATGGGAACCAAACGACTACAGCAACAACAACATTAAATGGCAATGAGATGACAACAACATCAATGTCAAATGGCAATGAGATGACAACAACCGCGACAACATCAATGTCAAATGGCACTGAGATGAAAACAACTGCAACAACATCAATGTCAAATGGCACTGAGATGAAAACAACTGCAACAACATCAATGTCAAATGGCAATGAGATGACAACAGCAACAACATCTATGTCAAATGGCAATGAGATGACAACAGCAACAACATCAATGTCAAATGGCAATGAGATGACAACAGCAACAACATCTATGTCAAATGGCAATGAGATGACAACAGCAACAACATCTATGTCAAATGGCAATGAGATGACAACAACAGCAACAACATCAATGTCAAATGGCAATGAGATGACAACAGCAACAACATCAATGTCAAATGGCAATGAGATGACTACAGCAACAGCATCAATGTCAAACGGCAATGAGATGACAACAGCAACAACATCAATGTCAAATGGCAATGAGATGACTACAGCAACAACAACATTAAATGGCAATGAGATGACAACAACATCAATGTCAAATGGCAATGAGATGACAACAACCGCGACAACATCAATGTCAAATGGCAATGAGATGACTACAGCAACAACATCAATGTCAAATGGCAATGAGATGACTACAGCAACAACATCAATGTCAAATGGCAATGAGATGACAACAGCAACAACATCAATGTCAAATGGCAATGAGATGACTACAGCAACAACAACATTAAATGGCAATGAGATGACAACAACATCAATGTCAAATGGCAATGAGATGACAACAACCGCGACAACATCAATGTCAAATGGCACTGAGATGAAAACAACTGCAACAACATCAATGTCAAATGGCACTGAGATGAAAACAACTGCAACAACATCAATGTCAAATGGCAATGAGATGACAACAGCAACAACATCTATGTCAAATGGCAATGAGATGACAACAGCAACAACATCAATGTCAAATGGCAATGAGATGACAACAGCAACAACATCTATGTCAAATGGCAATGAGATGACAACAGCAACAACATCTATGTCAAATGGCAATGAGATGACAACAACAGCAACAACATCAATGTCAAATGGCAATGAGATGACAACAGCAACAACATCTATGTCAAATGGCACTGAGATGACAACAACAGCAACAACATCAATGTCAAATGGCAATGAGATGACAACAGCAACAACATCAATGTCAAATGGCAATGAGATGACTACAGCAACAGCATCAATGTCAAACGGCAATGAGATAACAACAACAGCAACAACATCAATGTCAAATGGCAATGAGATGACAAAAACAGCAACAACAATAATGTCAAATGGCAATGAGATGACAACAGCAACAACATCAATGTCAAATGGCAATGAGATGACAACAGCAACAACATCAATGTCAAATGGCAATGAGATGACAACAACAGCAACAACTACGTTCAATGGGAACCAAACGACTACAGCAACAACAACATTAAATGGCAATGAGATGACAACAACATCAACGTCAAATGGCAATGAGATGACAACAACCGCGACAACATCAATGTCAAATGGCAATGAGATGACAAAAACAGCAACAACATCAATGTCAAATGGCAATGAGATGACAACAGCAACAACATCAATGTCAAATGGCAATGAGATGACAACAACAGCACCATCAGTGCCAAATGGCAATGAGATGACAACAACAGCAACAACTACGTTCAATGGGAACCAAACGACTACAGCAACAACATTAAATGGCAATGAGATGACAACAACATCAATGTCAAATGGCAATGAGATGACAACAACCGCGACAACATCAATGTCAAATGGCAATGAGATGACAACAGCAACAACATCTATGTCAAATGGCAATGAGATGACAACAACAGCAACAACATCAATGTCAAATGGCAATGAGATGACAACAGCAACAGCATCAATGTCAAATGGCAATGAGATGACAACAGCAACACCATCAATGCCAAATGGCAATGAGATGACAACAGCAGCAACAACAACAATGGTAAATGGGCATCATATGAATACAGCAGCAACAACAACAATGTTAAATGGCAATGAGATGCCAACAACAGCAACAACAACTGTAAATGAGCAACAAATGACTACAGCAGCAATAACAACTATGTCAAATGGGTTTGAGATGACAACAACAGCAACAACAATGTTAAATGGGAATCAAACGACTACAACAGCAACAACTGTAAATGAACAACAAACAACTATAGCAGCAACAACAACAACAATGTCAAATGGCAAAGAGATGACAGCAACAGCAACTGTAAATGAGCAACAAACAGCTACAGCAGCAACAACAACAAAGTCAAATGGCATTGAAATGACAACAACAGCAACAACAATGTTAAATGGGAACCCAAAAACTATAGCAGCAAAAATAACAATGTTAAAAGACAATGAGATGACAACAGCAGAAAAAACAATGGTAAATGGCTATGAGATCACAACAACAGCAACAGCAATGTTAAATGGGAACCAAACGACTATGGCAGCAAAAATAACAACTTTCAACGACAATGAGATGACAAAAACAGCAACAACAACTGTAAATGAGCAACAAACAACTACAGCAACAACAACAACAATGTCAAATGGCAATGAGATGACAACTGCAGTGACAACAACTGTAAATGAGCAACAAACGACTATAGCAACAAAAATAACTATGTTAAAAGACAATATGATGACAACTGCAGTGACAACAACAACAATGTCAAATGGCAATAAGATGAGAACAGCAACAACAACTGTAAATGAGCAACAAACAACTACAGCAGCAACAACAACAATGTCAAATGGGAACCAAACGACTATGGCAGCAAAAATAACAACTTTAAAGGACAATGAGATGACAAAAACAGCAACAACAACAACTGTAAATGAGCAACAAACAACTACAGCACCACCAACAACAATGTCAAATGGCAATGAGATGAGAACAGCAGCAACAACAACTGTAAAGGAGCAACAAACAACTACATCAGCAACAACAACAATGTCCAATGGCAATGAGATGACAACAACAGCACCAACAACTGTAAATGAGCAACAAACAACTACAGCAGCAACAACAACAATGTCCAATGGCAATGAGATGACAACAACAGAACCAACAACTGTAAATGAGCAACAAACAACTACAGCAGCAACAACAACAATGTCCAATGGCAATGAGATGACAACAACAGCACCAACAACTGTAAATGAGCAACAAACAACTACAGCAGCAACAACAACATTGTCAAATGGCAATGAGATGACAACAGCAGTAACAACAACGGTAAATGAGCAACAAACACCCACAGCAGCAACAACAACAGTGCCAAATGGCAATGAGATGACAACTGTAGCGACAACAATGTTAAATGGAAACCAAACAACTACAAGAGGAACAACTGTAAATGAGCAACAAACAACTACAGCTGCAACAACAACATTGTCAAATGGCAATGACATGACAACAACAGCAACAACAACAACAATGTCAAATGGCAATAAGATGACAATAACAGCAACAACTGTAAATGAGCAACAAACTACTACAGCAGCAACAACAACAATGTTAAATGGCAATGACATGACAACAGCAGCAACAACAATAATGTTAAATGGAAACAAAATGACTACTACTACAACAGCAAATCCAACTAATACTATATCTTCAAAGCAGAATTCAAGCTCATCATTGATTTCACAAGTAATATCTTTGGTAACTGCAGTATCTAATGTTGTGCAGATAGCTGCTTCCCCAAATCGCGTGAAACGGCAAATCAGTGACAACCTTCAAAGCAGGTATGACGGCAAATATGCTTAAACAATATTGAATGAATGACTAAATGAAAGAATGAAAGATCCAGTCATTGCCTTGAGTTTTGTCATGACAATAAGGGCACGTTTCTAATGTAAACTTCTGATTTTAAACATCCAACAACCCTACAGTAGCAACAATGATGAGAATGTTTCTTATACAGCTAAAATAAATAGATTTTGTTTTGTTCATTTTAAACGCATGAATCATGTTTCTGCAATAAGTCAAGTTACTCAATAAAGACATGAAAAAAATTTTCTTTCAGTTTTATCCGTACTGACACAAGTCTCTTATTTCAAGTAAGTTCATGTTTAAACATGTCACCGATATTCACTATAAACAGGTGTTGTGTAATCCTGATTGATTTTTGTTTAAACAGGGAATAGAAGTTTCGTGTGCTCTAAAAACTGAAATAAAGTAAGTATGATAAAGGATTCTCAATCGGTGTCACTGCAACAAACGTGTTTCACTAATATGGATTTAATAATTCAGCAACACTAGGTGCTCTGTGGTGCTGAGGCTAAACCAGACACTACCTGCTTGCTGCATCCTCCAAACACTCTGTGCAGCCAGTAGGAATTCTCCTAACATCAGCGTGGTGGGAAACAGAGCTGATAAAACAAGTGAGTACTGCATATTTAAAAGAAAACGTTACTAACCACATGACCTCCTTTTATTTAGTAAACCCTCTGATGCTCTGAACAGGTTCACTTCAGCAGTGCAGCAGTAATCCAGAGGAAAACAGCTGCATTTATTCTGGTTCACTAAATGCATTATGGTGAGTTTACAGATCGTGCAGACAATATATATATATATATATATTTTTTTTTTTCTTTTTTTTTTTTTTTTACATATTTGTTTTGTGTGTGTGTGTGTGTGTGTGTGTGTGTGTTGAGTTTGTCTTGATTAATGAAAAAATGAAAATAAGATTTATAAATTAAGTTTTTTATCTTGTCCTCTAACAGTGAAGAGTCTGGGCCTTTTTACACTGTTCCAGCAAATAACTCAGCAAACTGCAGTGCAGGTGAGCTCTTAACACAACTAAAGTTGACCACAAAATTAAACATGAATTAAAACATTTAAAATGTTTATTTTAAAACAAAAAGTTATTTAGTGAAATAAATCATTATTCTCTGATGGTAGTTTCAGGCAACTGCAGCTGTTCAGCTTATTGCAACAGATCTGGTTTGTGTTTTACTACCTTATATATATAATTTTTTATCATAATGAATGCAATCTGAACGATTTAAACAAATTAACTGTGTTTCTGGTTTTAGACGCCTACTACACCTTTTCATTTTTAATACAAGATCCCATGATGAACTCTTCATACATCTCCTCCCTGGTAAAAATCCCATCACTAATTTACTGTTTATCAAGCAGCATGGAGCAGTAATATTAACTAATTCCTGCAGATTTCTACCCTGAAACAAACAGTTTGCTTTGACAGCATGAGGTAAGTCTCGTGTTTTGTCAACCACAGAAATAACGTGTTCAAGAAATGTTGTGTAAAATGTAACATAAATTGCATGTTTTCTAATATTTCTGTGCAGTAGTACATGTCTGTCATCCATTATTGCATCTAAATACAAGGTAATCAGACTAATATACCTGAATAGTATAAGTATTGAAACTTTTCTGCTATATTTCCCAATAAGTGTATGTTTTACCACAGAATGCCAGTGTGGTCTGTGAACAGTCTGCAACATTGTGAGTCATTGATACTAAATCTTGTTTGAGTGTAGTACTTTTGTACTTGAACACATCTGTAGCAGTTAAACAATAATATCTGTAATGTATTTCTCTTGCTTTTTAAAGTCAAAGCTGCAAAGGGATTTTAGGTTTTGGGCACGAGATCCCGATCTGTTCAGTAGCAGCAGCTGTGAGGAATGTGTTTCAGCTGGAAGAACAGATCCTTTTCACAGGGGAAGTGAGACGAGCAGGTGAGTGGATTTTTCACTGATAATTAGAAATACGATCACTTGGATTTAAATAACGTGTGGTATCTCATTTCATGTCTCTTAGCAATTTGTGGAAATCTGAAAGTCAGCAACGACCCACTGGACTCCCAGTTCACCTGGACTGACAGTAACCTGAAACCTGCAAACTTCTGTACACAAGCACAGAACCCTCACACCCTCGCATGGTTTGTGACCTTTCAAAAAAACATCTGCATTGAACATAACTGTCACAATTCAGATTTTAATTGTTTTTTTTTTTGTAGTCAAAATGGAACAAATTTGATTGTGCAGCTGGACGAGTTGTGTGATGCAAGTGTTGTGTCAACTACAACAAACCCATCAACCTCACAGCCAGACGCCAATGTTACAACCTCACAGCCAAACATGACAACCTCACAGCCAGACACCAATGTTACAACCTCACAGCCAAACATGACAACCTCACAGCCAGACACCAATGTTACAACCTCACAGCCAAACATGACAACCTCACAGCCAGACACCAATGTTACAACCTCACAGCCAAACATGACAGCCTCACAGCCAGACACCAATGTTACAACCTCACAGCCAAACATGACAACCTCACAGCCAGACACCAATGTTACAACCTCACAGTCAAACATGACAACCTCACAGCCAGACACCAATGTTACAACCTCACAGCCAGACACCAACTTTACATCCTCCCAACAAAACAACAATGTGACAACCTCACTGCCAGACACCAATGTTACAACCTCCCTGCCAGGTAATGTTACTACCGGCCAACAAGACACCAATGTTACAACCTCCCAGCAAGACAACAATGTTACAACCTCCCTGCCAGGTAATGTTACTACCGGCCAACAAGACACCAACGTTACAACCTCCCAACAAGACAACAATGTGACAACCTCACTGCCAGACAACATGACAACCTCCTTACCAAGTAGCATGACTACCTCACAGCCATATGCCACTACCCTGTCTCAAAATGAGACAGCATTCACCCCAAAGCCACCAGCAACAACTCAACCAAACACAACAACAACAACAAAGCCACTACAAAATACAACAAGAAGCCCAGAAAAGACAACATCTGCTGACAGAAGCACAGCAACAACAATCACTACAACTAACTCTGGGAACTCTTCAGGTAGTTTGACCTCGGCAAGTTCAAGTGTTTTCCACTCGTGGTTTGACGTTTTTTAAAGCAATTTGAAAAAGTAATCAGCTTCTTCAATGCTTCTGTTGTTCTGTTGCGATTTAAATGCTGTGAACAAATGAATCTAATCCGTTGTAGCTCAGTGTCGGTAAAAGTGACATTTTTTGTTTGAAAATGTAAATTGGCTGTAGCAGTTATCTAAAGCTGGGATGACTTCTAAAGCTGTGGACAGTGATGTGGACAAAAGATCACGAGTGGAGTTAATACTGGATTTTTACTGGAGAAACTTCATCTGAGCATCACTCAGAATACCATTACCTACATGTGATGGGTTCACTGATGACATCATTTTACCTTTTTGCCTTTCACCATTTGGTTATAAAAACGCTTGCATACAAACCTAAATATTTCCTTAAACCAGCATGACTTTGAAATAGAAAACATACATTAAAAATCTCAGAATATCTTCATTGCAATTTAGGATAAAGATTAAAAGTTCCATTTGACTTACATGTTAGTGTATTGCATCACAAATAACTTTAAAATTTTGTTTACTGCAGCTGAAAGTCAGGCCGACCGACTGCTGCAGATGACCGGAGACATGTCTAACCTGACCTCTGCAGATTTAGAAAATCTGGTCTCTGAACTGGAGAAACTTCTGTCAGGTCCAACTGTGAGCCTGGCTCTGGGAAACATCTCCATCCATGTTGTCAGCAATCTGTTGGGCGCCTCACCTGAGAAGATGTTGGGCTTCTCCAGAAGGTTAACCATACTCCCTCAGTGTTTCGTAAAATATGATCTTATCAAAGAACCGATTGGAACAAATGTCCTGTTATTAAATGCTGAAATGACTAAATAAAAATGCTTCATCACAGTGATGACTGGAGCCTGCAATGATGACTTGTTTTTCTCCAACAGGATAATTGGGATTGTTGACACGGTGGGGTTGAAGCTGGTAGTTGGAGCAAAAGCTGAGACCCTGTTGTCTCCAGCATTGGCGCTGTCAGTGAAACCAGCAGATGGAGCTCATTTTCAAGAAGCATCTTTTTCCATCTCAGATCCAAACAATGTACAGGTGAGAAAATCACTGATGTGTGATCTAAACATAGTTGGCACTTCTGTTGAAAGAATTCTGTAAAATGTTACTTACTCGGTGGCTATCTTGCTTGTAGGAGCTCTTTAATCATTGAAAAGTTTTGACCTAATCCTAACCCTAACCCATGACACACAAGATACAAAAATAAAAGGTTTTGCATACTTTTACAAAACAAGTCAATTCAAGTATTTCATTTTTCAACAAGAGATAGAGCTGTAAAATATAATGCAAAATAAATGAACTATGGAGCTAGGATTGAGACAATATTCAATGTAACTTGTACCAAGTTTTGTAACTTGGAACATGTTTCATGACATGTAACTTTGGATTCGTAACTTGTAACTTTAGTTTTCTAACTTGTAATTCTCAATTTGTACTTGTATTTCTTGTTTTGTAACAGGAACATTGTATTTTGTACATGTATTTTTTATTTTGTAAAAGCAAACTTTTATTTTGTACATTTACTACTCATTTTGTAACATCACACATTCATTCAGAAACATGAAACTTTCGGTTTTTAACTAGCAGACTTCCAAAATAAAAAAAAATCAATGTACATGTTTGAAATCAAAACTCTCAAAACACACATTTCATTCTAAAGGTACAAACCTCAAATCTACAATGTTACAAATAATTTTGTCTCAATTCTAACTTCGGTGGGAGGAACTTGGGTGGAACCAATGAGAGCACTAGTCTTAGCTACCAATCACATTTCTCGAATTCCTGTCCAATCATTGGGAGAATTACAAGTTAGAAAACTAAAGTTACAAGTTACGAATCTAAAGTTACATGTCATGAAACATGTTCCAAGTTACAAAACTTGGTACAAGTTACATTGAATATTGTCCCAATCCAAGCTCCATAATGAACCGCCTTTTCCATATGGGCTCTGTATGTGAAAACATGCAGCTGGGTAAATAAGTAAGACACAACAATCTGTTAGGTAAATAAAGATGCTGACCGTCTGAAGGTTTTCATTTGCACCGAAGGAGAATGTTCTCTAATTCTCTGTCTCTTTGTATCTGTGTGCTGCAGACCCGAGCAAACTCTAGGCTGAAAAGAAGTGTGGCGGCAGTTTCCTCCATCCCTCAAGGCTCCATCACACTACCTTCTACTCTCACACAGAATCTAACTAGCGAGGAACAGAACCAGGTCTCCAGACTCCAGTTCAACTTCTATCAGAAGAGCACGCTGTTCCAGGTTATATGCTTAACCATATTCTGTAATAGTGCTCCAGGAAATATACCAAACCATCTTCTTTAACAATGTTCCAGGTTATATACCAAGCCATCTTCCTTAATAGTGGTCCAGGTTATATGCTTAACCATCATTAGTTAAGAAAATGCACCATTGACAATCCAAATTTTTTTATATGTTACAGAAAATTATCATTTCTTTTTAAATACATAAAGTTTCTGTTAAATGGAAACATTTTAAAAGTGTACAGAGTTGGAACTCACTATGCTGTCTTTGAACGGCCCCGCAGGACCAAGCGTTAGGTCAGCGTAAACTCAACAGTGGGATTATTGGAGCCAGTGCTGCCAATCTGTCCATCAGAGGGCTGCAGGACAGGGTGATAATCCGTCTGAGAAACACAGTACCGGTTCCAGTAAGGCAACAACTCTTGTCTCTTTCTTTTTGTAATGCTGAAGAACCTAAAAACTGATAAGTGTGTCTCTGTTTCTCTGAACTACAGGCTAATTTTGTAGCAACTTGTGTTTTCTGGGACTTCAGATTGAAGAGTGAGTTGGTTTTAACAATAGGGATGTTTGGTTTACATAATGCCAGCTAAAGACGAGCCGTGTTTTCTGCTTGCAGATGGATCCGGTGGTTGGAATTCAAATGGCTGCATCGTCCAAAACACAACAGACAATGAGACTATTTGTGGATGCAACCATTTAACCAGTTTTGCTATCCTGCTGGTAAAAAAATGGAACAATTACTTATTCTGTTTCTGCTATTAATTCCACTTTCTGATATTTTTTACCCGATATTGCCTTTAAGGACATCTCCAGGCAGCCTACAATCAGTCTTGTTCAGAACACCATCCTCACCTTCATCACATATATCGGATGTGGAGTTTCGGCCATCTTCCTCTCCTTAACTCTCTTAACTTATTTGGCTTTTGGGTGAGTTTTCCACTATTTAGCCATATTTTTTTCTTTATTCAGCTGTTTTTTTAAATGTTGTCTAAACTATTTGCCCCATACAGAAAGTTGCGTAAAGACATCCCATCTAAGATTCTGATTGAGCTGTGCTTCGCCCTGCTCTTCCTCAACCTGGTCTTCCTGGTGGATGCGTGGCTGTCTCTTTATCCGGATGCCATGGGCCTTTGCATCTCTACAGCCTGGTTCCTTCACTACTTCCTGCTGGTTGTCTTCACCTGGATGGGGCTGGAGGGTGTCCACATGTACTTGGCTATTGTGAAAGTCTTCAATAACTTCATGTCACACTACATGCTGAAGTTCTCCCTGGTGGGCTGGGGCGTCCCCATGCTTGTAGTCATCATCGTCATTGCAATAGACAAAAATAACTACGGCCTTGTGTCCTACGGAAAGTTTGTAGATGGGACTTCTGATGATTTGTAAGTGGTTGGAGAGGTTTATTTACAGTGTTCATTTAAAAAACTAACTTCATTCTTTCTTCTCTTTAACAGCTGCTGGCTAAAAAACGATATTGCCTTCTACGTCGCAGTAGTAGCCTACTTCTGTGTCATTTTCGTCTTCAACTTCATCATGTTCATTATAGTTCTGGTCCAGCTGCATCGGGTCAAAAATCAGAATCCTCACAATAATAAGCATCGTACAACAATTCAGGATGTGCGCAGCGTGATCGGGATATCCATCCTCTTAGGCCTCACTTGGGGCTTTGCCTTTTTTGCCTGGGGGCCTCTTAATCTGGCCTTCATGTACCTCTTTGCCATCTTCAACTCTCTTCAAGGTGGGCTTTCTGATCATTCATCTATCTATTCTCTGTGACTGTCAGATCCAGACAACATGTTTTAGTGTAAATCTTGGGCGTGTGACACCAGATATCTCGGTGCTTTGCAGGTTTCTTCATATTTGTCTTCCATTGTGCGGTGAAGGAGACCGTGAGAAGGCAATGGAGGACATATCTGTGCTGTGGCAGAATGAGGCTTCTAGAAAACTCAGGTTGGACTAACTTTCTCTTGAAGTGTTCTGATGGAAGTAAAATACTTTTGTAATGAGATTTAAAGTGTTATAGCGAATCTACTGAACAAGATAACGTGCAAACATGGTCACGGAACAACTAGCTCGCATCTGCTGGAATTAGAAACCCGCATTGCCAGAGGAAACTTGAGAGCGCCAAACACCAGTCATCGTTTTCTACGTCCACACGTCTTTACTCGACTACTAAAATAGTCGTTTGTGGCAGCCCTATTGACGATTAGTCGACTAATCGTGTCATTCATAAAATGTTAGCTTATTGCACCAGGATGCTCTAATATATCCATCATTAGCTTCTAGTGAGAGGTGTGACCAGCTATGTGCCATCTAATAAGACAAGATGATAGCTTATCAAACAACTTTAACTTTCTAACCCGTTAATACAAATGTGGCAGAGTGAACATCCTGTCACAATATCCCGATTGATCATGCGCCCTGGCTACTTGGCCAAGGGGATGTCCCTTTGGCTGACGGGTTAGCGCGCATGACTCTCACCCGGGAGTCTGGGGATCGAATCCCGCCCGGGCCCTCGTTTCTCCACCTTGCCACACAAATGCTTCAGTCAGATAAAGGTAGGTACCGAAAACCAAAAATAAGTTGTACACAAAAATGACTTGTGTTCACAAGAGGCATGGTGGCAAGGTTGAAGCGCTTCATCTTCCAATCTTAACACAGGAAATGTCAGAACACACCAAGGTACGCCTCCGTAGCACGTCTGGTCAACATGTCAGCAGTCAGAGGATCATCGACAGCTCTGAGGGTCTGCTTAAGCGTAAAGATAAAATATATTAAAGTTAGTTTATTTACCAGATTAATAATTCTGTTATATCAAATAATGTTGGTTAAGATTTAACACAAAGAAAATGTTTTAAAAAATATTAGTTTCTTGATTGTTCAGCTAGCAACCTTAAAGTTTGTTTCATTTTTCATTTCCATCATGGTGGTGAAATGGAATCAGCCTGGTAGTTGTCGTGGTAACCTGGGTTGAATTACTCTCTGAAACTTTGATACCGACCGTGTACAGGAGTCTCTCGTGACCAACATGCTCACAACGGTCTCAGGTCGTTAGCTTGATGAGGTGTGCACGTAGCAAACTCATCTATTGAAGAGGAGCACTTTTACTAACACTGTAACATCGCGGAATGAAATCAATCATTAGTATTTTTAAATGGAGCAAAAATATGTGACATACAAACGTGTTCCAAAGGTAATAACATCGCCACTGCTACTGGTGTTGCTACAGCTGTTAGCGGCTAACAAGGTAAACTTACCGAGGCGACTCTTTCTTCTCCGCCATGGCGTGCTTCCTCTTAAGGTGCTCGTGCATCGCCGATGTGCTCCCGTGAAAGGAGAGTCTCACTTTGCAGAGTTTGCACTCTACAGGCCTTTCTTTAGAATTTGTATAATGCTCCCAAACTTTTGAGCTACGTTGCAGACTCGCCATGTTTTCTTTCTGTGGTGACAAAGGCTGATCTGGATGGCCACTACTGCGCATGCGCCTCGGAGCTAAAGCGGCGGCTGAGCAGAGGCAGGAAGCAACCGTCGAACGTGCTGCATTTATAAAATGTTTATAAAATAAACTACAAGTCAACTATTAAATTAATAGTCGACTATTTTATTTGTCAACGCCGTCATGACGAGTCGACTAATCGTGCTGCCCTAGTTCGATGCTGCCGTGTTATTGGCAGAGCTTTTTAGACATGAAAATATTTGAAGCTAATTTGTTTTCCAAATTTGCTATTGCAGCTTTAATCTTGTATTTTTGGCTTTTCTTTAGAGTGGAGTCGTACTGCAACACAGAAAACCACAAAGAGGTCCCCTCTGACGTCTGTTCACTCCTCACACAACTCCCCCAGATCCTCTTCATTTCTTGTCAGCAACTCTTCAAATGGCATCAGTAAGACAGGACTCTGTTTACCAGCTGTATTCTACTGCACGATGTTTAGTATGGGCCACATAAAAATAAGGAGAATAGCTTCATTAATTCTGCTTATTTATCATGGTACGTTGCAGGTAGTCCTTTTAGCGATCGAACCATCACAGCTGATGAAGATCCAGGAAGTGACGTGGTTCTCAATGAGATCAACAACCAGTACAGACACCAACATACATCCTGATCCAACTAAAACACTAAAATATTATTACATGTAAATAAGCAGAGTAACTTATTTATATTTTATAAAGTTGACTAAAAGCACTTTTTAAGCAAAAAGCACATTATTTGTATTGCATGTTACTTTTACAAAGAACCTTATTCTCTCTCTCTCTCTCTCTCTCTCTCTCTCTCTCTCTCTCTCTCTCTCTCTCTCTCTCTCTCTCTCTCTCTCTCTCTCTCTCTCTCTCTCTCTCTCTCTCTCTCTCTCTCTCTCTCTCTCTCTCTCTCTCTCTCTCTCTCTCTCTCTCTCTCTCTCTCTCTCTCTCTCTCTCTCTCTCTCTCTCTCTCTCTCTCTCTCTCTCTCTCTCTCTCTCTCTCTCTCTCTCTCTCGCAATAAATATACGTATCAAGTTAAACCCGGGGGTCTCTTGTCATTCACTTTAATAAATGTTTTAAATGAAAATAAGAATTTTGAGATGACAGTTGTTTAAAGATCCACTTTGTTTCTGCATCCGCTCATCAATCCCATTAGATGTCACTGAGGAATGGTTATTTACTTAGAACAAATATACTAATGCACCAAAAACCATCCATTTTAACTTTGAATAAAATACTATAATAATCATATTACAAGCTAAACAGTCTTTTGCATAAGAAGGTGGTGTTTGGTAGGTTGGAGTCGTCCTCCATCCACAGGCTTGTGTCATGTACATCAGTTAAAATCAGAAGTTGTTGTTTTGGAGAACTGAAGGGATCAGACGAGGCCTCAGTGGAGGGTCTCAGAGAAGGAAGTTTCATGCTTTCCCAAAAGAGGAAGAGGTTGTTAGTCTCAGTCTTGCAATGGGTTTTAGGCCACAAGATAAAAATGTATTTATTTTATTTATTTAACTTATGTTTTTTTCAGGAGGATAAACTGCTTGAGATGTAACATCTCGTTTTCGAGCAGGTCCTCCTACAACACAACCAATAACAAATAAGGTGGCAGAGTTAGAAAGTTGTAACAGAAATAAAAAAAAAAAGGGGGAAAGTAAATAATAGTAAAATCAACGATATGTATAAATGTATATATATACACACGTAAATATAAACACATAAGCAAGGATACATAGATACCAACAAGTGTACATACGTACATACATACCTATATACCAAATTAAATTAAATAAAACTGCTGTGAGGCACTCAAAGAGAAATAAGGGCAAGAAATTACATTGTAAATAAACCTAAAATGAAGTAGTATCCCAATTGAATACAAAGTTTGGCAACGAAATACAGCATGTTAGCCATTGAATGCACAAAATCATCATAGTAAAGATTAAACAAAGCAACTACAGCTTGGCTTTACATAAGCATAAACAGTGCGGGAAAATTTACGAATTGTTGAGATGGATCTTAATTCAGCGGGTAATTTATTCCAGTCCTGAGGAGCTTTAACACAAAAGGCGAGTCTACCCACCTCCTTTTTAAAACGAGGAACAACAAATGATGGAAGAGTGGTTAAGCGGGTTGAATACAAGGAATCAATGGGAACCAAAAGTGTTTTTAGATAAAGTGGAAAATCAAAATAAATGCACTTAAACATAAATATCAACCAATGAAATTGTCGTCTAGCTTTTAAAGGAAGCCAACCAAGAAGATCATACATATAACAATGATGAGTGTTAAATGAACACCGCAAAATAAAACGACACAAACTGTTATAGACGACATCAAGAGACCGCAGGCTAGAAACTGTTGAGTTTTGGTATAAAATATCAGAATAATCAATGATCGGTAACAGAAGCTGAGTGACGATGCACTTTCGAACAATAGGTTCAAAGCAATTTATTGAGTTATAAAGGATACGTAAACACCGTGTGACCTTAAGACATGTTGTGTGAATGTGAAATTTAAAAGACAGCTCTGGCTCTAGCCAAACTCCTAAATATTTCATTTTAACAGACGGTTGAACCGGGGAGGAATCCAAAAAATAAAGATTAAGAGTCCTGTCACTGTCAGATAGAGTTCTACTTCTGTGAAACAGCATGGAGTAAGTCTTAGATTTATTTAAAAGAAGTTTGTTCTGCGTTAGCCAGAGCTGCACCTTGTCAAAATTAGGCTGAATAGCTTCTTGTAATTCGGATTTACTCGACTTAGAACAGTATAAGACTGTGTCATCTGCATATAACTGAACAGAACAGGATCTGCAGCACTGTGGTAAATCATTAATAAAAATTGAAAATAATAATGGCCCAAGTGAGGAGCCTTGGGGAACACCTCTGATGACACCACGCATGTTTGATTCAGAACCATTAAAGGAAACAAATTGAGAACGATGATGAAGAAAAGAACTAAACCACAGTAGAGACGGCCTTGACAGACCAAAAGCATATAATTTATCTAAAAGTAGATAGTGATTGACGAGGTCAAAGGCTTTTGTTAAATCAAGAAAAATCGCACCACCAAATAAATTATTGTCAAAACCAGAATAGATGTCATTAGAAAATTTGAGCAGTGCAGTAGTTGTCGAGAAGTTTTTTCTGAACCCCGATTGGTACTGTGATAGTAGGTTGTTATCCTCTAAGTATTTAGATAGTTGGATAAAAACCAGTTTTTCAAATACTTTAACAACTGTATTAATTATAGCAATGGGTCTATAGTTATTAGGTTCAGATGTATCATTTCCTTTATGCAGTGGTATTATTTTAGTACATTTCCAAGCTTTTGGAACAGAACATGAGTTAATTGAATGATTAAAAAGAATAGATAATGGTAAGGCTAGAACATCAGCAGCTATCCTAACAAAGCGACTCTCAATGCCATCTGGACCTGCAGCATTCCCACTAGAGAGAGACAGTATAACTTTACGCACTTCCTCAGAACGAATTTCAGAAAAAGAAAATCCACTGGAGCAACAGTGAGGCAGGGTGTAAGACCCATGATGTTCTGCAGAGGCAGGGAGAGGAGAGGAAGCAAAGTGCTTACTGAATGCTTCAGCAATTTCAGCCGGGTCATTAATAAGACTCCCATTAACATTCAGATGTGAGATTTTAACATTAGTTTTCCCCCTCAGGTCTTTAATTTTATCCCAGAAGCGCTTAGGGTTATTGATATCCTTATGCAAAGCATTCTTATAAAAATTAGCTTTAGCATTCCTAGTCTGGGTAGTACAGAAGTTCCTTAGTTTTCTATAAACTGTCCAATGCTCATGCAGATTGCTAAGTTTTGCTACTTTCCACGCTTTGTCGCGCTTCTTAAATAAAGCAATTAAATCATGAGAAATCCAAGGCAAATGGCTGCCCTTAATTTTTACACTGACCCAAGGAGCATGTTTATCAAGAACCTGCATGAACTGAGAGTGGAAAAATGCCCAAGCATCATTAACATCAGGTATAAGAAACAATCTATTCCAATTAAGAGAATGCAGCTCCTGTAAATACTGATCAGTATTAAAAGTATGCAAGTCACGAAGTCTGATCATCTTAGCTGGTGTATGTGGTAAAGATATTTTCCAGAAGCAAAAAATAACAGAATGATCACTAAAACAGTTGGGCAAAATGCCATAATCAGAAAATCTGTCTGGGTGAGTTACTAATATCCAGTCAATGAGAGAAGAGTTTGTGGCACAAGTCCTAGTTGGCTCTGAGACCAGCTGTGTCAGATTTGAGCTATTTAAAAGAATACGTTCTGGAAGAGTAGATTCATCAAGCCAGTTAAGATTGAAGTCGCCAAGTAAGATCAATTCCATTGAGTCCCCCAACGAATCAACCGTTGCTAGTAAATTTTGTATTGCTTCAAGTCTAGGGGAGGAGGGGGGGCGATAGATGTTGCCAATTATAATGTGCTTATTTCCATTAAAAGAAATTTTAGTAAAGATGGCTTCGAAGTGAAGTGGTTTGACTGTCGGGACAATAACCTGAGACTGCAGACTAGAGGAGACATAAGTGGCAGCCCCGCCACCCCTTGTCCCTCTATCCATTCTATATAAAACAAAGTTGTCAAGAGAAATATCATTGTCAGAAATGTTATCATTCAACCATGTCTCAGACAACGTAATTATTTTTGGTTCATTATAACCAAGCCATGCTTTTAATAAATCAGTTTTAGGAAATAAGCTTCTTATATTGAGATGGATTATGTGTAAACCTTTACCCATAACAAGAAAAACGAGGTACAAAAATAACCCTCACAGCAGGCAGATACAGAAGAAAATCTAAAACAAAAATAAACAGAAAAAAAAGAACAAAATATAATAAAATTACACGGAAATTAAATGAGTTATCACTCATAGTCCAGAAAGTCTCAGATCTGAGCCCATGGCCTGCAACCTGCTCAAAGCACAGCCACCTAAACTAATAAAGATTGCCATAACTCAACAAGGTGGCTGGATTTTATCAATATAAGTAAATAAGAATAAAGTAAGGATAATTTGACCTTAGACGAAATTTGATTTCACCGAACAAGAGGAGAAGCAAAAACAAAAAGGAATTACCTACTCTGCGGAAGAGCCAGAATTAGAATAATAAAAGAAAGAGGAAAGTCACAAGTCCGCCCTCCGCAGGTGCTCGTACACCCAAAACCTCTCAGGGCATCTCAACCCAAAGAGTCCAGGTGACTTTCAGCAGCCACTGGGTCTGTAAAAAGCAGATGATCACCATCAGAGATTATCTTGATGCTTGCAGGATAAAGAAGAAAAGCTTGTAGTCCCAAGGCGCGAGCCCGGTTCAAAACCGGGAAGCAGCGGCGTCTCCGACGAGCTGTTTCATCGCTGAAATCAGCAGCAAATCGAACCGATTTACCAGCCACCAGCACCTCAGACTTCCTTGCCAGAGCCAGGATCCGATCCCTGTCATTCGCTCGGAGAAAACAGACCACCAAGGTCCGAGGAGACCCTGACGCGCCAGGTTGTCCAACCCGCCGCGCCCGAGTTATATCAGGAGAAGATCCCGCCAGCTCTGGGAACCACACCAACAAGTTGCTCCTAAGATAGGATAGAGCATTGTTGAGCTCAATCCCTTCCTTTAAATTGAGGATCCGGATATTATTCCTTCTACTTTGATCATCGAGGGCAGCAATCTTCCTCTGTAGTTTCTGCAGGTCTGCGCTCTGAGCCACGGAAGCGTCCTCCACGCACCGCACCCTTTTTTGGAGTAAGGTGGTGATTTGTTTTTGAGTTTCAAGCTCTTGTGTGTGCTTGTCAAGTGTAGATCGAATTGAGTCAAGTTGAGAATCAAGACTATCAAACCGATCTTTGGCATGTTTTTCTGCTTTGTCAAAAAACTTTTGAAGAGTAGACTCCAAAGTCTCCTTGTTCAGGACTTCCAGTGACACGTCAGCAGCGTCGTCGTCAGAGCCCTTAATTTGATCTTTCTGCTGGCGCTTAGGAGGCATTTTTATCAGAAATATGGCTTAGTCAATCACCTTTTTTCCACTCCTTCAAAAAAGGCCTTAAATTCAAGTACCAGATGCAAAAAGGTCAAAAATCCAGGTAGTTAATTAAATAAGGCAGGAGAGACCGCAGGCACACAACCACTCACTCCGCCATCTTGTTGGATACTAAGAGGTCAGGGAGTGTACCTCCCCTATGTCTGTGTGCTCATCTATAACTATATCCTTCAGATGTTTCTGCAGAAGCCGTGAATTGCACTGGCTGTTCCCGGAGAATGAACAATTGCAATCTGCAGTTTGGACACAAGGTGTCTCCCTTGGCCCTGGAGCAGGCTTAGTTACTTCCTGCACGCTGGACCTGATCTCATGTGGAACCTACCAAGCTTCTCTACCCCAGGGGCATCAAACCTTCTCGGGTCAAAAATAAGAAAAATAAAAAGTTTGATCACTGTCATTTCTTGTAAAAAGGAAGACAAGTTTCCCATGTTGAGTTTGGAGCATCAGTAAAACTAATTCCCATGTCTTCATGGCGTAGCTTCAGAAGACAGGATTTGGAGTCTTATTTCCTGGTATTTGGACATCTCTCCTCTGATTGGCTAACAGCAATGCAACTCTACCACTGGTATTGTTTGCTCTGCAGGGTTGATCTCCACATTAAACAAGCCTGAAGGAGTTCTGCTGAGTGGTGGAGTTGCTAATGCTAACAGTTAGCTTCTACTAGTCTAGTCGAGATGTTCTCTGCTCTTTCCTGGATGCCAAACCAACAACAGCCTTCCCCGTCACGAGTCAAGATGGGTGAGTCCACGCTAGAAGATCTGTCAGGCTTTTCAAATCCTAGTTTCACCATCTATTTTCTATCATAAGCTAATGCAGGAGATAGGCTGAACATGAAAATAGTCTCCTACACCTAAATGTTAAACTCAGGGCGACTGATCATTTAAAATAGATTAAAAATGATTTCTCAGGGCCTCTTTAAAGTTTTTCACTGATTATTCTGACTGACAACATTTGACCAGGCCATCAAAATGGTACTTTCAGTTTTTCCTCCTTTCTTGGAGATCATATTAACTTATGTGGATCAGGAGAGTGAAAAGCAGAAAAACCTGGAGCTCCCGTCAGACCCTAGAGCTCCATTGTCCAGGAAAAAACTAATTTACTGAGAAGTTAAAACTTCCCTGCTGTTGCTGAGCTTGTGGCAGCATCTGTCACAGTGCATTCTGGGACATGTAGTTTTAACCCAGGTGCTTCCCGTCAATCATTAAAGCGACAATATGTAATTTTTACCATTAATCTCTGGAAATATCCAATGAAATGTTGTTGTAAATGAATTAAAATATACCCAGTTGTTGAAAAATATTAGCGGTTTCATTAAATATAATCATAACAATCAGGCCTAAAATGCATGCCATGTTCCCTTCTACGCAAGCCCGCAAAGGCATAATGCATTAACTGATTTGTAACAAATGGCTACAACACTTTCAGCATTAATAAATTTTCTTTTACACATTTACCTCTTCATCCCTTCTTCACCCTATTGGCCATCTGTTGGTAAGGTCTTACTTGAACACAAAAATAAGGCTTGCTTGCAATGATTTAGGTATCTACTGCCCCCTATGGCCAGGACAACTACACACTGTCACTTTAAATGTGGTCTCACAGACCAGATTAAATGGTTATGGGTTTGGTGCACATGTCCTAGTCCATGCTGAGAACTGGAAGTGCCCCATTAATGACTAGATCTCAAAAGCAATACTAATTCAAGCCTGAAAGAAATTAATGTTTTATCAATTTTTTTTTTTTTTTTTTTTTTTTGCAAATAGGAAGATTTTCTTGTAAGTCAATGAATAAAGTCATTTTCCTTCAGAACACTTTAATTGCAGATGGTCACAACTTATGTCAAGCAGAACAGGACAGAATCTGGTGAACCTATGAATAAATAAGCATCCCATCGAATGTGCCGTGTACTGTATATATGCAAGCTACATTCACCGTCCTTAGCATGCACCTAATATACTCAATATATCAGGAGAAATCAAAGGTGCTAATAAAACATAACATAGAAACAGCACGAGCACAAGAGTGGCGCTAACATGGAGGAGGAATGGCTTCCCTTTTAAAAACACAACTGGTCCAGTCTGGCGTGATCACACTGCCTCCAAACAACGTAAAATATTCAGGTAAACAAAAAGGGTCGGCTCAAACAACACTATTAAAAAAGATAAAGCACATCATCAGTGTATCAAATCAGTGTTTAAACGTCCAAATGTTCCTTCAGAACACGCTCAAATGAACAAGTCAATCCTAAAAACACAAAATAATAAACACAACTTAACATCTGAGCAGGAGAAAGGGCGACTGGGACTGATGGGGAAGATGAACGTCACTGTGCCTCTTTAAGGTGAGATGGGATTTAGCTTTAGGTGTTCCTGAGTGTTTCTCCATCTAATTTAAGCATCTATGTTCTGATGACTGCTGCATTCAGAGGTCTACGCCATAAATAAGCACATTTTACTAGTTGTGAAAATAAAAACCAAAAGTTCTACCAGACTTTTGTGTCTAAGCTGGTTTTAAGTAGCTGCCTTCTAAGGGCTAAAAAACTAAACCAGAAAGATGAGCCTGTTTATTGCCAATAAAGAGAGGAAGTTAGGATCAAACCACTTTGCATGCCAGCCACTAACTGATTTACTTGAAGCTGTATGTGTTAATATCAGATAGAACCAGGTCAGTCAGTAACCTACATATTAAAGCATTGATGAGTTAATGTCGCCATCAGACCGAGGAGCAGTCACACATTCACATTCCAGCTGCTGCACATTTTCAACCAAAAATCTTCAGATCTTTACTTCTTCCATGCAGTGTAGAAAACCCATCTGATGAAACATGATTAAGGAATTAAACATTTATGTTTTGCTTAGTGGATCATGCATCTGTGGTCCTGATTAAAGGATACTGCTCCAGGTAGGAGGGCACGCACACCACCTCTTTGCGGAACTCCACCGGGCACGAGAGCTTTTCCAGCTGTTCTTCATACAAACTCAGTGCCTCTGTCAGATTTACACTGTTACCCTGGCAACCAGTAGGAGAAATGAAGTTAATAAATGTCAAAAGACAACCAAACAAAATTTTATTGACCCAGTAAAATCTGGGGACATAAAACTCGAGATGGTTTGCTGCATTTATTGAATAAAAACTGTGTCTTGGTTTGTCAAGTTTGGTTAGCTTGCTTGTTTGTATTTTATTCAACCATTCATTCCTAAAAGTATTAAAAAGGTAATAAAACATGGGTGCTGAGACTGTCTCTGCTAAGTGTGTCAAAGGTCAGACTGCTCTGCACATGACAGAAGGATGCCACTTAACAAAGCTGCTTTCTCATTGTTTAGACAGATTTCATCAAAAACATTCGTGTTATTGTACAATGTCTTCTCAAAACATGCTAAATCAATAGATTTAAGTTAAATAAACCAAAAAACAGCTTCACAACACTCTTGTACCGAGGTTTGAATAATTCATTCATTTAAAAGCCCTTAATTATCCTGATTCTGGTAACAGGAAGTGGGAGGCCCTACAGATACAGGTGTAAATATACGGGTGAGTAACAAGCAGGTGTTCTCACGTTTGAATCAGTTCATAATGTTGTTCTTTTTTTAGCTTTTTCACACATAGAAAACAGCAAACTCAACATTAGTAAACCACTATGAGCCCGGTGAGAATGGTTTGTGGAACTGTCACAATTGTTTTAAGTGTGGGAAAGGGAGGGAATGTGGGTTATATGGGACATTTTAATCTGTTACGCACTTTGTGTTGCATCCTATGCATGAAAAGTGCTATAGAAAAAGTTTGATTTGATTTGAGAACGCCCCTGATTGGTCAGATTGTCTGGGGGCGGGGCTACCAGCGGATTCTGAGTTGTAATTCTGAGCTACTAAGCATGGACTGATGCCTCTCTTCCAGAGCCGTTTAGTAATATTCCAAACTTTTAGTGTTTTTATGAGTCAGATTTGATAAATCTGAGGCAGCAGGGAGTCTCCCCATGGCCATTTATTTACAGAACAAAGTACTACATGTACAAATGGAATGGTGACAAATTCTTTCCTGGCAAACCCGGCCTTATTTAGTGAACACAACATTCCAGCAGAAGCAAATACCACCAGCTCTCAGAAGACCGTACACATTGGTCACATGATTTTAGCTCCAACAGAGTTTTAAATAAACATGGACGTGTTTTCCTCTAAATGAAGCATATTGCATCATTTAAATGTGGGTAAAACTGCACCGATTGGTTGGCAGAGCAGTAAGACATGAGGAAGTCACGTTGTTGAAATCTGCTGAAGCTAAAAGCCGAAACTCACCTGTGTGAAATACTTCCCCTTGGGATGCAGGACGCGTATGGACAGATCTAAGATGAGTCGTAGGAATTCCCACATGGAGTCTGTGGAAAGTGAACACAACACTTCTCTAAAATGCTCGTATGTCACACAACTACCATCAGACATATGACAGGGAGGGCGAGTAAGCACCTTCTTCTGGTGCAGTGGATATTGGAATTGCAGTCAGGTCATTAATTACATAGTCAAACGTCCTTCCTTCCTGGACATACTTTTTCAGCAGGGGGACGCAGTCCTCAATTAGAATCTGTAATCATGAGACCAGATGGTTCCGTATTTACACAGAAACTTTCCACATCCTGTCGATTAAGCACTTAGACATGAACATTTTGGTTAGTTACAGTTGAATGAACAACTAAGTTACTTTTATTGCCATTACAGACTTAAAAGGCACACTGCCAGTTTTGCTTGCTTTTAGCACCCCCTAGTGTCCGTTTAGTAAAATGAAAAGTAAAACTTTTCTCCTCGCTTTGCGTTCGTCCATAACACCTTTAATGTAGGGATGTCCAGATACAACTTTTCCACTTCCGATATGATACTGATATTGCACCCTTCATATTGACCGGTTCCGATATCAATCCGATATGATATCAGCACAAACCATGTATGAAAGGGTTGATCAAGTGATATTACTCAATAAGATAACAAGATCCAATAACAGTAAGTATGAAAAAAATGATAAATATTTTCTTAATCGTTGGTTGCAAAAATGTGAACCTTAACGGACCGCTTGTATCATAGATTTTTGATGTTGTCCAATATAATCCAATGCTGTTTTGGGGCCGATTTCAAATTAATTCCGATATTGAGATCGGAATTAATTCGATATCGGCCCAAGGGACGTCCCTACCTTAATCTAACAGCTGAAATGTCTCCCCAGCCTTCATTAGCGTCTACAGGACCAATTCATGACTAAATTAAACAAATTAGCTGTGTTCCTGATCTAAAACATGCAGGAAGCAGACTGCAGCTCTAGTTATGTCAGCTCCTTAATTTTTGAAGTCTAACAGATCGGACCGGTACTCTCAACGTTTGTTTCTTGGATGATTTTTGATTCCGACACGGAGACAGAGGTGAAAGAGAAAAGAAGAGACAAAAGGAGGGGGGGTCCACAAAAATAAACAATCAATGATGAACAAGAGTCTGCTTCTAGACCCGCAGAAAGAGGAAAAACTAACAATAAAAAACAACACACAACAACACAACAAGAGCAAGCTATCACTGCTTCAACCTAATGAGGAAATATAAAATCAACATTTTTACTGAACAATCACACGATTATAAATCACAGTGCATTTAGTGCCAACCACAGCCTTAAGACAGGTGTTGAAAATGCTCAAGTCCATACTTATGAGAGCACCGGTGTGCGTTCATGCGCTTTTATATGCAAGGTTTCTCTTTATTTGCACTCTCAAGTTGCAAATGCAGTATTCTGGCCACAGAGGGCGGTGGGGTCTGAGTGACACATCAATAACCTTTAGCACATACTGGCTCAAGAAAACGATTTAAAAATATGAAAAAGCTAAAGAAAGCGAGGCAGTGGATTTTCTATGAGTGGGTCTCCAGCACTTACTTGGTAACAATCTCCCCTCAGGGTGTCCAAAGTATTGCCACAAGTTTTCCTCATGTGCATCTTGCACCCGTCTATCACCTTCTGATCGATGTAGACGCTTCGTTAAAGAACGATAACTCAGATGTAGAATAACATCATATGAGAGAGTATGCTGAGCAGAAGCCATAAAGGATATCTCCACCATGGTGATCATCTTTGGCTTTTGTTTGACCAACTCAGCTAGGATGCCTCCATCACCTCCTCCTAATATCAGCACTTCTTTTCCTGCATAATTCTCCTTCCCGCTACCGGTTATAGCTTGGGTGTAGGCGAGATCACTCTCTGCCAAGTCTGCACAGAAAAGAGAATAATTACACACCCTCAACAATTTTTTTACACAGGGCAAAGGAGAAGCTACCCACTCTTAACATTAGGGTTCGTCAGCTGAAGCATGCATATTTTGAGGTACTGTAATAGCGGAGAGCCGTAACTATTTGCTTATTGAAACTGAAATCAGCTAGCCCATTTATTACTAAAGTGAAACAACTGATGATTGATTGTGAACATTTTAGTCAGGAACAGCTGCTCTTCTCCCAAACTGACTTATCTTGCGTGCACTATCATGCTTCATACACTTACTAACATCTCCATCGAGCACAAGAATATTTCCATACTGCTGTGAGTGCAATATCTTTATGTTTTGGTATGCAGAATCTTCTTCGTACACCACCTCATCAACGTCATACTCCACCAATCTCCCATCGGCTGTGGGCCAGTATCGGTCAACTTTAGCTCCTCGCACCAGAGCTGGGAGCCTTGAAGGACACGTGGAAGACAACAGTTATTGCGTGAATCTGTAGCAATGACCTTAAATTTACCATTTGCACATGCAAAACAGCAGCAAACCAGAAACAACTAGATCCTTACTTTTTGATCCTTGCAACATTGTCATTTAAGAGAACTTTTAACTTCTTTTCCAGTGCATTTAAAAGCTGTGGAGGGAAAAAAAAGACCTGTTTTACAGTGACATTACTCTGTGACTAGCTTTGAATGAAAAATGAATCCTTGTCAAGATTTCTGTAGACTTTGCTTTGTGCTAGATGTCGTACATTGTCTAGCTGTGCAGTGTTGTCATCTTCATAACACTGCAGATCGATGGTGACTAACCCATGGGAGTGCACGCGGAGAATGACAAGCCTGAGAAAGAAGACAGAAAATCATGCAGAGCATTAAAATAAGAACCATTGACTCTTTGCACTGATGTTACTTGATCACATGGGTCCACCATATTGGACAGCAAAAGCATGTAAACAGTGAGCAGAATGATGTTTAGCTTGGCTTAGGGCTGGGCGATACGGCCTAAAACCAATATCACGATATATTGAGGATTTCACCTCGATAACGATAAATGGACGATAACTACAGGTATGCGCAGAATCAAAAGTTGTCCACTAGATGGGGCTGCTACATGTATTACGTTGAGTCACATTTTTATGTGACTCAAAGTGGTAAAGCTTCTTCAAGGGACATGGACGTTGTCAACCTACACACATTTTTTTTCATTATCAAATTTATTGACATGGGAAAAATGATCTCGAGGAGTCAAAAATTTTGATAATGATACCTATTCGATGTATTGCCCGGCCCTAGTCTGGCTTTAACTAGTTCAAGCCCAGTTCAGTTGTCAGAAGAAGTAGCACACCTTGATCGGGCAACAGTTGAACAGAGAAGAAAAGTGGGGACTACGGTGGTTTTTAGAGGTGCTGAAAAAAATCGATTCAAGTTTGGGATTCTTATTTATAAAGATTCAGAATCGATTCACAAAGGTTCAGAATTGATTCCAAGAACTCAAATATTTGGCATGTTACAGGTTTGAGATGCACTTTTTTGATCTTTGTTAGGAGAGTCAGTACTCCGTTTACTTTTGTGGTCCCATAAATTGAGATGATTTATGTTTGAATCTGCTGATAAGAGGGTACTTGAATGTAATTTTTTCCATACTCAGAAATTTGAGATATTCTCATATTTATTTTCTAAGTTGATAAATGAGTACTCAGGAATACTCACGTAACTTGTTTCTACACATACTTGAAAAGTATTTGACCGTATTACTTTCAAAGCTACTGTTAGGCAACTACAGATGTGTTATATTTTACAAGGTAAGCAAAAATAAATTTTGCCTTTTGGTCAAAAGATTGCTTCTGTTTACAGTTTTAGAATCACTTTATTTTACATTGTAAATCTGCATTTTTGGAGCATGACCAGTTTAAAGTCAAATAAAAATGTCCCATAGCTTTAACTAACTTGTACAATAAAGTAGTTAATCCTGGACCTGACACTCTTTGTTAATACTGATTGTGAATTGTTACGATCCCCACTATTGTGTGGCCGTAAATGTGCGGTTTTTCTTTTTTTATTATTGTGTTTGTTTAAAATGTCGCATTTAAGTTCTGAACAGATAAGGACACAAGTTGACGGACAGAAACCATGGCTACAAGACATGATCGCTGGAGGGTGGCGTCCCCGTTGCCGTGGAGACGTGCCGGGATTCCTTCGCTGCGGATGTTCTCTCCGATGACGTCATTGGGAAATCCTCGCTCCGAATTAAGCAGCCACACCTGCAGCTCATCTTGGACTGAGTGTGTTTGTTCCCGTGAGGGGATAAAAGGAACGCTGGATACACGCCCGAGGAGCTACTCCTAACCCATGAGTAGTCTCCATTTCTGCTCCGTTTTGGACACCCTGACTTTGTAGAATACGGTTGTGATTACGTGCGCGTGGGAAAGCCTCTGCGTGGTATTCTCCTTAAGCCTGAGTCAGTGGTCCCTAGTATCTAGTGCCAATCGCTTCATACTGGTATCTTTGCCTTGACAGAACACGAATAATTCGCTGTTCTTTAAAAGGCTTGTTTTGTTTGGCTGCAGAGAGCCTTTTTTGCTTATAGAAGCTCTTAGAAACCCGTACCAGCTTAAGTAAATATTTCATTTGAAAAGCTACCAGAGATCTGTTGATTTTAGTTTGTTTTCCAGCTTTTAATTAAAAGCTGTGATTTTTCTTTAGTACCTTTTTATTTGACTCGGGAGTTTTCTTTGTTGGGCTGTGTCTAGTGGCATTTGTTAGAGCCTCCAGCCCCAAGAACAAATGTAAGCTGTGTAACAAAAATGTGTTTTAATTAAATAAGGAAAATATTTTTATACCCAGGTTTCTTTCTCATCTGTTCTTATCTATTCTCTGTCCTCTTAGCTTCTTAAAGAAAGGGGTAAAGCATAAGTAAGAACCTAACATGAATCGATTTAAATTGAGAATCGAATCGGCACCCCAAGCATCGGAATCGAATCAAATCGTGAGTTGCTCTAAGATTCACATCCCTAGTTGTTATTTATTTATTTATTCCATTTTAGCCTGTTTTCTACTAGTTTAAGCCCAGATCACTTGTGGGAAGATTTAGCACACCTAGGTAGGGCTCATAATAAAGGCCTTCCATGCCAGCACTGGCTCTACTAGATTCAGTAGTAGGTATTCACATCCGCATAGACTGGATTTCTCTGCATGCAACCGGTCGTTTTTTCAGCCCTCTTCCAAAGGCGGGCTGCTTTGAGCTGAAGTGGTGCAACACACCCACTGCCGACTGATTGGCCGGCTCAAATTCACACCTACCATTAGGTAATTACGCAAGTGGGAAGCCCCCGCTGGTACTCGCCAATCAGAGGCTCCCCACATACGTGATTCATTATTCTGGATACTGTGGACTAAACAACACCTCACTGAAGCCGTTTCTTTTTCTCTGTCCCTCTCCAGGGAGCACATGTACTCAGGGCTGCTAGTTTGTTACTGCTGCAGCTCATCTCTATTCTCCATCAGAGTTATTCAAAATAACTGGCTTGTTTTGATTTGTTTCACAGGAGATTCCACTTGTTGAAAAGGAATTTCTGTCATCCGTAAAGGTTAAGGGGCGGCCCCATGAGTGGCGTGGCATCAAAATTAAAGGGTCAATATCTATAAGACACCAGTGTGGTCAGTGAACACCAGGAAAAATAACTAAAACAACATTCCAGCCTGAAGTATGAGAGGCAACGCAGTGCAAACAGGAACAATTCCATTTTACTTCAGGAAGACAAGCTGAATTCATACAAACAATAGCTGCCATTTATCAGCGTGAACACGTCCAGCATGCTTAAGTTAATCTAGGGATACAGTCATAAAATATCCTAAAAATACAAGAAAAAAACTATTGAAAATATACAAAATGTCCCACTAAGACGCGTATTTACACAATAAAGGAACTGAGGTGGATTTTAATTCTTACCGGCCATTTTTGCCAACAAATGTAGCAAGATATCCATGCCCGTTTGTGTCATGAATGGTTTCTGCCAGTTCCTGCTCATGAAATATGGACAGCAAAGCAGGAACTATCGAGGCAGAGTCAACTGGAAACACACAGGCAGAAGAATGACTAACACTCACGCTCTCTGAAGAAATATGAGAAAAATGTGGTGATATAGAATTATAATGGAGCAGTGTTCTACAAAACAAGGTTTGGTCTCACGGATCTTACTGTTACTCAGTTACTACACAAACATTTAATGAAACTTACATATTGCAGACAATCAATTTCTACAGCTAGGTTCACCCAGACTAAGAACTACAATTTTAAATAGTAGCTATTTTTAATCCATTCACAATTGATTAATAAATTATTATGCAGCATTTTAACCATAGAATACATACAAAGCCCCAGCAAAACCACAATAAAGTAAACATTTTGCTTTATTAGACGTATAACCTTAGAAAAGTACAAAAACTTTTAGTTAGGTTTTTCTTAATGTTTTATTTAACACCCTTACTAATAAAATCGAAAAATATAAACAAAACCCCGTGTGTATTTCTATTGGTTTCTATTGTTGCGTCGACCTTTGGGGGATTTTAAAGATAAAAATATTAACTGCTTTAACACGCTACCAAAAAACTACAAAAATGGCGGAAACGGCACCACGTTCTATGCGACAGTGCTGATTGAACGTGCCTTATTTATACTAGCCAGGCAAATAATGAGCTGCTGTTTTTGAGCGTTTAGGGCAGAAGTAGCGACAAATAACACCCTCCATAACGTTAAGGTCAACCAAACTAGCAAGCATCGCAGTAAATACGCTTAATAAACTTAACTTAATAAATCTAAACTTTAGGCATCAGTTTATTCGTGCTGTCTGAGTTCTGCTCCATATAAATCAACCTAACATTGAGTTCTGAAGGGCACTAGCAGGTTGATATTAGCTGGTTAGCTAGTTAGCTAACACGCAGCCTGGAAGCAGTGTCCGTTAGCTGAATAAACACTGTTTATGAAACCTCACCGCACTCTCCTTACCTGCCGTAGAAAGATTAAAGTCGAGAGTATAATGTCGCACTGCCATGTCTCACTGCAACCGACATCCATGCCTGGGATAACAGGCTGCGAATACTTATCTGCAGAGACAGAGGGAGGGCCCTGCTACCGCTGCTGCTGTTGCCTCTCCGCACATGCTAGAGTGGGCGGAGCCAATGGGACCGCGGATCGTGCGTGACAGCCGGGGGGAGGCTCCACATGTGCAGGAGGGGGAAACAGTGAAAAACTGTTCTGTAATGATGGCAAGACAAGGGTGTCTAGTGAGAAGTTCGTGCTTCAGACCAATGCACTGAATTAGGGGGCAGGGTACACTCCAAAGAGAATAATTTGAATCATTGACACCTACCTCATGTATCGTGTGTATAGAAGAAGAAGAAGAAAATATCATTTCTATAGCGCCTCTCAAGATAAAAATCACTAGGAGCTTAACAGGTATTATTCACGAGGCACTTAACAGGTATTGTAACAGGTAATATCACATTCCTAACAACACTCAAGATTCTTCCTGGTTCATCATTAAATGTGTGCACAGTTTCTGTGTGCAGAACTGTTTGATATGATTAAAGAGAAAAGATGATTGAAACGACTAGGTTACAAAAGTGTGGTCAACATAAATGGCCTGTATTTAAACAGTGCCTTGTAGAAACGATCCCCCAACACAACAGTCATTCACCTATGCTCACTTTCATACACTGGAAGCGAGCCACTGCAGCATGGGGCTAAGTGAAGTGTCATGGTCAAGGACACAAAAGTGACTGCAACAGACTGGGAGCACAAACCAGCAACCCTCCAGTTACGAGGGTGGGGATCACTTGATTCCCAACCACGCCTTTTCTATCAACCTTTTACTGTGGTGTTGGTATCAAATTAATGCACTCACTCATTTTCTGAACCTCTTCCCCTTTACAGGAGCAACACCTTTACATATTCTTCCTAGTATGATGAGAATTTTCTCACCATTTGGTTGTTTTCCCCATACGATGAATTGTAAGAAGGATCCACAGTTCATTATTATTAAAACTCTCTGGTAAGCATTAAACAGAGCTGGACAGAATTATTTCAGCCTTTTCACACACACACACACACACACACACACACACACACACACACACACACACACACACACACACACACACACACACACACACACACACACACACACGTATAGATAGATACATACATACACTTAAGTGTGTATGGATAGCAAACACCAGACATCTTAACACAGTGTTTGTGTTTATTTATTTGACAGACGCTTTTATCCAAAGTGACGTGCAGTTGTTAACCTACAGGGTATGCTGTGATCCGTGGGGGAAACCGGAGTACCCGGAGGAAACCCACGCATGCATAGAGAAATCATGCAACTCCACGCAGAAAGGCCGCAGCTGGGTTTTTGAACCTGCAACCTTCTTGCTGCGAGGCAACAGTGCTGACAACTGTGCTACCATGCAGCCTTTCAACCCTGGTCCTCAAGGCACACTGGCCTGTATGTTGTCCATGTAAACATCAGTGTTTCCCTGCTGCCACACATCTGAGTGATTAACAGGCACCTGCAGCACTTGATGTGATGACTGTAAACCAGGTGTGCTGAAGCAGAGGAATGGAAATAACGTAGGTCAGTGTGCCCCAAGGACCAGGGTTGGAAAACACAAACATTACTACAAGGGTCAGTCATAATGAAATGGAACTAGAGCTCTGGCCATAGAGATCCCTGCTATTTGTAGCTCAAATCGTTTATTCTCATGTTGACCAAGTGCACTCAACTGCCAATGAGCTTTAATGGCTTTGGTCCAATAAAGTTTCTGACTAAGGCAACTTCAAAGAATCAACATGGCAGGTAACCATGACAACAGCTTCTGTAAAAAATCTAAAGCGCTACAATGCTCAGTTAATGCCCATCTATTATTATAGGAGAGCATTTGTTTGGAGAGAAAATGTGTGGCCTTTTTATTTAGAACAGTTGTGGCAGACTGCAGGTCGGAAAGGCAGGTTCTGAATTTAAACAAAGCTTTATTGACAAAGTTGCTTCTCATGTAGCTCAAGGCCAAACGAAGCATGACCAGGCACTATGAGGAAAAACAAACAAATGTTAGCAATGGGATAACTGGCTGGAAATACATGGAGTATAAATACTGGGAAGGGTGGTTAGTGGATGGCAACAGGTGAGCTGGAACGTGGAACAAGATGAACTTCTAGAACAGAAAAACGAGAGCATCAACAGGCTGTGGCCGGAATTACAAGAATAACAAAAATTGTACAGACAAATTCATTGAAAAAATACCAAATACATGGTAAACAAATACACAACATTAAAATAAAACAACCAACATGACTTTTGGTTACAGCAAGGACACTTCATATGAGGATGGTGTGAGGACACCATCAGAATAAAACACGTGCATATTAGTTGTGCATTACTTGACATGGATAAATTATTGTGGGTATGAAGTATTTATTTTGGACAGGCACTGACCATCCTTCAGCCACAGCTACAGTCAGCCACCTTGACGATGGTGTCACGCGACAGGGCCCACTCGGACTCAGTGTCCCCCGCCTCCTCCAGGACGCGTTCAAAGTTCTGTTGGAGGTGGGAACCGAAGCTCCTTCTGACAGGAGACTCTGTCAGACGTTCCCAGCAGATGCTCACAACACGTTTGGGCCTGCCAGTTCTGACCAGCATCCTCCCCCACCATCACAGCCAACTCACCAGCCGTTGAAAGCTCCGCTCCTCTTTTCATTCGAGTGTCCAAGGGTGAGTAGTTTGAGCTGCAGTTTTATGCATAAGCATAAACCACAGTCAGGACCCGTCCCCCTACACATAGAGGAGGGAGGCTACCCTCCCGTTCACCGGGGTTAACACCAACGTACAGGCACCAAGATGGGTGGCAAAAGGAGCAACTCCAGCGTGGTAGAAAGTCCGACCCATCTTGGGGAACCTGGTTCCGGAGCCAGAGCCATGCGTTGATATCTAGTCGGAACCTCACACACCAACTTGGCTCCTTCCCCACCAGAGAGGTGACATTCCCCATACCGAGAGCTAGCTTTGTAGCCAAGGATCAGACCGCCAAGGTCCCCGCCTTCAGCTACCATCCATCTCACACTGCACCCTCCCCTTGTGGGCCTTCCCACAAGTAGTGAGCCCATGGGAAGGGGGGTCCATGTTTCCTTTTCGGACTGTGCCCAGCCAGGCTCCATACATGGGTGAAAGCCCAGCCACCAGGCTCTCGCCATCATGCCCCACCTCCATGTCTGGCTCCAGAGGGCGTCCCCGGTGATCTGCGTCCAGGCAAGGGAACAGTTTCCATATATACTGATCATCATAAGAGGCCAATGGGCTGCACTCTGTCTGATCTCTACGACCCCTACCAGAGGTATAAAACCTCAGACCACTTAGCTCCTGAGATGACTGAGATACTCAAACCCCTCTACCTCAGAATGGTGGCAGCCCAGGGAGAGGCCTTTACAATTCTTAAATGAGGTTAGTTTTACCCTACTGATGGTGTTGTTGCAAAAGTAAATTGTTCAAATAAAAATATGATGCATTATGTTTTCTTATGCTCTTCAGCCTGCGCTGGAGCTGCTGATTCCACGCCTGATCTGTGTGGAATAGCAAAGTTAGGAAGAACTTAAGATTGTAACTAACATGGTTTAGAGCATGAATTCATAAACATATGCATGGAAAACAGAAATCCCACTAAGCTTTATTCATGAATCAAATCAGGCCTTATATATTTATATTAAAAGTAATGCAGCAAATCCACAGGATAACAGCAGCTTAGTGGCTAAAAGGAGGACGTTAAGCGTGCAGAAGCAAAAGATTTAAGTGAGCCAGAGATCAGAAAATTAAAAAAAATCTGCTGCAGATCAATTTTAATCTATTTAGGGTTATACAGTATGATAATCCAGAAACATTACATAACATGACACATCATGATGTTCTGAGTGTGTTTACATTAATGGGAGTGCTTTTTCCCAAGAAAAGAGAATTTACAGATTTGCATTAACTGGAACTCAACACCAAAGTTAGAATCCACCATAACTTAAAAACAAAATTACATCATAATGCAGAATCACTCTTCAGTATCTTATTTGCTAAAATATACAATTTTACAATAAGAAAGAAATACAAGATGCGAAGGTGGCCATAAATCGGTGAAAGGTCATCTTTGTTTGTTTTCTTACTAGTGTGAAAGTTTTTCATTTCCAACCATCATAACTTCCTCTCAAACCCGACAAATCAGCTGTTACGGGCTCTCAACGAACAAGAGGTTCACACCATTTTATGTGTCATAAATGTCAGTAAGTCTCAGGGCCAAACAGCTTTCAGAAAGTAAACCCACCACAGTCAAAAGCATCAAAATCAGAGTCTGCCACATCAAAGTCAAAGCTGTTATAGTGGGGGGAGTCGAGAGCAGAGCTTCCAATATCACACACCACAGCAGGGCCGGTGCCGGAGAAATCCGCGTTGAGTGGCAGGTCGGCTTTGACTTCCAGATTAGAGGATGAGCATGCTCCGAGGTAGCCCATGGCAGAGGAAGCAGCAGCCCCGCCCATCAGCAGATAAACCGCCTTCATCGCCTGGGCGTTGTTGATGGTGCCATGACGCAGACATCCCACTGGCTGTGCACCTCGTCTGTAATTCTTTGTACATGGAGAATTTCTGCCTGTTGGATGGAAAAAAAATTATATATATATATATATATATATATATATATATATATATATATATATATATATATATATATATATATATATATATATAATTTTATTATTTGCATTTAAAAAGTCAACTTAAAGTTAAACTTACCTTTGTCCCTTATGGAAGCATTGGTTATAGGTCCAGGGGAGGATGACTCTGTATCGCTGACAGGTGGAGTTGGTGGACCTTTGTCTAGAATTTGCTCAGGTACCAGATCTCTGAGAGTGATGCGTGGCGGGGGAACCTGATGACGCTTACAAGGGCTGAGGGGTGACGAGAGGCTCTGCAGATTATAGCCACAGATATCATGGTTACCTTTATTATTTATTAAATGACAGATTTTATGCAGGCAGCCTAACAGAAGCATGCAGCATAAGGATGCCATGTGTTCCTTTGAGAGTTCTCTAAAGCAATTACGTACCATTTTCACCTTTTTCAGAACATTCAGCCACTGACTAAAAGGAGGAAAAATGAGAGATGATTAGATCTTCGTTAAAAAGTGTAAAAAAAATAGTCAATATTTATCAGGAGAGGACAGTGACCAGCTGACCTACAGTCTGCAGGAGTTTCAGCCAGCAACAGCATGTACTTATTCTGAGGCAGGATCAGAGCAAAGCAACAGTCCCTGAATGCACCAGAAGGCAGTTTAGGCAGGTCCAGGATCTCCTTGCCCTCTACTATAGCCTCACAACTGCTTTGCAGCAGAACAATCTGGTCAGGGGCAGATAGGGCATCGTGGCACACAATGAGACCCCCTTCAGCGGTCAGACGCAGAAACCTTTTCTTCCACTGCTTGAAAAGAAATCCACCTAAATAGCACACACAGGGATGGACAGGTATAAGGACATGGAACAGGAGAAAAGATGCTCAGGGCACATCGGCAGTATTGGGTGTGGTCTGAGAGATCAGCGTGAGAAATGTACGCCTGGATTAAGGAGTGAACATTGTGTTATTCCATCATCCCACCAGATCAGATTAGAGGCAGTCAGATGGTGGGAGGATCAAGAAGATGTGGATGGGCATGATTGGTACAGACAGATCACATCACCAAAAAATATACATCCATGAGAACATGTTAACAAAGGTGTGTGTGTGTGTGTGTGTGTGTGTGTGTGTGTGTGTGTGTGTGTGTGTGTGTGTGTGTGTGTGTGTGTGTGTGTGTGTGTGGTGCATGTACAAATGAAAGATCAGTACTTTTTATTTAAACCGGAAAGTTGAGTGAAAATATCAGAAACGTTTATTTAATCACAACTTCGGTTAAAATCCTCAGAAAAACAGGACAACCAACATGACTAAATCTAGTGAAAACTACAAATCCATCTCAAGGCTACATGAAAGTTGGATTTTTACTTTCCGTTTAAATCGTCCGAGGCGACTCACCGTACATCCTGAGCACGCCGTGGTGTATCCCAGAGACGTTCATGCTCCCGAACCTTCCGTACGGCAGCGTGGACAGCTCAGAGAAAAATGCTTCAGGATGCCCAGAAAGCACATGAGGTTCAATGTGAGTTTTAATACTCACGCTTAATCCCCAGTCAGCTGGGATGCTCCGAGGCTCAACAGTTACAAAAATGGGTTGAGATGAGATGTCACTCACACACAAACCGCTCTAGTTTGGATGAATTTTCTGCACCTGTTTGTTTTTCTTGTTTCTCATTAAAATGTTTCAGATGAAAAAAATAAACTAATTTAACATAAAAGATAACCTGAGTTAGTCAAAAATGCTGTTTTCAAACAATGGTATTATTTATTAGGGAAAAACCTGGCTTTCCACACCAACCTGGTCATAAATGAAACCCATTAACAGCCCTCAGAAAGTCACATGTACAAATATGATCCCTCATGAAGTTACTACTTTACTTTACTACCAGAAGATAGTGGAGATGTGTAACCTTCAGGCTGAGCAAAGTTTGGGAGTTTTGAGTTTGAAAAACGCCTCCTGCCGAGAGGCTCCCAGTCGGGGAGAGGAGGATGAAGCATAAAGAGGGCAAATATTATCGGGATGAAACTTACAATTCCTGGCAGGTCTGGTCTTTGTTGAGTGATCACTTTGTCTGGTAATGACTAACTCCGATTATGAAGCAGAGATTATTGACTCTGATGAAGAACTTCACTCACGAGCAGTGGCAGTTTTACCATAAGGCATAGGTCGGGGGCCGCCTGGGGACCCCTTATGTCCCCCCCCCCCCCCCCCCCCCCAGCCCTGACTGCTGGCACCCCTCTGTTAATGCCACAATGGACTATTCCTTTGAGAAGTCCGATGCACAAACAGGAAGTGATTGGTAGTCATTCCAGTCCTATCCAGTTGGTGGCGGTAATGCACCAATTTGAGAAAAAAAAAGGGCAAAAGCACAGGAGCACTGACAGGAAGAAGAAAGCAGAGCAAAGACTGAAAGCACTCAAAGGGAGAGAAAGGCAGAAAAAAAGAAGAGGACTAATAAAAAGTGAAATCAACTCATGTCAGAAGAGGGTAGAGTGTCGCAAATCCAGCTAAAGATAAGACTGTAGAAAATGTAGTGTAAGGGGGCCCCATGTCTGTGTTCGCCTTGGGCCCCCAAATTGCTAAATTTCATCACTGCTCACAAGAGGTTTGCATATTTTATAAAAACCTAAACAATCTTTGTCAGACATGAAAATATGTTTACAAATCTGAAAGAATTAAGATGACGAAAAGAAAAACAGAAGCTGGTAAGGGAGCAATGTTTTTACCAGATTTACCGGCTACAGAAGTACATTCAGAAACAAAAAAAAACATGAAGTCGCCATCTTAAAAAAAACTGATCGAGAGACTATTTGTGTGATATACTTGTCAGCCACTAGATGGTGCCTTCGGATAAGAGAAATACTCCGGAAAGAGACTTTAGGAGTGATCAGTGAGGGCATACTTAAGAGGTCTTTTAGAGCTTGAAAACAACATTAGCTTAGCCTCGTCAGCATTGAGGGCCAATTTTAACTGCAGAAGTGTTTGTTGGGCTTCATTAAAGGCTTTCTGTAATAATTTAACAGCTTTAGCTGGGGATGTTCCCAAAGAGTAAATTATCATTTAAAATAATCATCCGACAGATTTAGTCCAGTTTCATTAATATCCATAATGAATACGAAGGGTCCCAAAACTGAACCCTGTGGTACTCCCTTGTGGACACTTCAAATTTCAGAGGACATTCCATCACATTTAACACAAGTAGTCTGAAACATGAGATTGCATGCTCAGACAATCCCAAACAAAGCAGCTTCTGTTTTAAAACAGCATCTACAAGATGGGTGAGTCCATGATTGCTAAGTGACAGTGATGTAGATCTGTCAGGCTTTTCTATCCCTAGAGTTTCACCGTCTATTTTCTATCAGACACTAATGCAGGAGGTTGGTGTAGGAGACTATTTTCATGTTCAGCCTGTGTGAAAATTTCAGAGTGACTGATTATAATCCGAAATATTTACAAAAAAAAAATGTTTTTTCATTGTTCCACACCTTTAAATACACATTACTCTATAAGTGTTTTCTGAACATATTTTTTTATCCACATGGGAGCAATAACATATGAACAATAATTTTAAATAAGAGAATAAATAAATAAAAATATCACTAGAATTTAAAATCACTGCATCACTTGGTTAATTTTAATCAAACTCACTTTCGTTCATTTTATTCATTATTGACCATTTCAAAGTTTTGAGGGAAATTTTTAAAAAGGAAAACTTCATCATTGCTGACAAATCACACAAAATAAAATTAGACATTAGATTAAAATGGTCACATTTATTATATTTCACTATTTCAGACTTTCAGTTTCTCAAATAAATAAAATAAATAAAGCAAAAAAAATTTGAACATGAGAAACAGGAGAACAAAATCAAACCAATACAACTTCTAAAATAATAAATAAACCATGCTGTAAAGTTCCAAAAAGTATAATAAATACCTATAAATAGTGTAAATGTAGCTCTCAGGTAACAACATCCTTTTATGTGCTTCAGATAGCCATTTAACAGCAGCAAACAGTTTAATTCCCTCTTATGTCAGTAGCTTTATGTTAGAACAAAGGGAGAATGTCACTTTCTAAACAGGTTTGTAATTAATAAATTGTGTGTAAATTAGCAACGTTTCCAGCGAAATACATTGTTCATCTGTCACAAAGTCATTTGGCTTAGTTTCTATGACAAAAATAAGTTTTTTGGACATGTTGTCAGAAATAATCCCCACAAGCTGGAATTCCCCCCCCCCCCCCCACCCCCACCCCCCACCCAAGTCAGAAAGTGTATCCCATCTATGAAAGCTGGTCTTCGTATTGCTTTCTGAAACAATCTCCAGCAGGAAAAAAGTCCCAGCAGCGCTCCTGGTACATCTTCCACACATAAGACTCCTAAAACAGCAGATGCAGAATGAAAAAACAAATGTAACCTCAAGGGAGCGGCCAAGTATCAAAACTAGTGGACCAAGGCTGACCTGTCCCGTGTGCTCTGTCTCATCTTTGTTTATAAGGTACATCAAGAAAAACCTGAAAAAGGTTCAAATATTAATCGTTTCTTTTGTATCCTGCTGTAATGCAGAAGGAGGCGCACTTACATGTAGTTGGCTAAGTTGTGTTCATCAAAAGTGTGGGTCTCAAAGCCGTGCGGTGTAGTGTCAAAGTAGTCACTCCCAATGCCACATATGAAGCATTTCGTCTGCACAAGAAAATCCACAATAAACTCTGTAGCCACACGTTTACACCGAGCTGACAACATCAGCAAAGTCAGCTGTACCTCCATGTCCTCTTTAACCTGCTCCTGTTGGTCTCTGAGTTCTCCAAAAGCATCGATGATCAGACCTGCAGTGTTGCAGAGATGATTTATAGTCAAAAGCTTGAACAATTGTCCCTAAAAGTATGAAAGCTAAAGAAAAAAACAGCCTTGGGTTTACCCTGAATAATGGCCAGCAGGATGACAATGACAAAGAAGAAGAAAGTTATGTCAAAGACCACTCGATACAGCTCGTATTCATCTCCTGCAGGATCCTCGATCTCGTCTCCGATGCCTCCGCCAGCACGCACGCCCACATACATGTGGAACAGGTAGCACTGTGGAAGAGGATCTATTAAAAAACACAACATCAGACCAGACAAAGTGTCTCAGTTATACGTACAGTCATCATGTCGTCGCATTTCATATCCGGTTCGTCTTCATCCTCGCTCTTGTTGTAAAACTTGCGGAAAAAATTGAACGCAATGACGGTGTAGAGGTACACCACCACGGCGAGCAGGCCCACCGTCATCATGAGCTGCCAGAGACAAGACGCGGTGTTAGCACTCAAGCAAAAACCGTCTAAGGGCATCTTTTCTCTGCTCCTGCCTGTTTGCCGTTGTGTGTGACAGAGGACAGAATCGTGCGAAGGGTCTTGACTCCCATGGCGATGTCCAGTAAGTGACAGGCGAAGAAGAAGTTGTTGTAATGTCCAAGCAAAGACATCACCAGGTACCAGCAGAGGTAAAGGAACGTCTACAGAAACAAATGCATCTAATTTTATAAAGCAGAACAGGACAGACTGAAGGACATGTATGAGTACACCTCGTCTTACACCATCTGTGAACACAACTCCAAATTTCCAGATCTGGTACTTGATGTCAATGGAGGTCATCCTTAAAGACAAAAGCACTTATTTCAGATTGAAACCAAATGAAAAGCATCTCATTGGTAAGCTGTTGCTGGGGGAACCGTGCTCTACCATGCAAACACAGAGTTGTCTGGTTCTTCTTGTTTCTTCTCATGTTGCTGACTCACATCCAGGGAGGCTAAATCAACACCCAGGAGCTCTGCTATTCTTTCTCTCCCATAAATGTCTCCATATTTGTCCAGAACCTACACACACACACACACACACACACACACACACACACACACACACACACACACACACACGCCGCATGGTGAACACACTTCATGCTCTTTTGTCAGCATTTCATCACAAACACGACTCACTTTTCGCTTGACAAATTTGTCCCAGTAGTTGTTTGGGAAAGAACTGCAGGGGCAAACAAGAGCGTTCATTAATTAGGGATCATCTGAAAGTACTGAACGGTGTTGGTAGATTTTATTAATCCTCACGGCGTGTTCAGGACTAATCGGTCCCACTGCCCTTTAATGTCATCATCCTCGGGCTGCTCGGTGATGTAGAGGCCATCAAATTCAAGCTTTCTAGCCAGTTCTTTCTCCCGTTTGAAGATCACCAGGGGAATCTGATGAATGAACACCATCCAATGTGACGTACATTTTTGAAAAACAACATATTTCTAATTATTCACTAAGGCATTTATACCTTCAGACAGTTGTAGCCAATGATACAGATAAATGAAATGACCGTGTGCAGGATGGCAAGGAAGGCCAGTGTCGGCTGCATGTATCCAGTGCTTTCCTCTAAATAGAAATAGAGTGGGACTTCCTCTTCATCTTCTCCATTCATTCCTGACCCCTCGTCCTCCTCCCCTGAGCCTTCAAACAAACCAGAGCCCTCGAACAGCCCGCTTCCCTCTGAGAGTCCAGATCCCTCCATCTCCTCTCCCTCAGGCGGCGAATCGGACACCTCAAGATTAAAACAGCTCCGATAACTCAGCTGACACGGGTATGCAGATAGAAAATATGTTTGAATCCAAACAGGATGTGATGTTTTACCTTGTAGAAGAGCAGAATGAAGTTCAGTGCGAATGCAAGGAACAGGGCCAGAAAACGCAGGTTGTAGAAGTTTCTGGAAAGGTAGTTCTAGCAAAGACAGAAGGATGGTTTAGTCAGCTAAACTAATTGAACCCCTCTCCCATCTGAGACCAAGAGCAGTCACCATGAATTTGTTTCTTTGGGTTTCCAGCTCGGTCCAGACTTGAAAACCTTGTTCCTGTTTCAGCTTCTTCTCTTTTTTTCGTGTGCATCTCCGCGGCTGCTCCGGCTGCTGTTCTTCTTTACTTTTTGAATCTTTTTCTGATTTCTCTCCAGTTTCAATGCTGAAATAGCAGCAGAATGATTATGTTGTGATTTCTGTAATCCATCAACGTCAGATCAGCCCTTTGCATTCTGCCTTTTGGTTTTTTAGAAGAGGATTTAAGACTCACTCCGACTTTTCAGGTTGTGGGGGAGCGTCCTCCACAGGAGCAGGTTCTGCTGGTTTTTGGCTAGCATCGGGCTCCTCTGGCAGCTGTAAAGCACAACATTTCGCTCTTTTCATTATGCTTTGTTTCAACTGTTCGGGGGACATTTGACAGTGAAAAAGATATATTCCAGAATTCATCAAAGTCCAGTATTTAAACATTCATCTACAATTTGCTTACGTAAAATATAAACTGACCACTTTTCTCTTTGTAATGGGAGATCCTTCAGGGGTCGGAGGTTCAACGGGTTCCTCTACACCCATATCACCAAGCCCACCTGGAGCATCCATCCCAGGTACTCTCCCCCCCTCGTTTTCTGGGGCATCCTCCTCCTCCTCCTCGCCACTACCGGTCTCACCCGTGTCTGTCACCCCTCCAGCATCCTGGTCTTCACCTGTCCTCATCTCCCCTGGTCCATCTCCATGTACATCGTCCTGCGTAGGATCTGGCATGCTAGCTAGAATCTCCGTGACGGTGATGTTTTTCGCTCCCTCCACCAAGCCGCCTCCAAACAGCGCTTGCCAGATGATCACAAAGAAGCCTTTACACACACTGTAAATGAAGTGAAGGATGCTCATCAGGATGGTCCAGAAAAATTTGGACAAAGCCACCACGATCTCCTTGAAGGTCATCCTTCTCACTCTGCGGTACTGTCGGCGAAGGTTGCGGAAGGTGAAAATGCACAGGAAGCTGGACAGGCTTTGCAGAAAGTCAGCAAAGGCAGAGGTTGATTCAGGCTGCCCTTCTTCTCCATTAATATCCTCATCCCCTGTTGCACCTGCACCCCCACCCTGCCCTCCTTCACCTCCACCCTCATCTCCTTCATCATCTTCCTCCCTCTTTTCCTCTTCCTCCTGCTCTGAAATTTGCGAGGCTATATTCATCTCAAAGATGGTGTCCTCACAGAAGTTGACAAACATCTCCATCTTCTCCGACTCTCCGCCCTCATTGACCACGTCGAATATGAACTGCCGTTTGGACTCTCTCACTTGGGGCATTTCCCACTGTCTGCGATTTACTTCACTGATTTCAAAGTAGATACGCTCAATCTTCCTGCTGGCGCCCATAATTTCTATACGGCCCAGGAAAGGGCGGAAGTAGTTCAGAACGCTTTCTGCTTGTTCCAGGAAGTTCTTGAGTCTGGTGTCATGAGGGACATGCTCAGAAAGGTTGGTGAGTAGCACAGCGATGTTAAAGCCAATGTCCTTGGCGGGTTCTTGGAAACGACTGGCAAACTCTTCGTAATTGATCATGTCGTTCTCATCGGCCTCTGAGCAGGACAAAAGGAACTGAATCTCTGAGGGGGAGTACTGCTTCTGGCTGTCCATGGACTTCTGAAAGTCCTTCTTGGAGATAAGCCCTCGGGGGTCTGTGACATAATCTCGGAAAGCATCTGAGGCCACGATGTCTTTCAGCTTAAGGAACATGTCAAAGAACTTAAGTATCATTTCCACGTTGCTGGATGACTCCACCAACATGTCCACCATCTGGCGAGCAATAGTGCCGTTAACAATGTTCCCTGGAAGAAAAAAATGTTTTTAATTGATCAAAACATTAGAGATGCACCAATCATGCTTTGAGAGCCTTATTTGTGTTTCTTGTAGAGCTTTGAGCAGCGGCTAGTAATCTTCTCCAGACCCATACATATTTCAACATATTTATAAAGGTGTGTGTGTGTGTGTGTGTGTGTGTGTGTTTGCTTTTTGTTGTTGTTTTTACCTTCCAGCAGTGAGAGTAACATCACAACCATGTCTTTTTGCAGGTCAAGAAGTTCCTTCAGCAGACCTATCTGGCTGGAGTCCTGTGACAATAACAACACAAAGTAACGGCATTATGGCTGTTCTTGTTAAAGGTGTGGTTCACTCATGTAATCCCTTCTCTTGCAGTGGTCTTTAGTACAAATGAATCACTTGTGAATCGTACTCTGGGCACAAAAAGCCCTGGTGCGTCTGTTTCAGGATCTAGTAGACAGCCAGATCAGTGGAGAGGTTTGGACGACATGATTTGGACTCGTATTTCCTGATATTTGGGCACCTTGCCTCTGATTGGATAACAGAAATGCAACTCCATCATTGACTGTTTACTTTGCAGCATTCATGTTTTATTTCTACAAACACCACAAGCCTGAAGGAGTTCTGCCATGTGGCGGAGTTGTTAATGATAATGGGTAGCTTCTACTAGGCCGAGACGTTCTCTGCTGCTTCTCGGACACGAAACCAGCAACAGCCTTCCCCGCCGTGAGTCAAGTCCACGAGTCCATGAATGTAAAAGTGTGACGTAGATCTGTTAGGCGTTTCAAATCCTAGAGTTTCACCATCTATTTTCTATATGAACCTAATGCAAGAGATGGGTGTAGGAGACTATTTTCATGTTTAGCTTGCATGAAAAACTCAGACTGACTGATTAGAATCAAAAATAATAATTAAAAAAATGGGTTTTCAGTGAGCCACACCTGTAATATGTCATCAGTGGTCTGATTCACAAACATATGCTGTTGCATTATGATGTTAAAAAAAAACTATTGGTCAAACCCTCTCACCAACAGATTCAACATTTGTGTACCTGAGCCAGTTTCATCATCATGTGGGCAAAGACATGAAGGAAACCCACAATGGCGTCCCACAGTCTGCTGTGGGCCAGGGACTGCTGGTTTCCAGTGCACGGGCCCTGATAACAAGAACATGTTGGTTACACACACAATTGCACTCAACTCTAATGAATGTTTGACTTATTGAAAATGTACCTGAATGTATTCGGTTAAACAGTTAAAAATCTGTTTAGCCACTGTCATCGCTTTGGAGAAGTTCTTCTTGCCTGGATCATCAATGACATCCTTGCCAGAGTAGTACCAGTAGAAATCACTAATAGATTCCTAAAGAAAACAACAGAATTATCAAGTGTAAATCTGTGAGAAGTATCATTTGAATAGTCTGCATCAGCGGGGTCAAGCCATGCTTCAGGTTTTTTTAATCGTCATAATCCCCAGCGTTGGCCTAGAAATCATTATTTTAAGTCTTCATATAGGGCACCATCTGCGAGGTGGATTACTGTCAAAGTGCACCTGAAGTCGAAGGAGGTAATCCACAGTACAGATGATGACGTTGATGCTTGTTGTGCTGCCTGTCTGTGTCCGCAAGTAGTTTTGAAAATCTGCAGCAAAGCAGAAGTAGTCAGTTTTCAGCGTTTGCTTCTGATGGAATTTCTTTGAGTGTTTCACTGATTTTATTTGGAATATGAGCGATTCCCACCGTTGTTGTGACCTTCACAGAGCAGCTGCAAGAATCGGAAGAGGTCACAGGTGAACTCATCATCCGCCATCACTTTCTCATCTAAAAATGAATAAATAAAAATGACAAAAATTGGGATTTTTGCAGTAAAATTTAAAAACAAAGTAAAAATTGTACTCTTGCTACTTGACTGAAACACTTTCACTGTAAACAGTGTAAAATTTCTTAACTTACCAGCACTTTTAAATGAGTTTAGGTATCACACACGTTGCAGCTGATACCTCTGACAGAGCATTGCTTATTATAAATGAAGGTCTGACTTACACTAAACTAAAAAGTACAAGTAAACGTGAATCATTTACTGACATAGGGTCACGTGTCAGTCAGCATGCCAAAATACCATGCAAACTCTTCATGTTGACACAACAACAACCATACCGCCACATGAAGATGATGTACAAACTTTATGGGATGTTGCGCAAATAAAATGATGGAAATTGAAAACAATAATTTTACGTATTCAGGGGTGAACTGAAATGTACTTTCCAATTCACAAACATTTAATACATTTCCTAAAGACTGTCCATGGAAGAACTGACAACCCTGTACAGGATCGTAAACGCTAGTTCCGGTTGATGAACTCCGGAGAGCCGTGGCACTTCCTGTCCCCTTCACAGTGATGGCAACATGGACGGTGTGTGCAGTGAACTGTACTTTTCCAGATCCCTTGGGAATTTGCTGAACATTTCAGTTGACGACGTTCATCGTATTGTCGACACTTTTTCATCTGCTCCACAAAGCAAACAAGAGAAGGGATTCAAATTGAACATATCCCCTGTATGTGCACAACGATGGAGGTGAGTACACAGCATGGCTGTGCTAACTTGACAGAAACGGGCTTGACAAACACGTTGTGTTATTATTAAATGGTAACTACAGGTGTTTTTTTTTTTTTTGCTACCTTGACCTTATTTCTACTTTCATTTACTCACAAGAAATATCCATCTCTGATCGGCGTCTATCCATAATGGGAGTTGTGGCAGCAGTGCAGCCTCTGAATAAGACATTATCTGCCACTAAAGTCCTTCATTTGGCCAATGATTTGGTATGAATCAGTAACACTATTCCGGTTGGTTTGGAGCGTCTCAGACAGGCTTTGTTGTTATTTTCTGGCGTCCATTTAGTGAAACTAACCAGCGGCAATTTCAGTGACGTTACGGTCGTTTGCTAATTATTATTATAAGTTAGATATTTATTATTCAGCCTTATTTAGAAAGAAAAAGATCCTCCGCTCTACGTTAAAACATCTAAATCCTCTCATTTACCAAGTATTTTCATTAGCATAATATTAGCAGTAAATAACTAGCCCATTCTTCCCGTCAGAACCCGGAAATTAGCATTTTTCCGTGCACATGGATCAATTGGTCAGATGTAATACCACATCTCACCACCAGTGGACTTAAAATCTCTACTGTCAGCATACTTCAAAGCAAAGTGAAACAAATGTTCTCAATAAGCAATAAAAATGATTAATGTTAAAGCTTTAACAAAGTAATTAGAAATCAGTGTGACATTTTTAAAATCCCAGTTCACCACTGCACACACCCAGCACACACACGCCACATCTAAAGCCTAGTTTGTGCTTCTCCGCCAGCTCCACGAGGGAGAGATGTGCATGCGTTGACAAACGTTTTACATCCGGACTTCTCCGTTACCTGGGGAGCGTTGCAAAGCAATTCCCTGCCAGGACAACAGAGGGCATAGCGTTATTCTCAGGTATCCTGTCGAGTATCCGGTCCAGGATTGTGCATTTATTGTGTTTTTTGCATTTCGCAGACTTTTTTAACAAGGACAGATTTGTCCCTCATTCTCCTCCACCTCCTCGTGCGCTCGCCACCTTTAAACCCACGTTTCTCATCATTTCCATCCACAAGTAAAACGCTTTACCCCATTTCACACTGGAAACATCAGCGGCGTGGGACATCACTGCTTGAAAACGAATCCATTATAGTCTACGGCGGTGTTTCAAACCATCCGCGATGCGGCAACTTTCAGGCGCGTCCCAGAAGCGGCACACCGTGCCGCTATAGAGATGATCAGGTTCTATTTTTGCAGTGTGCTGCTTCTGGGACACATTCATTCTCGCGCTTAACACAGGGCTAGACAGGAAATAACACACGGTTTCAGTGTAAAACCCCCAGTAATTTTCAAAATAAAATACTGCAGCGATGCTATTTCATATCTATGTAGATTACGTCAATACGTGTGGCCTGACAGCTTATTTACTCCCTGCATCATTCCAGTGCAGCGGTGGCTTTAATCCTGGCAGTGGAGAGGAACAACATATATGGCATCAAACTGCAAAATCAAGCGTGATTTCCTTCTTTTTGGTTTAATGGCGGATGGCGTAAACAAACTGTGAACTTTGAAGTCTCGAGGGATTTTGAGATCCAGCGAGGATGGCGTCCCATGGCCAAGACTCTCCCGGTGTGTACTGGATCGCATTGGAACTGGTGAGTAAAACGTTTCGCTGCTGTTCTGCGCCACCGATGCTTCCAGTGTGAAATAGGGGTTATCCCCTCCGGTCACGGGTGGATAAAACGTTAGTTTTTTCCGAGTTTTTACACGAGGAATTCCTCCAGCTGCTACATGTCTGCCGCTAGACGTCTTCAGCTCTCATTTTATTTTTTGAGGAGGCAATGGTGGTGCTGTTGACACATTTAAGGGAAACTGCTTCTTGACCAATCACAAGCTTGCATTTGACAGATGTTAAGAAAAGTGGGCTCGGGCCCGTTGGAGAGCCCTCACAACTACGGAGACTGGTGTGTCTCTGCGCACGGACGGAGAAGCATAAACTGGACTTAAGGTTAAAAGTCAACGAGGCAGGGACATTGTCCATCAAAATGCTGAAGGGAATCTAATGTAATAAATCTCAGTAAATCAAATAAAAATAGTTTAAATGAGTTTTAAAATGTAACAGTCTTATTGTTTTGGTGCGCAGGACATATTAGATTCCACCCAGGGCATTTTGAAATAAACAGAACATGAAAAACAGGCCAAACAAGCAGTGAGTATGAAATATGGACAATCTCCTCTCAGTAAAACTACTGTTATAATACAAGGAAGTGATGGAACAAGAGGAGAGACAGAGGAATGAGAGAGCAGCGAGGCCAATGGAAGGAAGATGATTTACCCCGGTCTAGGTTCATGTCTGAGGACCATGAAAGGAGGGAGATGGGAGAGGTGGCAGTGATCGTGGGGAAGGGAGAGAGGATCAGTGAGTTGACAACAGTAGAGGACTAAGAGATGAGGAGGGGGATATTAACAACATTCCATGGCAGATTCATACGGGTGGAGTTCTGGAATAACCTTCAGAATTAGAGGACTACAGTCCAAACGACACGTCAGACTACTAGACATACGAATGAAATGACTGTAACTAGAATATATCATTGTGTTAATAATACACTATGTTAGATCACTGATTATTCTATAAGATAGGTACCATAATGCTACAGATAACATAAATATTAGAATACACAATGTGTTTACGCAATATGGACTTTTTAATTTTTGATGAAAAACAGCAAAACTCAGACAAAACGCTCATTTAAATTAATGGTGTATTCATACATATTGTAATAAAGTGTTTTCAGTTGCATCGTAATGTGATAATTCAATTGTTACATCAAACAACAGATCCTAAATATCTCAACTGTAAAAACGTGATGACTTACTGGTTCCTTCCTCTGAAACCATGCCAAGCCCCTCGGCCTTGTTCTGTCTCTCAAAGGCATTTAAATCCAAAACACTGGAGAACATAAACAAGTGTTCAACCTCTACTTCCACCACAAGAACAACTGCTATTATGGCTGAAAACTGACCAGCAGGTCTGCATCAGTGCTTGGACGCTTAAGAAGAAGCCTACATCCTTCTTGTCTTTCAAGTATTCAAGCATTTTCTGAAAGTAAAGAAGAACTTTTTTTTTAAAGTGTCCCTTTAAACATGCATTCAAATTGCACAACAAAGGAGAACGTACCCTCTGAACCTCGCTGTTGCCACCGTTCAAGATGGAAATGCCCAGCTTGAGGGTTGTGGACACCATGGGACCAGTTTCACCTACAGAAAACAGATCCTTAAATACAATTCAGGCAGGTTTAGAGGAAAAATGATGGAGGAAAGACAGGAAGAAGACCTTTGCAGGCACTGATCATCTGAAGGACCATCTCTGCAGCACCACGGTTATGAAGTCTAGACTGCTGGTAGAGCAGCCGTTGCTTCTCCATTTCTTTCTCCTGTGATGGGACAACATGATCAGGACAACTCTTGCATGGGACAGATTAGGAGGATGTCTGAGCAAACCTTCAGAAATAATTAGTGATGGTTTAGTGAAATGTTCTGCTGCACGAACCAGAAACAACAGAGGAGTTTTTGACTAGATTTGTTTTTGAAGAGCTGTTTTTTTTTTTTAAAAAAAAAAGCTCCTACTATGAGTCGTATCTATGAAAACCTCGTTTCTGTGTGCGCTTGGCTGGTTCACAGCACGGGCCTGCTCCTCCAAAACTGTGGCTGTGATTGTCAACCATAAAAGGGTTGATCTTGACATTTCATTTTTGATTGACAGTGGGAAGGTCCAGAAGACGATTCATTGGACCAGGGCTTCGCCAGCAGCAACACTGGCTTAGCACCAGTCTGCCTCGGTGAATATTTAGAGCTCAATTTACAGCTTTGTCTACATTCCAACGCTCGCTACAACGTCAGAAACAATAAGATCCCTGGTAGAAGCAGCTAAAGTGAGCCTCTTCCACAGGGTGGTTGGGCACAGCCTCAACAGAACAGCTACAGAGGGATGTTTTCTGGGGGCTTGTGGCACGTCCCATTGGATGGAGACCCGAGGCAGACCCAGAAGTCACAGGATGGATTATATATCATCTCTGGCCTGGGAATTGTTTAGGTGTCCCAGGAGGAGCTGGAGTCAGTCACCAGGGAGCAGGATGTCTGGGTTGTCCTCCTGGATCTGTTACCTTGACAACCCAGCCCTGACAAAGAGGAAGAAAATGGATGGATAGATGGATGTGTTCTGCTGTATCTGGTTTGAGCAATAATTAGTTTGTGCTCACTGGCTGAATTCTTGTAACTCTCCTAAATGAGAGAAGTCTGAATAATGCAAACACAACTTATTCCAACAAAGAGATTCAAATCCTCACATCAAGTTTCCAATCACTCTCCTTTTGCAGAATACACCATATTTTACATCTGGCCGTTTGTGGTTCACTTTATCCTTAAATCTAAAGATCTGCTAATAACAAACCGTGTTCTTTTCTCATTCACCACGTGTCGTTTGGATCGTTTCATGCATTGGCATTCTGGGTTATCACTGTCATTTCAAAGTTTGACTCTTACACACATTCTCTCACCTCACTTCATTAGTAATGGAGTTGTTACTCTATGTCTTCACGTTTGCTGGCCGCAGCAAGCGTTAGACTACAGGAAAGAGCCCCGCTGGCTCAGCCGTCCAAAGTGTCTCAGTTGCAGCAACTCTGCAAATAAGATGCTTTGGACGAAACCTAGAAGAACTCTGGATGGAAGCTGTCACTGGCCTTTCATAGACATCTTTGCATCTTTCCAGGAACATTTTGTGAAAACTCAAACGAACTTGGAGAAAACTTTGACTTAAACTTTTACAAACAGTTATCAAGAGACTAATTTACGAGGACATTCATCTTTTCAACCACAAAATGGAGGAGCTTGAAGCATGCCTCATTCCCTTTCCCTCCCCCAACTCCCACCCTCACCCCTCCCTCCCACCCACACATAGCTGTCCCTGCTCTACCCAACGTGTTTAGGACTATTGGACCTCAAACCTGGACTGTGTCTGATGAAACCCATCTGAGCTGTCCAAACTGGGATGATGTACAAATATACTAATTTAGTGTTGTGTTTTCTACCCTGCCTTTCACTGTAGTCTGTCAGTATGCTATGTGAGTGGGGAAGGGAACACTGGTCAGTAGCATCCATGTTAAAAAAGGCTGCAGTTATAAAATGACATGGAGCGATGGAGAAAGCGACAGAGAGACAAACAAAAGACACAGTTACATGAACTGGGAGGAATGACAAGATATTTTCAGTGAAGGTTTCAGCCATCTTGATAAAAATGTAATTTCCTGAGTTGAAGCATGTCTGACTCCCCAGTTTGATATAAGCATTCAGTCTATCCAAGCCTTTTTTCTGAATCCATAAATATTTCAGTAATGTAAAATGACACGTCTGGACAAAGAACAAAAAAAAATGCGTACTCAGCTGACACTTGAGCGTAACGTCAGCACAAAGGGAATGAATGAAAACGAGGCGAGACTCGGCACATATGGAGTGTGGTGCCGGTCCTCACAGCCAAACCCACGGTTCGGGTTACAAAGGCAAAGGGAAGATGTGGACTCGTGGAGAAGAAACACCATCAAGGAGAATAAAACATGTATGTATTTACAGGCTGCCTGGACAAACACACAACATCCAAAAATGCTATTTATTTTTAATAAGGCACACATTCTCTGTGGCATTGTTTCAATAAGCTTTTGACAATATTTATTTCCATCCAGCAATGAATTTTCACCTTGCATTGATGATGGTAGTCTGACCACAGCACATCCCAAAGACTCTCCAAGGGGATCAAGTCTGGACTCAGTGGTGGCTGATCCATGTGTGAACATGATATCTCATGCTCTCTGAATCACCTTTTCACCATTTGAGATCAATAAATCCTGGAATTGTCACCTTGAAATATGCCACTGCCATCAGGGAAGAATATCAGCTCATAATGCCACTAAACCTGGACCAGATCACCTGCAAAAAACCCAGATTGTCATGTTCTGTGTCCCTGTGGTCCGCAGCCCCCTCCTTGTTCCCCTCATGCGTCTCCTTGTGTTCCCCAGCTCTCTCTAGGCTTCCCTCGCGTTTCCTCCTAGTCATTCCCCCGTAGTTCCTCTTGGTTTGCATTAGTCTCCTTTTGTGTTCCGTCCGCACTTTATTAGTCTTCCTCACTCCTCTAGTCATTAGTTGTTTATCTTTGCCCTTAGTCTTTAGGTTCAGTTATTTAGTGTTTTATAGGTTATGGTTTATCTCCCCCTCTGCTTAGTTCTTTCCCCATTTAGTTTATTAATGGCACCTGTCTCCTCTCAAGACCTCATTCCTCACACCTGTCACCTGTTCCTCTGATTGCTTCCCTCTGTGTTTAAAAACCCTGTCTTGTCCCTCGGTGTTTGTTGGTCCATTGATGTTGTCAGCATTGTTTTGTCCTCCTCGAGTTTCCCAGGTCCTTCATGCTTTTTGTATTTTACTCCTCCTCCTTAATAAAAGGAATTTATTTTCTTACAACCTCTTCTGCCTCGAGTCGTTCTGCATTTTGGGTTCGACCTCCACCTGCCTCATCGTGACACAGATAATAAACTCCCTCCACAGGTTTGCACAGTAGGCACCAGGCATGGAGGGTACGTGTCTTCATCTGCCTCTGCTCTTACCATGATGCACTCATCACCGCTAAGGCATGTTCGAATGTTCATGTTCTACGGAGGCATCTGTTCTCCGTTTGTTAGCAGTTTAGCTAGCTGAGCAAGAATACACGGGAGGTGTCTTGTAGCCTGGCCTTGGTCAAAAATTTACCAGAATACACCGCAATATTTTTAAGAGGATGGCGGATTTAAAGTCGGCAGCTACTTTAGGGAAAATTTTCTAATTTAAATGTAAGTCAACTAATTGCAGCTATCAAGCTGATATCTGAAATGTTTTTATATCCAAAGCAGTTAGCTATGGTTGGTTAGTTACCTAGTAAATGCAGCTTTGGTGGCTATCAGGTAGTAACTTGCCAGCATATTTAATTTAGCAAATATATACACAATTTTAAAAGTAAAAGGTTTGTTATAAACGTATAAGAATAAGTAAAAAAAAAAGAAAAGAAAAGAAACATATAAAACATAATGTTATCTCGCATGTCACGTAATGTTATGTGAACGTCGTCACGTGATGCAAGTCCGTTCCGTTTAACCGTTTTTGACCAAGGTAGGACAGTGTCCTTGTAAGCAAGGCGCCTGGCCTCAAGACATCGCCCTGTGAGGCCAGGTGCCTTGACATTGAGAAACACCCTTAGACCCGCTCCCATGTATTTAAGACCCAATTGTTATGGCTATATTTTACAAAGGTGCCGATATTTTTCAATAACTGGGCATCATTTAAATCTTTTTCAACAACATTTTGATGGATATGTCCAGAATTTAACGGTAAAAGCAAAACATTGTCACTTTAAACTAACTCACGCCAGTAGATCCATCATCCCTGAAGTTAAAGTTAGTCCCATTAGTTGTCACACACACTGATGTGTGTGCGAATTTTGTTCTCCGCATTTGACCCATCCCCTGGGGTAGTGGTGAGCTGCAGACACAGCCGCGCTCGGGAACCATATGGTGGTTTAACCCCCCAATCAACCCCTTAATGCTGAGTTTCAAGCAGGAAGGCATTGGGTCCCATTTTTTCTAAGTCTTTGGTATGACCCGACCAGGAACTGAACCCTGATCTCCCAGTCTCAGGGTGGACACTCTACCACTACGCCACTGAGCTGGTAGGCTACACAGTGGACACGATCCTGCCCTGGTTCAGGGACAACCCACATGCTGGGACATCTGTGAGACAGAAGACATCCATCTGAAAGCTCAGTTTCAAAGTAGGAGGTAAATTTGCTCTGGCTATAATCATTAGTCTGATGCTGACCCTAACCCCTTCATCAGGCTCTGATTAAAATCTAAATTTTACCACAGCTCGTCTAACAATAACAGGGTTATTATAATAATGTATGCATAATAATGTCAGGAGGCGGGTCGCCGCATTCTGCACCAACTGGAGGCGCGCAACTGTAGAAGAAGTAGATCCATAAAAAAGGGAATTAGCATAATCCAGGCGAGAGATCACAAATGCATGGATCACTGTGCAGGTCGCGTCTATTCAGGATGGACTTCATTTTTGATAGCCGACGAAGCTGAAAGAAGCAGGAACTAACCACCTCGCTAAATGAGAGTCCATCCGCAGCTCTGGGTCCAAAACTACTCCAAGGCTAGTGACGGTTGGCTTCACTAAGATGGCAAAACAGGGAGGCAGTACAGGGTTAACTGCAGAGGGAGAGAGAGGGACAAAAAAATGAGCCTCCAACTGTTCAGATATAAAAAGTTATTTGAAAGCCATGCCTTCACTTCATTTAAACAGTCCACAGCCGGTGGCACTGGATCTTGTGGTTTTAATGAAACATTAAATTGACAGTCGTCGGCATACAGATGGTACGACATGCCATGTCACCTAGAAATAGCTGCCAGAGGAAGGATATAGAGATTAAAAAGCAGTGGTCCCAAAATAGAACCCTGAGGAACACCAAAGGGCAAAGAGGATGCTCCAGAGGCTAAATCCCTCAGCCTCACACAAAAACTTATGTCACTAAGATCGGATCTGAACCAGTTCAGGGCAGTTCCCTGAAGGCCCACTACCTGGTTCAGTTCATAAGTATGGCATGGTCCACTGTGTCGAATTTTAGTTCAGACTTAAGTACATTTCCTATTTAAATCCTTCTTTATCTTAAATGTAAAGGTCTTCTTGTCAGTTTCATGTTTGTTATTGTATGATTTATTGGAATAAATAGTATTGTTTTGATTGTGTGACTTTAGAATGTGAAACTGGCGAAATCTAAGTCCTCTCTGAGTCTAAAACATGAGTCAGTGTGACATAGTGATGTGATGATCAGGAGACTGACCCGAACTACTGAGTGTATGATGATGTTTGTGTTTATTTTAAATACTTTAAAAAACTGATTACAATGTCCACTTAGCAACTATTCTAAACATTAAATGTATTATGAGTGAGATTATTATTGTTAATTTTACATTAAATAACCCACGTGAAACCCAATCCAGACTGAAGGCACGAAGAAATAAGCAGGATTAATTTATGAAACAATAAATGCCACATCTGCCTCAATGAAGCCAAATAATTTTGGTGTTCATTGATAATTGGTTGCTAACAGCGACTGAGGCTGATATAGCCCATCTGGACTGGAGTTGTGGGTTTTTGAATGAAGGAACAATGAATGAAGCACATTAGACAAGAAGTGCAGAGACAAAGACAACGCTGATGAGACACAACAGAGATAAAGAGGGAGGTGGGTGTGACGTGATGCTCCAATGATGAGGTCACTCGATGCATGGAGAGCTACCGCTCCACTGTGTTCCTGGTCCCTAGCCCCTGGCTGCCCATTACCAGTTCTGACTGTCGCACCTCAAAGGACATCTCATCTTGAGCATTTTCTGCATTTTCATCTCCACCTTCTTCTTCATCACCAATATGGCAACTCTAGATACACACAGAGAGAAATGAAATCAATTTAAGCTCCAATAATGTCCAATAAAGTTAATGTCAAAGCTCTGAACTAAAACTCACCTTTGCCATAATATCTGCGTATGCCATGTAAAGGTGATCTGTGTCAAGTTTACTGGAATGGGGAGAAGAGCAGGCAGCAGCTTGGTGACTCAGAAGTAATGACACCTTTCTGAAGTGGTGGTTTGCAACAACTCATGGCTTCAGTGCTGCAGCATGAGGACAGAGCTGTCTAACCTCTTTTCTGTCAGAGCCGTTCGACTGAAATGAAGAATTAGCTGGTGAAGAGGATCCGGTTTTGTTTCCTTCTCCTCCTCTTCTTCGGCTTCCTCCTGCTCCATTGCTTTCTGGGAGTTACAGGAACAAAATCAGGAAAGTGAGAGATGGTGGAGAACATCCAGATCCAAAGTGCAGCAGACGTTACTCACTGATAAATCATCTATCATCCTGTCTTCAAATGAGTACCCCTCACTTTGAATCCAGTTACGTTTGTATCCTTCAAGGAACATGTTTGAAGCTCTGTGCCTGCAAAACAACCCCACCCGATGGCCCCAATGAACCGAATGAAATTTGGGACAAAAGTCACCATTTTCTTACCTTGCGATGTTGTACAGTGGTGTCATCCTGAAGCAGGCGACCACAGCCCTGCGTCTCTGCTTGGACAGCAACTTGTGCCACACCATCTTCTTTGATTTAAAAGGATGTTCTGTCTGGCAGGAACAGACATGTTTCTGTTTACCCGTTGTGGTTTAGGTAGAAATATTTCAGATTTGGTTTCAGTTGAATTCTCTCTCATTTTTTTTTTGCTGGTTAACCGTCCCCTTCTGGAAGGCAGTTTTATAAATCACGATAACGAGACGAGTGCCAGGAACAAACACGAATGTTAAAAGGAAGGGAAGGAACAAGCATTTATAGCAGACTCACTAATTCGAGATGATAGAGGACAGCAGAAACCTCCTGCACTCTTTTGACAACTTTCATTGGAGCATCAGCGTCTTCGGCCTTTCCTGCCATCTCCTTGTACAGCGCCATCTGCCAGCGCATGGAGGGGTTGTCCACCTTTATCAGAAAAGAAAGACACTTCTGAAATGTGATGTGACTAACTATGATTCAACACCTGGCTCTACACTAAAGAGTTGTTAATACATTACACTTTAGCTTTCCAACTAGTTTTAATTAGGGCTTCTTATTACAGAATTACTCTATTAATGCATGATTGTCTCAAATGTGCCGGCCTGGATTCAAACTCAGGTCTCCTGCATCTGAGTCAGGTTATCTCACTAGTTGAACTATGCATTTGACATTTGAATATTGATAATCCTCCTCAGAACCTGAGGGGGCAGAGTGGAGTGGATGTTGTGCTTCCCAGTGGGTTTGTGACATCACAAGCCCAGTCAGTTTTAGTTTTTCCATCTGCTACTGACTCACAGCCATTTGAATGCAGAAATAATCAGAAATGCAATTTTGAGCTAAAATATCTTTAGATTCATCCTGTAGCATCAGAAAAATGCCTCAAGAATACGCTAAAAACAGACGGTTTTCATTGAAGTGGGTTACTTCACAACTAACACTTAACAGGTCAGATACAATACCTTGCCCTGAAGATGGAGGTTATTCTGCAGGAACTCTCTTACTTCTTCATCTGTGTCTCTCTGAAAGCAAATAAACATAACAAAAAACCCCATCAGTAACTCTCTCCGCCTCTATCTAATAGCTCTAACTGAATAAACAAATGTTGACAGTGCTCATTAAAAAAACTACCAAAGAGTATCGGATCTTTGCCAAGTTGATGAGCTCCTGATCAGCAGGAGAGCACATGTTGAGGCCGATGGGGAGCATCTTCTTCAAGGCAGCAACGATGAGTGAAGTCTGGACAGAATAGCGATCGCCTCTTTTCTTCTTCTTTGTACGTTCAGCATCCGAGCCTCCACCCTGTGGAGAGGGACAACAGCAAACCAGAAGCATTCGAAGTGTACCATAAGATTTCAGGGGTGGAACCCATGGATATGCATCCTTATTAATAATAATAATAATGAATATCATTTCCACTTGCTTTCATATGTAAACTGATTATTTCTACAAGCTCAGAGTGTTGCTGCCCTTTGTTACACATTCTGTTCATAACTGTTATGGACAGGATTTCTAGGCGCAGCCAAGGTGTGGAGGGCATCTGTTTTGGTGGCCTGAGGATCAGGTCTCTGCTTTTTGCAGATGATGTGGTCCTGTTGGCTTCATCAGAACGTGATCTTCAGCTTTCGCTGGAGTGGTTCGCAGCCGAGTGTGAAGCAGCTGGGATGAGAATCAGCTCCTCTAAATCTGAGACCATGGTGTTGAGTCAGAAAAGGGTGGAATGCCTTCTCCAGGTCAGGAATGAGGTCCTGCCCCAAGTCGGGGAGTTTAAGTATCTCAGGGTCTTGTTCACAAGTGAGGGAAAGATGGAGCGTGAGATCGATAAGCGGATTGGTGCTGCGTCTGCAGTGATGGGGGCGTTGTACCGGTCTGTCGTGGTGAAGAGAGAGCTGAGACAGAAAGCAAAAATCTCCATTTATCGGTCGATGTTCCTACCCTCACCTACGGTCACGAGCTTTGGGTAGTGACCGAAAGAATGAGATTGCAGATACAAGCGTTTTTCTGCAGAGTGGCTGGGTTCTCCCTTAGAGATGGGGTGAGACACTCGGTCATCTGGGAGGGGCTTGAAGTAGACCTGCTGTTCCTCCACATCGAAAGGAGCCAGTTGAGATGGCTCAGGTATCTGGTTAGGAGTCCTCCTGGATGCCTACCCGAGAGGTTTTTTGGGCACGTCCAACCAGAAGAGGTCCTAAACATAGACCCAGGACACGATGGAGGGACCATGTCTCTCATCTGGCCAGGGAACGCCTTGGGATTCCCCCGGAGGAGCTGGCCTAAGTGGCTGGGGAGAGGGAAGTCTGGGCCCCCCTGCTTAGGCTGCTGCCCCCGCGACCCAACCCCGGATAAGCGGCCGCAAATGGATGGATGGGTGGATGGAAATAAATCAATCAAATCTCATTTAATACATGCAGCAGACATCTTTTCACACAGGTGAGTTCCCATCGGGCATTCCATGAATGTGTGTGTAGCTACACCCCCCTCAGTTAAAATATCAGATAAAGTTAAAGAACAAAACTCATGAAATGAGAAGTTTTTGTTGCATGCAGTTAAAGCCACACAGGTAGGGTGAAACATTTCTAATGTTGTTGCCTCCATTATCACCTCAGATTCCTGTTTTATTTCAGGAAGTAAATCTGTTCTTCTGGAAACTGCTCTTTCTAGATTCCTCCAAAAATGTGCAAATGAGCTTACTGGGTTGTGTACGAAAACACCTCATCATATACCAATAAACTTGTAATAAGCAGGTCAATGGTTGGTATTTGAGGCTGTGGTAATATATATATATATATATATATATATATATATATATATATATATATATATATATCCCCAGTGATACTGATATATATATATATATATATATAAAACGGTATATATATATAAAACGGTGTTAAGCTGTATCATTTGATGCAGTTTACTGTTCCTGAAGGTAAGTGAATACTGGAGAATGTTGGATGGTACGTTTAAACATTAAGGCTTGTGGTTTCAGTGTTATGCATGAGCTAACCTTTGTGACCTAATCTATTCATAACAAACTCTATAAGTGACAGAGGAGTAGTTCAGAGGGTGCAATGCAAATTTGGGAACTATGTCAAATAAGTGTGAATTAATGTTTTAGTCAAGTTCATGGTCATTTTGAATCACTCCTTCAGAGGGAACCCAACAAGTGTTTAAGGGAATCCAATTCAGTAACATTAAGCATCAAGCCATGTATTAGTGTGGCTAATCCTAATGTGTCATGGCATCTGAAGGGAGGAGAGGAGAAAGAGCACAGAGAAGACTAACATTGACCCCTAGAGGTGAAAAGCGACATTACAAAGACCATCCATCCATCAAAAAAACACAACATACAAGAAGTATCCAACTAATCTATGATATAAAAAGAGCAAACTCAGTGGCAGGATGATGACACTGAGCTCTCACTACCACCTGGGGGGTTGTGTAAAGCCCAGTGTCATGAGCCCAGCTCTACAGTTGTGTACTTTCATCAAACGCCTCCAGACTCCCCTCTTCACACACTGGCAGGACTGGGAACAGCCCATAGGTGGAGCCTGCCCATTCGTCCAGTGATCCTATATGAGAGCATCTTTACACTGTGAGGGTTTATAAGTGTTTTTGTGAACATTTCAACAATAACGCGTCATCTGGAATATTACAGGTGTTTCTGTATGTCAATTCCTTGTTTGTGGATCCACTAAAGGTGAATGTGGGTCAGAAGTGCCAGTGTGCTGGAAGGGTTGATGAAAAGCTCCCCTAAAGCGAGGTGCCATGCGGTCAGCACAGCGGTCGTGCAGAAACAAGTCTAACCTCTGTGTCCCCGCCCTGGAAACCCAGCCGCAACCCAAAAGAAGAGCACAATGGACAGCCAAGACAGAATTTCATTAACAGAAAGGCTAATCGTTGGAAAAATGGGAACAAAACCAAGTCCTGGAAGCAAGAAAACTAAAAATATTTTAAATATTGCATTAAATTTCTAAACTGCTCTGGTTACTAAAGTATATCTGTTTAAAATATATATTTAAAGGTGCATGAAATAAGAATAACATCATGTGGTCAGAGTTGAATACTGCAGTCCATTTATTTGTTCGTATTTTCAGAGGCTGAATCAAAACCAACAAATCTGCTCTGAGCAACTGTTGCCCGTTACAGATCAGCACCAGAAGATTCTTGAACACAAGTCATACACAGTAAGTTCATAAGTAAATGGCCTGTATTTGTATAGCGCCTTCTTAGACTTCTACAACCCCCCAAGGCCCTTTACAACACAATCAATCATTCACCCATCCACACGCTGGTGGAGATGCGCTACCATGTAGCCACAGCTGCCCTGGAGCGTACTGACAGAGGTGAGGTCTGTTGTACACTGGCGCCACCGGTCCCTCTGACCAAAGCAAAGCATGTTAAGTGCCTTGCCCAAGGACACAACAGCAGCATTCTCTGGTGGGAGTCAGGTTCGAACCTGCAACCTTCCGATTACTGAACAACCCGCTCTACCTCCTGAGCTGCTGCTGTCCCAGTGGATAAATACTTTTCACTGGAATACAGAGTTGTTGGTCACTGATAAAAGTAGCTCTTTTTTCTAATCCACCGTTAGAACAGTTAGCTCAGCTCTTGCCTCTAGCTTCCTCTACCCTCCTTCAGAATAAAACAAACATTATTTTACTTTCTTTTGCTTCTTTCGTTGCAACACATTTCCTCTCACTTCTGAGCCGCCCCCTTTACCAGCTTCCACTGCCCACAACGCTGCTGCTTGTTGCTGGAAAGTGTCAAATTACAAATGACTTGGTAATCTCATGGGCTCAAATATGATTGGTTCTGGAACCAGGAAGTATGGAGGTGGAACAGATAATAAACAAAGACAGAACTTGCAACCAACCAGCCATCTGAGAAGGAAATCCATTTCAAAGTACCGTTTACTAAACATGATTAAGACATTAGACTGTTTAGTGATTTTTTCACCGTAAAATTCTTACTTATTGCACCTTTAAATAAAGAATTAAGAAAATTTGTTTTTTCTTATTAATGCCATTTTAATAGCTTATAAACATCTAAAATTATAAACATTAAAAGTTCTTAAAGTCAAAGTCATGAACGGAATAAAACGTGGACTTGGTAAAACAAGGTTTAACCGGTCTCACCTTGCTCATTTTGCTCTTGCTGTCGGCGGTGAGGAACGACATGTTATTGATCTCATTCATCACCACAAAGTTCTGCTCCTCACGTTTGAAATTCTGCAAAGGAAAAAAAAAGCAAAACCAAGAAACATGAGAGAGAGAAAAAGATATTAAGTTCCACCATCTGTCTTTCACCTGAAGGTGCTCACATGAGATTTGGACCAGAAAATAAAGACTTCTCCGACCATCCGGAAGAGTTCTTCTGCATCCGGGTCAGGACATGTCAGCCACCTTGCTCTGAGACAGTAAAAAACACTCTGAGCATCCATCAGAACATTTATGAGGGTGTTGTTGGTGCTTCCTGTACCTGTTGTTGTCCACGTAGCGAATTAGCAGAGGGTAAAGAGCGTACAAGTCTCTGCAGAGGACAGCAAACTCGTCCCGTATTGTCCCATCCTCCTCGTCTCCTTCTGACTTCCCCTCCATCCTTAAATGGTCCTCCTCAGCCACTACCTTTGAAGTACGCTTCTTCAGCTTCTCCATTGTTGGGATGAAGTGGGACTTGAGCATTTCTGGCTTCGCCCTGCTGACTATAGGCTGTGAAAATACTAGCAGAAAAAAATAACCATCATTTCACCTGAACGGGCAAAGAAAGAGACTCCTAAACGGATGTCAATCCATGCTCACCAGCCAGCCTCTTCATCCATGAGGCTTCATCAATCCCCAGGTTGTTGACTACAATCTTCATGATGCTGCCCAGGAGCTGGTTGAGGTGCTCTGACGTGACCTCGGTGCAGAGTTGACCCTCCATCTCGGGGAAGTTTTCAGGGCCTCCCTCCCACCAACGTGGCAGGTAGTTACACAGCATGGGCAGAGTAATTTCAATGACATGAGGCATCTCAGTGTAGCGAGCTCCCGACTCCGCCAGGTCTCCAATCTCCTTCAACAGAATATCCAGCACTGGAATATCTGGACACAACTCCTGCACCTCGCTGGGGAGGCCGAGGACTTTGAATTTCACAAGGAAAGAAGTGAAAGACAATTCAGGAGAGACTTGGCAGGAGAGCAAATGTCTATAATAATAACAGAGATTCTGAACTCACTGGCTCTCTCTCTTGGTGTCTTTGTGGTGTACACAGAGAAAGCATTGAACTCGTTCAGATGAGGCTCCAAGTAGGCCACTGGCATCGCTGCTGCAAGGTGAGCCAGACACTCCCCCAGGGCAGGTCTCTGCCTGCTCACAGGAAGGATCAATCTGAGAAATGCTCAGAGGAAATGAGTTGTTTATTCCTGAGGAACAAAGGCGTTACCTCTCCACATGTGGGTTTTTAACAGTCCCCACAGAGTAGATACTACACATGATGCGATAGCAAGAGATCTGCAGATCATCCACTGTATGTAATCGAAGACAGATACAGCAGAGTCAGGTGGAATAACGAACGACGATTACAAATGATAAAAGTGTTAATAACTCACACATGACATCGTCCCCAAACTGGTGCTGAGCTATGTGATCAAACAAGGAGGTGAGCACAGGAAGCAGGGCAATAGCGGTGTAGTTGATGTTCTGGGAAACACCTTTCACTTGCTTAAAAGAGAAGAGGCCTGTTAACGTGGACTTGGACCAGTTCATCGCTTCCACCAGTCAGCGATGGCGGCACACGAAGAGCCCTTTCAGAGATTAGATACCTGATTTCCTTTGGACACTTTACCCAGTTTGAGATTCTCCACCATTTTCTCCATATCATCAGCGGCGCTCTCGAAGAATGACCGCAGGCCTGCTTTCACAATCTCAGGGCCAGACTTCATCACTGTCCTGGAAAAATGTTTACAAACAAAGTAAATAAATAAACCAAAACTAACACAATCACTGGAAAGCATTACCTTGCGTCCAGTGACCGAGCCAGAATATGAAGACAGTTAACGATCGCCGAAGCATCGCTTCCTGCACAGACAAAGACAACGGGGATTGATTGATGTCAAGTTGTTGTTATTGTTGTTGTTAGCCACAAGGGCAGCATGCCGATTATCACTTGTAAGTCGCTTTGGACAAAAGCGTCTGCTAAATACATAAACATAAACATAAACAACCTCACTCGTCGTGTGACAGAGATTTCCACCAGCAATGGGAGCGTTTGTTGGCACTGAGCAAAGACTGCTCGGCCTAGCCAGGTCAATCGGGTAGTTATCAAGAAAATTCGAGGGACACAGAGAAAACGGATCCAGACATAAGAGAGAAAAACGGGCTTACCAAAGAGAGAAACCCTGTGTCTCACCAGAGCAGACATCTTACAGAAGATACTAACACAAGCAAAAAAGAAGGAAACAAGACAAAAGGGAGGCATGGATAAAGACATGGATGCAGTATTTAAAAAGAAGCAAAACATGTGCTTTAAAAAAGGTTTAACTTACCTTGCAATCATCTCCTTCTCCTTGTTGGAAGAATGCCCACCACTGCCCAGAACTTTAGCCGGTGTTGATAAGAAGTAGAGGCAGTGGTTTTTGAAGTACTGATTGATTAAAGGCATCAGAATCTACGAGATTGGGAGGGTTTCCTGATTTAGTAAAGCAGGCGGGGTTGAGTCTGGTCTTCCAGTGTGTTAAAGGTGTGGAACACGTGTTTAATCAATATTTGTGCAGTGGTCTGTAGAAATGAACGCCTCATGGGGGGTGAGGCAGCACGGAGGAGTCAGCTGGAGAAGAAAGTAGCTTCAGACGGATGGATCTAAACTCTTATTTGCTGAATTTAGGACATCTCGCTTCTGATTGTTTAACAGCAACACAACTCTACCACTGACTCTGTTTGCAACTCTGTTTTATCTCCACAAATAACACAATCCTGGAGGAGTTCTGCTGTGTGGTGAAGCTGCTAATGCTAATGGTTAGCTTCTACTAGCCGAGACATTCTCTCCTGTTTCCTGGACGCTAAACCAACAACAGCCGAGATGGATGAGCCGTTTTCCCATCAGAAAGCCCCTGACTGCCAGCTGTTTTGAGCATTTGCTTTTTGAAGAGTCACAGAACATTGTGCTCTGTGACCATGTAAACACCAAAACTACCAAAAGAAAGAGTAGACTCACTTCTTAAATCACGAAGAATCAGCAGCTTTTTCCTGTTCTTTCATAATGCGTTGTTGAAGCGTGAGCAGCAGAAGCTTTTCCGGTTTGCACCTCGCATCAGGCACAGCGGCGCCCAAAAACGATCTCCTAATATATGGATTGTCTGCCTCTTAATCACGTGTGGCACACATGGATGGAGATCAACTTTAAAGCTGTGATGTTTACTCTAAGGCTGCCACAAACAACTATTTAACAGTCGACTGATAGTGTCATTCATAAAAGCATAACTTACTGCACCAGGATGCCCTAATATACCATCATTAGCTTCTAGTTTAAAGTGTGATCAGCTATGTGCCATCTAATAATAAAGACTAGATGATAGTTTAGCAAACAACTTTTAATTAACTTTGTAACCTGTTAATACAACTAACAAACAACCAAAAATAAATTGTACACAAAAACGACTTGTGTTCACAAATGTATCCAGCTAAAATAGACGTTTTTGCTTTGTAACAAACTCGTCTGTTTAAGAGGAGCGCTTTAACACTTCAACGTAGCGGGATAAAATAAATCATTAGTGTTTGTAAAATTACAGCAAATAGATGACATTTATATGTGTTATAAAGGTAATAAAATCTGGCCTGCCCGACTTGTCCTGTTTTATTCTGCACAGAGCGAGACAGAGAGGCACATGAGGGGCGGGACTAGGCAGCTCAAAAATAACCAATCAGAAAATAGACGGAAATGCCGACTGTACCGCGCGACGCTGTAGTTTTCTAGCTGTAGTCAAAAGTAGCGTCTGGCAATAGCGCAGACATCTTTTTTTTTTAGAAGAAAGACTTTTAGCGCTTCTACTTGTTGTGGTTTTAAATACATCCAAGTCATTTAGAACAGAGGAAAGAGCCGCAGCGAACTCCGCTTCAGTCGCCATGTTCGACAAACTCGGCGTTGTGGTGTGTGACGTACGCTACTCAGCGCTGATTGGCTCGGTTAGAATTCTCAGGGGGTGGGGTTATTTGAATAGGAGAGTTCCTAGACCCTTTCTCTGTGCAGAATTAAACAGAGGAGGATCTGGCAGGCCAGGCTAGATAAAATCACCATCACTGCTCAGAACAACAGGTTCTTGGTTAAGTTTTCGGACGACACTGTTTTGATGTCCTTACTTTCGGGATCTGAAATAAACCATGGTCCCGCGCTGTCAGATTTTGTAGAATGGTGTGACAGTAACTACCTGGACCTGAACGTCAAAAAAACCAAGGATATGATTATTGATTTTAGACGCTCCGCACCACCCCACCTTGGTAGTAGCATCATCCACGGTGAAGTGGTGGAGGTGGTTGAGGAGTACAGATACCTTGGTTCTTGGATTGACAACAAGCTGCGGTTTGTCACAAACACAGACTCCATTTTTAAACGAGCTCAGCAGAGAATCTATCTTTTAAGGAAATTGAACTATTTTAACGTGAATAAAAGGATTCTCTGCAACTTTTATAGCTGTTTTATAGAAAGCATTTTAACATTTTCATTTGTTTGTTGGTACAAAGCCTTGTCCATGAAGGACAAAAAGAAGCTGCAGAGCATTGTAAAAATCTGCTCCAAAATTATTGGCGCCAAACAAAGAGACTTACAGTCTCTTTGGGAGGAGAGGGCGCGAAAAAAGGCTAAATGTATCCTTGGTCAGCCCCTCCATGCTCTGCACTCTGAGTTCTCTCTTATGCCCTCAGGACGTCGTTATTATGTACCTTCTCGAAAAACAAACCGCTTTGCCAACTCCTTTGTTCCATCAGCTATTGAACTGCTTAACTCTGAGCCGGGAAGGGTGGCGAAATAACAGCGAAGTATCATCGGCTTTAAGCATGTGCCATTTTTGGAGGGCTGCTGCTCATCCTCTACCCTCCATTTAGGATGTGTTCGGCATGTTGGTAGTGACACACATTGTGTGATTGTATGATTGTATAAATGGATTGTTTGCTTGGTTGATTTTATGAGCGAGTAATTCTGTGTGGTAAGCTACAAATTAATTGCCCCATGGGGACCAATAAAGTTTTCTGATTCTGATTCTGATTCTGCACCTGTGAATACAAGTAACTCTCTGTTGATGTTAGCAGCTAACAAGCAATAATTAGCTTACAGAGGAGACTTTTTGTTGTCCGCCATGCCGTGCTTCCTTTTAAGGTGCCCACTCATTACCGATGTGCTCCCATGAAAGGAGTTTCACTTTGCAGATTTTGCACTCTGTGCTTCTCTTTTGTCTTTGTAAAATGCTCCCAAACTTTTGAGCTACGTTGCCGACTCGTCGTGATATCTTCTTTCTCCTGTGATTCTGATTGGAAGGCTGATATGAATGACCACTACTGCGCATGTGCCTGGAGCAGAAAGGCAGAAAGCAGCCGTCGAAGGTGCCGCAGCAGGCCAGATTTTAAAAATGCTCCTAGAATAAACGACGTTGACTTAAATTTGTAGTCGACAATTTTGTTTGTCGACGTCATTGTGACAAATCCACTAATCATGGCGGCACTAGTTTACTCTCAAGGTGAGCGATCTCATTCCCAAGCCCACCCTGTTGAAGAAACGCAACTGACAGCTTTAGTCGACTTTAGTCATCAATAGCAGTGAATGAGTTAAGCGACGGTGTGACGTAGATCTGTCAGGCTTTCCTAATCTTAGAGTTTCACCGTCTATTTTCCATCGGAAGCGAATGCAGGAGGTAGGTGTAGGAGACTGTTTTCATGTTCAGCCTGCATGAAAAACTCAGAGTGGCCGATCATAATTAGAAATAATCATTAGAAAATTTTTCAGTGTTCCACACCTTCAAGACTTTACACCAAAAACTTTACCTTAGCAAAGAATTTGATTTCCTGCTCATGAGGAGACTTCTCCACTCGTCCGCTGCTTACCACAGCCTCTGCAAGAAATACCATTCAATTGGCCCAAACTGTATCATTCCTTACACAGTTATAGATACGTAACATGTCTGTTTCTTTTATGTTCGCCGCAAAGTACCAAGATGAGCAATGAATTCCTGGGCAATTTCCATCCATTTCAGCAGTTTCTGCAGGAAGCCATAAGCAAATCTCTTCTCAATGGAGGAGATCTCAGACTCCATGTCCTTCAGGCCCCTGAAAGAAAACAAAGATCTTTTCACTTGCTTGTCATAAACAAGCATTCGTCTTTCATCATAAAGAACAAAAAAATAAATGAAAAGAATCTATGACCAGAAACAGAGAAATGTTTTAATTTGTTTTCTGCAAGTGTTAGACGCCGCATATATTAAATAAGTCTACACGTTAAGTAAGAATCTTAAAGAGCAAGTCACCCCCTACAAGAAACTTACTTCACTCCCACTTCATGTTTGAAAAATGCAACAAATGCTGTTGCTCGGCAGACCGAGAGGGCGGAGCTGCTAACAAATACACACGCACACAGGCTCACAATGACATTATGACATCATAATGTACCAGATGACATCATAGCATACCTCTTAGCCAATAGCGGTGGCTGATTTAAATTCAAAAACTGTGCAGAATTTTTCCCTGACGACGGCGCAACACTGACAGTTTTAGGCAGAATATTTGAATTTTAACCAAGATGCACTGAAGTGCCAAATTATTGACTACACATGTCTGTAGCATGGTTAGACACTCCTTTATATAGTTTATCAGCAAAAAAAATGTGATTTGGGGGTGACTTGCTCTTTAAAGAAATGAAATGTGCAGCTCTGTATAAGTTATTACCGTGTGACAGCATATCCATTAAGCTGCAGGAACTTGAGCAACTCGTAGGCCTTCTCTCGGTCTCTTGCCTTCTCCTTTGCTGTCAGAGTGTCATAAGGAACCAGCAGAGGATGGGTCCCACCTCCTACATAGAAGACACTCATGACCAAACTGTAGCCTCATCTTTAAGTCATCACATTCCCTCCATACCTTTGGATTGAAGCTCTAACTTTTTCTTGCGGCCCCAAGTGTTATGGTAATTCTCTGCCAGCTGCTCCGCCATTGACTAACAACAGATCAAACGATGAGCGTTGATTGGATTTTAGGAGAAGGTTAGAGACTTATGCCATACCTGCAGATCTCTTGAGAGAGCCATGTGTGAGATGTCGATAGGCTGTGGACTGTAGCCGTGGCTTGGATCATAAGTAGCCTGGACGTAAAAGATGGTCATACATTGTGGAGCAAATAAACCTGCTGTAGCAACAATAAGCACCAGGGAAGCCATGATACCTGAGCAGTCTGGGAAATTTTTCTGGATGCTGCCTTCTTCTTCTCTGACTCCTCTTCCTCTCGTGCTTTCTCTACGTTCCATTCCCATGCTATCATGGCTTTAATGGACTCTTTGATCGGCCAACGGTAGATCTCCTTGTCCTTAAAGAGACGTTTGAGATGAACGAGTCACAGACAGCTGATTAGAGCGCGAGTCAGCACATGCAACAGTTTACCTTCTCTGAAAAGGTTTTGTACGGTCTGAGCATGGGATGAGTTTTTGCGTTGTCATCCAGCACCTCGCCGTATGACCAGTTGTTCTGAATCTGAAACATCCATGACATGACATGTGTTATAGCTCTCATTCAGCTGAGTTCTCCATCCTGACAGGAAATCTGTGAATTGCTATTATTTACTTTCAAACATATCAGAAATGCAGGCTTATGAGAAGATGCCCCACCTTCTCAAATGCCCACTTATCATGCGTGTACTCGGCATATCTGTTGATAAAAGGGTCCAGCCTCTCTGGGATGATCGTGCTTTTGATGAAACAGAAATCAGAGAACATTACGACTGAAACTTAGACGCATTATAAAACATTATAAACACACGTTTTCATACTTTGTGGTGTCTATTGGTTTAGGATCAAAGTTCCCCTCTGCATCTACTGAGGCCTTTTTCTCTGTTTTAGAGGAGTAGCTGGCATCCACATAATCTGGAGGGATGGCTCCAGCGATAGCGCACAGGCACGGCATTGAAATTTTGAAAATTTCTGCATCAAATTTCTGAAATCACAACAATAAATGAACATTACAACATGTAGCTTTACAATCTACTGAGCTTTAAATGTGTCCACCTTGTGTGCTAGTGACTCAAAAATCCCCCAGAAAAGTTTGCGGGTCAAATGCAGCTCCTCTTCTGAGGCAACTCCAAAGTTGGCCCAGCCGTTAGGCAGGCAATAATATTTCCAGCAACGCTCGTAGTGACTGGTCAGAAGCTGCATGAGACGAGACAGGAGAAAATACAGACAAATAACGTTAAATGTGACGAAAACCTGAGTGTCATCAAAGGTAATCAAACCTTCAGTGGCCTCTTGGCATATTCATTGAGAATGGGTACATCAAACACAAGCCGTCTTAGCAAGTGCTGAAGCATGGAGGGACGTAAATGTCTGACAAAGCAAACAGAAAACGTCAGTTAAGATATGTGTGTGTGTGTGTGTGTGTGTGTGTTAGCTAAAAGGTAACGGCTGCTATGATGCTCATCTCACTTGCACAGAGCCATCAGACACTCTTCGATGATGTCTCTTTGAGCCTTCGTGAAAGCCCGTCCTCGAGACAGCCTGTAGATGGTGTGCAACATGGAGTCGATCATTATGGCTCGGTGGTCGCTGCCAGCAAAGAGCGGGGCGCACTTAGTGATGAGCGGCAGCACAGCAGAGCACAGGTAGCGGTTCAATGCCAGAGCCATCTCTGTGGTGCTGAAAGCAGCCTGACACACACAAAGTTATGTTTGAGATCACGTTAGATTTCTTTAAAATAATACATTCTGGCTATTTGGTTGGTTTGTGACTCACGGTGTCTAGAGAGGCAGCCGCCCTCATGTCAGGCAGAAAGCCAACTTCCAGCACATGGAGCAGGAAATCCTGGTGTTCAATACCATAGACCCTGTCTAGGAATAGCACCATGGGAGACTTGTGATCCGGCACAAAACTAGCTGACATCTTTGGTTCTATGATGCTGTTGTCTGAAGAATAACGAGGAATATACAGAAATACAAGTGTTAGGAGTCCCCTTGAACGACCAAAGTCTGGCTACCTTTAGTTTGTTTACTTCATGTATTTACCTTTCCCAAAGCAAGGAATCTGAACAGGAAGACTAATGACTCCCACAAGATCCTCGATAGGAACCAGAGACCTCAGAATGGCCCTGATCCTGAGAGCCTCCCCTTTACCAGCTTGAATTAACTGCATGAAAAACAGTTTGTTTGTCTGAGAGCCCAAGACTGTTAAACAGCATAATAAGGAGTGATTGTTGAGAGTTTACATGCATCTCTGGAGCACAGCGTCCCAGCAAGTCAATCAGAGCAGAGTAGAAGGACATGATGGCGTTTCCTAGATGCACCCTGCTCTCCTCATGCTGCTCTTCTCCTCCAAACCTTCCAGGAAAAAACAACAAGTGCACTTTTAGTCTGCATCTATATTTATTATTCAAAACCCCAGTGTCTTCTGCATTTGGTGCTGATTCTTATGAGGTATTGCTCTACTGCGTGCCATGCCGACATCTAAGAGCTCTCACATGGGGAAACGTCTATCTTTCTTCACACTAGGACCATCTCTTGCAGGGTCCTCAGATATTTTTATAGCTTCCTCGATTGCAGCCAGCAGACCATTGCCGCCCTCGCCTCTCAGAGCCGGACCAAAGCACTCAGGTCTTCGGATGAGAAGGCGCACTACAACGTTGGCATTCTCCTCCACACTTTCTCCTAAAAAGAAGAAATCAGTGTAGTTGAAGATGAAAAACACAACTAATGTGGAGAATTAACTCAAATGTTACGATGAATGGCAATAAAAATCGAATCTGACCGTTGACGAATACAGCAAAACGAAGGAAGTCCAGGTATTTCTCCCCACCGCAAGGATTCCAGCCAATATCAGGGTAACCTTTAGCCAGGAGCATGGGACAGCTCTGAAGTCCACAGCCAGCTAAATATTTCACCACCTGTAACGATGTGAAGGTAATGAAGAGACACATAAATGAGTGTAGTGTTAGTTTTGTTGATGGCAACAAAGTTCTACCATCTCCAAATCTTGCTCTTGCAGAGCCAGCGCCAGCTCGTTATTGTCAATGCAAGAAGCTGCAGCCACATCCAGCGGGGTCGAGCCACGCATTCCTGAGCAAAAGCACACAGTGTTCAGCTTCATCACAAAACGCACAGAAACATTCCAGGATACTGGAAAAGGTCAATCACCAAGGCCGATGCCGCTGTTCTGGAGGAGGTAACTGAGGTGGTCAAACATGGAACGCTGATTCTGACGACTGATGCGACAGAAGTAACAGAGGAAACGGCAACAGTTGGTCACCACTCGAGGAAATCTGATTTCCTGTTGAAAGAAAGATTGACCTTATTGGTCAAGTTCATCTGCTACTGTGTGCAAAACAGCTGCATGGCTAAAACATTTCCACCTTTGAGTCTCCACCACCCAACACGTTAACCATTACTTCCATGACGGTCTCATGCATTCCCAGAGCTCGCATCAAGTTTGGGTGCTGGTAGAAAACTCTGTTACTCATGATGTTCCTGAGAAAGATCAAATTTATAATGAACATTTGACAGAAACCTCCAGGGTTTTATCAAGAATAAATAAAATCACGTGGCCACGCACCCAATGCTTTGAATTATAAGTCTCTCCTCTTCTGGACCCATCTGTACAATAAGCAGAGAGCGGATCTGCCCCAAGCACTCCAGCAGGTCCATGGTGTCCTGAATGGACACCTCATTGATGGTGTAGGCCTTGGGAAGAGCTCGTGTGAGCTCGCCAAGCCCATCGTACTGCCTGTGAAGAAGGCTGAACATCATACGCACAAGCTCAGGGTTCTGGATGAAGGATTCCTGGGCCCAGTGGATCATTGTGTGGGAGATCAACTCCTGCAGTGTGCCTGGTACGATCAGAAAAAAGGTCAACCAGGAACAAGCTTTAAGTTCAACGCAGATCTGATCTTAAGAGAGACACAAGATTAAAAGAAAAAGTAAAGTTACTCTGGAGTTTTTGCTCTAAGAGGCAAACAGGAAGTAAACTAGTGTTTAATCATCCATTTGTTTTCTAAATAGAAAAGCATTTGTACCAAATAGCTTTCATGAAAAAAAAAGCTCACTTGGTTTTTTATCTTCCTGCGCTTCAGGCTCAACTTCCACCTTCTTCTCCCGGAATTTCTTCACCTTTTCCAGCAAACGGAACAGTCGCCCGCGGAGAGAATTATCCACTTGCTCCTCTTGTTCTTCTTCCTCAATGTGAACACCTGGAAAAGGAAAAGTGCAGAAATCTGAATTTGTGTGCCGTCTGCAATCCCCCTTTACCGTCTTAATATGTCAGCAGAGTTGTAAGTAAGAACTGACCACAGTGAACCAGCACGGTGTTATGAAATGTCAGCAAGGCCTCGCGGACCTCATCCGGAACAGGACACTCCTCATCATCAGGGCAGTTCTTGAAGTTCATTAGCATGTTGACCTACATGACAATGTTGTAAACACCAACTTCAGAAAATGTTGGAACCCAAAAATAGGGTTGCACTGGTGAAATATTGATGGTATGATGGCTGGAGAGCCCAGCCATCATGCAGAGAAAACTAATTTCTTGTATTTGAGAACTCATTCTTTCAGTCACTACCCAAAGCTCATGACCTTAGGTGAGGGTAGGACTTTACATCAACCGACAAATCAAGAGCTTGTCTTCCGGCTCAGCTCTCTCTTCGCCACAACAGACCGGTACAACGCCCGCATCACTGCAGACGCAGCACCAATCCGCCTATCGATCTCGCGCTCCATCTTTTCCTCACTTGTGGACAAGACCCCGAGATACTTAAACTCCTCCACTTGAGGCAGGACCTCATCCCTGACCCGGAGAAGGCGTTCTACCCTTTTCTGACTCAAGACCACGGTCTTGGATTTAGAGGAGCTGATTCTCGTCCCAGCTGCTTCACACTCGGCTGCGAATCACCCCAGCAAAAGCCGGAGAACACGTTCTGATGAAGCCAACAGGAAACAGAGATAGAAACAAATATAAATAAAAATAAACAGAGCTCCGAAATTGACGGGCAGCCAGCACAGATGCTAAAACAGAAGTCATGTGTTTCTGTCTCTTGTGCGTGACCGAGGACCAACACCAACACAGAGCTGCAGTTATCCAGCCAAGATGTGATGAAGTCAGGGATCAGGGTTTAGAAGTGACTTGCTAGGCTGTTTTATCTTTGTTAACTGTCTCAGTTGAAAGAAGCTTTTTGATGACAGCACTGATCTGACTGTCCAACTTGAAATCACTATCTATTTTATAATTCAGATTTAGTGCCATTGTCTTTCCATACCATGCCAGAGAGCCCAAGTCCATAGGAGACGGGCCACACTGGTACCAGTATCAAACACAATCCCTTCTGTCTCCCACTTCAGGGCGTGTACACCAGCTCAGTGGCCTAGTGGTAGAGTGTCCTCCCTGAGACTGGGAGATCGGGGTTCAATTCCTGGTCGGGTCATACCAAAGACTTAGAAAAAATGGGACCCAATGCCTCCCTGCTTGACATCATTAAGGGGTTGGATTGGGGGGTTAAACCACCAAATGGTTCACGAGCGCGGCTGTGTCTGCAGCTCACCACTCCCCCAGGGGATGGGTCAAATGCGGAGAATAAATTTTGCACACACATCAGTGAGTGTGACAACTAATGGGACTTTAACTTGACTTTAACTTTAACCTACCTGTTTATTGTTTGCATAACATTAAAAAAAACAAGGTTTTCTTCAAATTAAACCAGGATGGAAGCAAATACAAAGAATAAAACTGAAGGACCAAGTACTGAGCCCTGTTGAGCTCCACAAGAATAAGTAGCAGAAAAGTGTTCAAACTGACACAGAAACTCTTGTGTGCCTTATAAAATCTGAACCACTTCACGGCAGAACTCTAAGGGAGATATTAGAGTACAGTTGGCCGTGTCAAATCTAAAAGCACAAAGATTACTTAATCCCTGGAGTCTGTCATGGAAGACATAATTAAAAACTTCTCAATAAAGCTGATTACGTACCATGAAGACCCATTGAGAAAGTCTCCCGAGCCTCACTGTCATCTTTAACTCTTATATGACCTTAGTGCATTTTTTGTACTCACAGGACAAAAACGTTAGAAAATTAAAGGGTTAAAAAGGTTTAGTTGGCTGTAAAGATTTTCCAGTAAAACCTTGGCCGTTCACCTGCTCTTGAGGTGGTGAGCGAAATTCCCGGGTTTTGCGGGCAGTCTCAGCTGCTGACATGGTGAAGGCCATCATGAGGTTGTTGTAGCGCCGCCTCTGGTTTGACTGTATGTGACCAACAAACCGGTCTGAAAAGGCAGTGATGGCTTCCACCCTGTGTCGTAGTTCACAGTCACAGAAATACTGCAGCAGAGTGCACATCTGACCCACAGAAGAAACGTGAGAATCACCAAACATTTCATTAGAATAAAAACTATTTAAAATCCACTAAAATATTCAGCAGTACCTGCAGTTTCACAGATTCTGGTAGTTTCATCTGAAAAAGCCCTTGATCTAGATGTTCTTCTTTAGCTTCGATTTCTACATGTTTTGTTTCCTTTTCTGTTTCTTCGGCTCCTTTTTCACTATTTACAAAGTCTGTGTCCTCCCCATCTTCTTCCTGTATCACGCCTGACTCTGTCTCCTCTAATTGTTCCTCTTCTTCTGTTTCTTCATCCTCCTCATCAAAACCATAATCTTCACACTCCTCTTCCTCAGCAGTGTCCAGCTCTTCCTCTCTGACCACTGCTGCTTTTGCTGGTTCCTTTTCTTCTGCCACCTTCTCCTCAGTAGGCTCCTCCGACTTTGAAGTATGAAATACGGTGGGCTCAATCATTTTCAGGATGTGTGTCACATCTTCATCATCAAACACACCCATTATGAGGAGGGTGCTGATAAGTTTCAGGATGGGAACAAAGTGAAACTCAACACTGCCCCCCACAGGATCTCTCATGGCTTGACTTCCATCTTGTACAGCTTCAATAAGCATGCTTAGAGCCTTGGTTTTTAGCACCTGAAAACGGAACAATTTAAGTCATCTTTGTAGCCAAAGAGCGCCTTCAAAGGTGTAAAAAAAAAAAAGACCAAATCTCACCTGTAAGGGGATGACAGGACTCAGAGTGTAAATATCTGGATCTGTTCCCACAAATCCAACTGAAGAGAAATGGAGTTTTGGACGGAGACACGTGGTGAGGCCAACACCGGGTAAAGCATGAGACTTGTCGGTGTAAAGGTTGATGCTACGCGTTTCGTTTGTCATTGGAACTATGAACTCCTTGTTGGTTCCCAGACGATTTCGTTTGGCAGACTCCAGGTGCATGCTGATGAGCAGATCATAGAAACCACTCCTCATTGGTCCGGGAAGGTAGGTGCTTTCGATGGCGTAGAAGAGCTGGGATTCATCAACGTGGCTGCACAGAGCATGTGCTACACGGTTGTTTCCCAGAGCACATACTGAGCCGTACAGCTTCAGAGTGTGATAGTGGAACTTCAGCAGGTCCATTCGTTCAGACAGTTCCAGGATGTCAATACACCTAGATGACACAACAAACTCAGCTTTCCTGAGGAGATCCATGGAAGCATTTTGTTTACACAAAGGTGACAAACTTGTTCTCCTCTGGGATATGAAGGGCCATCATAGTGAGCGGCTCCATACACTGCACCATCCAGCCCAGCCGGTCACTGACACGCCCAGTCTCTGGAGCCAGGAAGTCGTTGGGCATTCGACTCCAGATGACTGGGGTTAACATCTGGACGTCCAGCCTCGGAGGGCACTGGGGAACAGGGTTCTTGCGTTCGCTACGGAACATGGCAGCCGATAAAGGCAAGATGTTCTGAAGAGACAAGAGAGAACAATCAATGCATTAAAAATAGACACATGGCCAAGCTAATGGAGGAAATGAAGAGTGGATTTTAAGGATGCATTTATGGTGGCTGACCTTGAGCTTGCCGAGTTCAAACTGGATCACGTTCTGATTGGAAGGCAGAACAAAGACTGCTGGGAAAAGCTTTGTGTTTGGCTCCACCTGAAAGAAGACGGTGCAGTAAGTCAACAGGACTTCATAAACAGTTTTGGTCACGGGTTAGGAACCCAACCGGGACCTTTCTGTGTAGTGTGTTCTGCCACATGATTGATAGGTTATGGCTGCGGACTCTAAATTGTTGCACTGCATGCATGCAAATAGTTTCCCATCACATTTGTCTCTGTGATGGACTTGTCACCATTCAGGGTATACCCTTCTCTTATGCCTAAATGACCACCGGAGATAAGCGCCAGCTCCGAGTGGGTAAAGAATCACTCGGATCTAACCTGATAAAATGTGTTTATCTCTTTTCCGTTTGCAGTGAAGGTCATGAGTCCTGTGTCCAAGTCAACAAGGCAGCCAATCACAAAGTCCTCCTGACTGACTCGGGTCTGCTGGGAGCTGCTGAACTCTCCGCCCCAAACCATGTAGCAGTTGCTGCGTTTGATACTGAAGGAGGCAAATAAACAATGAAACTGGCTGTTAAAACAAATTCTTCTCTTTAGAGTAAAAACATCCCCTGGAAGTAACATACCTGTCGTGAATGTTGCCCTTATCGTCACCAACAGTGACGGTTACGTTTCTTACTTTGCTGATATCAAAATGGGGATCGTACTGGTGGTAGTCTGGTGTGACCCAGCCCACCCACACTCCTCCGAGTTCCTGTCCTGCGAATATTCGTGCTGAGTAAAAGTACTGGTGAAGAAAGGGTGAAGATGGGAAATGCACGTTAGCAAGAGATCGTTTTGTGTATAAATAATCCTAAACTTAGAGCTATACGTATGTTGAGTAGACATAATAGACATAATAAACATACTGTAGTTGTGTTCTGAATTATATCCATGTCATCCCTGTCATCTGGTACAACATCTTCGACCAAGCGAGGCAAGGTGGGAACAATGGGGGGCGGAGTTATTAACGCAGCTTTCTTTGCCTTAAAAAGGAAACTGTAAATAACAGCAGTGAGAAATGTTTTTATTCCAGCCGTTATCTGTTAAAATGTGATTCTCTGTCCAGCGTTATTCTAGTTCAGAAGTCATACCCTTTCTTTTTGCTTTTCTCAGTGGAGGCATCCTTCTCGTTCTCTCCATTTTTGATGGCAGGAGTCTCTTTAGGTACAGAGGAATCCTTCTTCTCTTCCTCCTGCTCTTTGCGAGTAGCAGACTTCTTTAGTATTTCAAATTCAGAGTTGGGGTCCACTTCTAAGACCTGATCTTCAGGAATGGTCAGAGCCCTGGTCAGGAGCGTAGTTCCAGCAGGGACTTTGAAGGACTCATGAAACTCAATTGGCATGCTGAGTCTGAAGAACAGCAGATCTATGTTGGCGTTCTGAGACCCAAACGTCCTGTGGGTCACTTTGAGACAAGGAGGAGTGTCCACTGTTCCATCAACACGCGATACCTAGAGAATGAACAAAGTATTCCAGTCTGGAGCCCGGAAAAAAATATTTTAATTCAAGTACTGCATGGTACCTCGATATGAGGATGGTCAGTGGGCACAATGATGAACTGGGGAAGGCTTTTACTGAACCACATGGTTATGTCTCTTTTCATGTTGATAGCAAATGGTTCAAATCCTTCCTGCAGGCCGCAGATGGTAAAGTAACGAAGACTGCTGACGTTCTGACCCAGGTTGATTCTGCCGACCTGGGAAAGGCCCAGACTGCACACGGGTATGAAGCCTGGGAAAGTTTGAAACATGCATGAACATGGTTGTGCATCAGAGACTTAAATCTGACTCCAAACAGAACTCACCCTCTCCTATCTCAATATCCTTAAAAGCCATTTCTGAGCCTGAGTCGCTGATCAGCATTTCTCCATTCAGAGTAAACATGATGTTCATTTCTGTGAGGTCAATCATGCAGCCCACCACGTCCCCAGGCTGCCACTGACGGCCAAAAGGTTCTGTTCCCACATGCCAGCGTTGAGCCTGAAAGCACATCCATCTGGGACTTTAACATTATGGACGCTGTAGCATCCTTCACAAACTTGGTGATTCTCTCACCTTGAAGCCATTGAAGACATATGCCAACTCATCAGCACCAAGCTCAGTGTCTGCACGGACACTGGGCCTGGCCCATCCCACTCTCATCTCTCCTATGGTCACAGCCTCAAATTCAAAGTACCACTTCCCCTGTGTGACAGCATAGGACTTCTCAGCTCTGAACAATCTAATTTTATTTTCACGAGAGCTGCTCGGTCCATGCCCACCTGTATACAAAAGTTATAAACATTAATAAAAACTTTAAAATATGAGGCTGGGTCAGTGTTTACTGATATTATCTCATAGTATTAAAGGTTGTATTGAAGGTGCAATATGTAAGAATGAGGTCAAAATGGCATTCTGTGGTCAAATTTGGCTACTGCAGGGTGCTTTTTAAACTAAAAGTTACTATCTCACTGCCGTTAGTTTCAGGAGTGTTACCAGTTATGAATCAGATCCAGAAGATTCTAGATGACAAGCGAAGACAAGTCATACATATAGGCCTTTTCCATCACCCAAATGGGCATATAGAATGGGAAGGATCGGGTCGCTAATTTTCCTGTTCCAATTGTAAAACCGGTCCAGACAACCTACCCGGACCGCGCCAGTCACGGGTCTTTCTTGGCTCCCTTCTGTTGTAGGTCCAGAAATTTCTGGAGCGGTACGGTTAAGGTGGAGCAACAACACAGTCCACTGATAGGTTGACAGAAACACATTGCTATTTGCAGCAAGCAAACCAAACGGGAGTCCCGTTGAGTGTATTTTTGCTAGCTGTACGTGAATGTGAAAAAATGGCAGCAAGAAGCAACAAGTTTTGGTCACCTTCAGAGTTCCATACACTCCTCACCGTCATCGTGAGAGTCCACAGGAGGAGCTAGACGGATCAGTAGCTTTTTTCTCAGCAGATAGCAGCCGAAGGATCAGAGAGGAGGTCGGCTCAGTGTCGGGCCAAGATGAAGAAATTAAAGCCCGTTATAGTTAATAGTTAAGGGGAGAAACAGGCGGAGTGGGGTTTTGGTAAATGGTAAATAGCCTGTATTTGATATAGCGCCTTCTAGAGTCCTAGAACCCCCCAAGGTGCTTTACAACACAATCAGTCATTCACCCATTCACACACGCATTCACACGCTGGTGGGGATGAGCTACTATGTAGCCACAGCTGCCCTGGGGTGCACTGACAGAGGAGAGGCTGCCGAGCACTGGCGCCACTGGTCCCTCCGACCACCACCAGCAGGCAAGGTGGGTTAAGTGTCTTGCCCAAGGACACAACAACAGCGACAGACTGAGCGGGGCTCGAACATGCAACCTTCTGATTACGGGGAAGGCACTTAACTCCTGTGCCACCGTCGCCCCAGTTCTTTTTTTTTCAGATGGGAGAAATACACAGGGTTGCTACGACGCGCTGGATGCTAGTCGTAGCCGAGGCAGCAAGGCAGGCCTCTGGACTTAGCGACTGCACTCTGGAGTCACATGTGGAGGCTGTGGTAAACATTTTGGTTTTGTCTTTAGCTCTGTAGACCAGTTAATGCAGCACAAAAATACTCAATAGTTGCACAACTTATAAAATCATGCATGATTGTTCATTTAACACGTCTGCCGACGTGATGGCCCAAATCAAAAAGCTTGTCTGAAAATTTCAGACCCATACCAGAACACATCGGTCCAAAAATAACCAGACCTGACCGTTCCAGACCCGGCCATGGAAAAGAGCTATTTGATAAGTAGATAAGTACATTTTCTTATCTGGTGTTAGTACTCTTGGGTGTTTTACAGTAGGGAGCACTTACTACACTTATTACGGTAATATTTGTCTGGAAGACATATTGAGGAAGTGTGGTGTCAGCTTGCTTTTATAGTTCTGAACAACTCGGTAAAAAAAGTAAGACACCACAATTGACTCATTCTTCACTTCACACACATTTTACTGTAATATTGAGTTGTTGGTAATTGAAAAAGTAGCTTGAGATATTTTTAAAGCCGAATATTTATTTCTAATTAGCACGTTAGCAATTTTAGCTTAACGTCAGCCTCTAGCCTGCATCAGTCGATATTGAAGTAAAACAAAAAGAGGGGGCTTAAGAAATAACGTCCTGGTCTTTCTTGTTTCCTGTCTTTGATTTTTTAAAGATCTCTGGAGCTTTTTTGCCTGCTGGTGTCAAATTACAAATGCTGGCACTTCAGCGTTAGCACAGCGCAGACTCTGTAACCTCACGTGTTAACAGATTGTAAACAGTTATACGTCACTCTTTTGTATGTGTTTCAATTCAATTCAACTTTATTTATAGAGTGCCAAATCACGACAAGAGTCATCTCAAGGCACTTCACACAGTTGTTGGAAAAGAAGAGAAATGGACAGCTGGCTGAAAAGGAAATCTGCTTCGAAGTAACCTACCTACCAACATAACTGAGACATTTGACTGTTTTGTGATTATGTCATTGTAGAATCCTTACATATTGCTCCTTTAAATACACAAAAACCTACAAAATAGTTGTGCAAACGTACTGCTCTCTTGGTCAGGTGGTTCTATGTTGTAGCCATATCCAAGCAGAGTGCGAACTGCAGCACAAACAGTGTCTCTGTTGGTCTTTTTGGTCTTTTCATCCAGCAGATTGTAAGGAACTAGACGGGGATTGCGCTTGTTCATTATATCCTATACAAATGAATCATAACAGATACAAAAAATGCATTTACATAACCATAAAAATCAAATGAACCCAGTATTATGATCATTGTTAGCATCAATGCACTTATGAACTAACAGAAAGGTGATACCTGCACAATACTATACGTCCAGCCCTGGCGAACACGGTCTCTGGCCCACACATTGTGTCCATTTTCTGCCAGTCTCTCTACTAGTGTGTTTTGATTTGGAGTCAGTTTGACATGATTTAGATCCAGAGGTGCGGGTTTGTATCCGTTACTCTGCATGAAACTAACAAACAAAGCTGTCAGATAAAAAACAGTCTACGAAAAGTTTCCATTAGAAATAAAGCCCATAATATGCTGCAGCTCACGTTTTGGGGAGTTTTGTTCTTTTCAGATTTTCTTCTGCCTTTTCATCTCCCATTCCTACATGGCACCCAAGAGCCAGCAGAGTCCTTTAAAAAACACACTTCACATTAAAAATAAAAAGTGACAAGAGTGTAGCTCTGGAGGTCCAGCTTGACTTACTTCAGAGTCTCTCCTGACATCGCTAAATTGTAATTCTTCTCAGGCTCGGGCAAACTTTGGAAGTCTACTAGGCAGGGGTGCAGCTTCTTGTTGTCATCACGAAACTTAGAAAAGTAAAATAAACCATCAAGGTACTGAAATGCAATTCAATGACACAAGATTTCAATTGTTGCAAAAAACTCACTGGTCCGAATGTCCATCCTTGTTCTATCCGGGTAACGGCCCACAACTCGTGACTGTTTTCTGCAAGTTTCTCCCGGATGCGCTCCAAATGAGGAGGGAGAACAATCTAGAAGAATGAATCAAAAGTTCTTAAATGGGGACGAAAGCATGTGGAATCAAAATGGAAAAGTTTTGTTAAGGTTTAAACTGCAGCAGTTTTCAATTCAAAGGTCTGAAACTAAAATGGCTAAACTAAAATTTACAGTGGAGGTGTTGAATTCACTCCAAGTGTTCCTGAGGTTAATGACCTCCTCAGAGCAGGTGGATGTTACCTGTATAGTGTCCACAGGGCATGGAGTAAATGCCGTATGTGAAAGGGACTGGGTTGGACCCAGTAGGTTGCGGATGCCATCAAAATCATGTTTGTACTCCTTGATGGGCTCAATCCGCAACCGATCCCTGGGCAGCACTGCCTCATAGCACGGAGCATAGCCTGGAGGAGGGAGAAACTTAAAATCGCCATGACGACCTCCAAGAAGAAACCGCAGCCTTACAATTCAAACAGAAACACAAGACATTTGTTATTGTTTTCAAGTATTCAGTCATGATTTGTTTAATAAAGAAAATTGCTACAAATACTGAATTGTGTTGAGGGCCTACTTGATGCCTGCAGAGAAGCTGACAACTGGAAAGAACAAACCATCCACATTGAAGTTCTCAAACATTCCCTGAACAGGATGTCCATTAATACGGAAGGAAATGCTGGGTACACTTAGGTCCAAACAGCAGCTGACCACATCTTCTGCTTCCAGGACGTGTTGACTGGGAGATGCAACATGACGTGGAACACGTCCTACCGATGTTTAAAACAAAAAGTCCCTTTGGTATAAATAAATTCCCAACTTATGTAGAAAGACACCAATAAAGCTGCTATACCTGACCAGAGGTAGATCCCATCAAAGCCATAGGAGTAGAGGTCATCTCCTACCCCGTTACCCCCCCAGCCCTCCCCACCACCGGGGTAAGGACTGTAGCCCTCCGTCAGAGCCCAACCCACACGCAGGTGATACGGCTGAGCAGTCAGGAATGGCTCCACCTGGTCCACCATCACCTCAAAATACCACTTCTTATACTGCGTAGATCCTTCGCACGTTCCAAGGAAAATGTTGGGTCTCATGCTACAAAAGGGTTAAAAGAAAAAAAACCTCAAATGATAATAATAACTGTTTATTCACTCTGGAGATTATTTTATCCAAAGTGACTCATGACCTGTAATTAAGTTTTTTTTGTTTTTTTTTTTTGTTTGTTTTTTTTGCTTCTGGGAGGAAACACACACATACAAACTCCTTGCTGAAGTGCCTCAGCTAGGATTGGAACTTGTGATCTTCTTGCTATGAGGCAACAGTGCTATAGCCTAGCAAGCCATCCTATACAGTACATAGGGTAGACCAATATAGGCCGGCTGATAAATCAGACCAATGTGTGAAATTTTTTATATATCAGCGTCAGCCAATATATCTCCTTAGAAAAGCTGATTTAAAGTCAGGCACATCCCCAGGCAGCCCAGTGCTGCTGCAGAATTGAATTTAAAGGTATATTTACATTCCCAAAACAACATCTGCAAAATAAAGGCTCCAAAATTATTATCAACTACAATTTCTTTTGATATACCAGTTTTGAATATGTATTACTTGGTCAATTAACTGACTTGTTTTATTAATTTTAGTGTCTGATTTTAACACTAAGCGGTGCAGAAAATTAAGATTTAAAGTTGGTTAAATTCAGTGTTCAAAAACTGATTCCGCTTCAGAACTTTTGTGCATCAACTGATATTATTAGTGACATTTTAGCATGAAAATGAGTTGGAAAGTATCTAGATATCGGCCATGAAAACTGGCTCATAGTGTCGGCAGCAAAAATCTGCCATTTGCCATCGACTGACCTCTACGTTTTGGCATCGGTAACTGCAATGGGAAAACCAATATTGGTCAACCTCTAGTATCCAGAATGGCCACAGCCCACAGACAAGAGCTCAGGTGTGGGGAGGAATCTACGGATTATCTGTACACAAATTCACACTGGTAGGACCAATCAGAGCTCTACGAACAACATGACGTATTCATCACTATGAAACTTGGGGCAGCAGTAGCTCAGCGGGTTGCCTCATGATCAAAGGATGAGGATGGGTCATGGGTTCGATTCCAGCTCCCGCCAGGGGTATCCTGCTGTTGTGTCCTTGGGCAAGACACTTCACCCAACTTGCCTGTGTTAGTGGTGGTCAGAGGGGCCGACGGTGCCAAATGGCAGCCTCGCCTCTGTCAGACCTCCCCAGGGCGGCTGTGGCTATAGCAGCTTACCATCACTCGCAGTGTGTGAATGTGAGAGTGTGTGAAAGCGTCTTTGGGGGTCTTGAAAAGCGCTATATAAGTTCAATGCATTATTATTATTATTATTATTATCATTATTATTATTATTATTATTATTATTAAACTCAGTCAATGGGGCAGTCTGCTATACACCATCAAAAAAGAATAAGAAGCTATTTATTTTTCTAAATGAAGGAGTACTTCTATATGCTCATGTCTCAATAGCCGTTTTTACAAAACAGTGCCGTCTATTTGCCGCAACGCCGTGGCGACATCAGGAAGCCTTAGGTTGTTTATAAGTGGTCAGACCATGGTGGTAGTGTGGCGCAGTTGTGTTCGTTTTGTAAAAGATTACCCAGTGGCGATATAAAGGGGGTATGGGGTGGTCTCTGTGCTGCTGCAGACTTATGTTTCAGTTGGAAATAAGTTGCTTTTTATTGCAATCAAAGGCGCACTCTTTATTTTGAAAAGCCACTGGCTCCTTCCTGTCTAGCTGCAATGTTTTGGGTGTGCTTCTCATGAGAGACAGCCCGAAGTCGAGGAGAAAAGTTTGTGTCCCGCCTTATTGACAGTTTCCCATTTTGAATTTATTCCTTGTCTCCCGTTTCGAGTTTAATATTTGTACAAACTGTGGGTAAAGCAGGAGGCGGGACTTAAATGCAGGTTCGGGTTCAGAGAGCGTGGAGCACACTCAAACCAGCAACACAAAATGAAAGGGCAGGGTGAGCACAGATGATCAAAAACTGTATAAAAAATATGGAGAACAGATAGGTGAGCGGAGAAAATATCTTATTTTGAAATATCGGAGGTGAAGTAACATTTGAGGAGCGAATAAGAAGAAGGAGGCGTTCCCGTTTACAAACCAAAATGCCTCTTTTAGTGGCTGGCCGGATGATATTGTGGGGAACAGGCTTCAACGCAAACGGCTGTTTTCCGCTGGGTCCTAGTGCTCAACCAGTGTCTATGTAATATAGCGACGGTGGCACAGGAGTTAAGTGCTCGCCTCGCAATCGGAAGGTCGCAGGTTCGAGACCCGCTCAGTCTGTCGCTGTCGTTGTGTCCTTGGGCAAGACACTTAACCCACACTGCCTGCTGGTGGTGGTCGGAGGGACCGGTGGCGCCAGTGCTCGGCAGCCTCGCCTCTGTCAGTGTGCCCCAGGGCAACTGTGGCTACATTGTAGCTCATCCCCACCAGTGTGTGAATGTGTGTGTGAATGGGTGAATGACTGATTGTGTTGTAAAGCGCCTTGGGGGGGTTCCAGGACTCTAGAAGGCCCTATATCAAATACAGGCCATTTACAGGCCATTTAATATTGTTTTTGGATGGTAAAAAGTACAGGGGACAAAAATTGACTGTGGAAAAAGTGGGGGTGACATGCCCCCCCCCCCCCCCCCTCCAAATTTAAATAATTAAATTACAAACCATCTCACCCACCTGGTTACATAGTTAATGATGTTGGTTTGGAGCAGGAGGTCCCGACCTGGAAGTAGGTTCTCTGTGATGAGGTTCTGGTTGGACCTTACAGCCACCCCGTTGCACACACAAAGAGAACACAACACGTCTAGAACCTGAAAAGGGAAAAGTTTGGTAAATCATTAAAATCAACTCTTCATTCTAATTGTTCTGTGGATGGCAGATTCATTTTTCAGGATTTGATGCGTTTGTCACCTTGTGGTTGCGCCCATGTTTATCCAGAAGGGAAATGATTGACTTGATGTGATTCTCCTGGATGATGTTCAACACCTCTGGACTCTCAATCAGAACACAATACAACACTTCCAGGATTCCTAATGCACAAATAACAGCGTACAGTAGCTGAAGATGTGAGCTTTACACAAAACAATAGTTAGGTGAAGTGATACAGACTATAACCCACATGGGAACATTCTTCATCAATATCTCCTTTTATGGGAAGAAACCCAAAAAGAGTCTAACCTACAGCCTGTCCTACCTGATGATGCTTCCAGCCGATCCAGTTTACTGACCAGCCAGTCCAGGTTGTCACAGAACAGAGCACAGTTAGCACGGTTTCCTCTGATCAAAGAGGCTTCACAGAAAGGGGGGAACACCCAAAAATGACTAATGCAGCATATTTAACCACAAGAACGTGTTCAAAGCAGATCAAGGACCACAAACCTAACAGCTCATACAGCAGATTGACTATCTCCTTCCATGACTCTGCAGCTTCTTCGCCGGCGTATTCTGAGAAGTGCGCGGCAGTGTTGTACACGTTGAGACGATCAATGCAGTCCAGAACAAGAGTAATCATTCCCTGTTAAAAACAGAAGAAACCTTTAGAGAACCAACACGCACTGATAGGAGAAGCTCAGCTAAACAAAACAGACCTCCTCCTGAAAAAGGTTCTGTCTGTTTTTAAGGGAGCGAAGCTTAAACTGCTTGTCCTCGTGTTCCAGCTCCTCCTCAGGCGGTCGGAAGTAGAAAATGAGATCTTGTAGCGAGAGCACCACTGTGTCCATGGGCAGAGAAGGAGGACTGGCAGATTTGTTTTTCCCACTCAGCGCATCTAGACCTCTGAAGAAAACGACATAAATAAAAATGAATTGTCTCTATAAAACAGAACTAAATGAAGGGTATATGACTGAAGACAGTCTATACTTGATGAACTGGTTGAAGAGGCCTGTTGTGCTGTAAATCATTCTGGCAGCTTGAGACTCTTCTGTCTGAGATCTAGCAACCGTGAGGGCATCGTCCATGTGACCTTCTTTGTGGAGTATAGCCTACAAACCAACGAGGCACTGTTAAAACCCCGCAGCAGATGCCGGTTCAGCTGTTGTTTAATCCTAACATATAAATCCACAACACCTTTCTCTTCAGAGGACCTAGTCGTGCAGACTTGGCATCAACAGCAGCATAAGTGAGCCAGAGCCCAGAGGAGACGTGCTGTACGAAGCACATGGACTCTCCATACTTAATCTCTGGTGTGCCCATGCCCTCCACATCTCTCTTCTGAGTCAATTCAATTTTTTCCTGTAGTTTGAACATAAAGTGTGCTTTTGGTTAGTGCAGTTGGAAGAATCTTTACTTGAGCCTGATTCAGGTGCCGTTTAAAACGATTACCTTAGAAATCCTGAAGCCGAAGGCTGACATCTTGGAATTGGCTTTCTCTGGGTCCACCAACAGAAGTCCTTTCTCCTCATCAAGGAACAGGTATCTTCCTGTTGTAATGTGGCGTATCCGGAAGGACTGACCCCATTTAATGTGACCTCCGCTCCACCTACAAATAAAAAAACACAATGAGCTGCAGAAAACCTCAGTCATTAAAAATAAGGAAAGAACTGAGAGACTCACGCGATCCGTAGAGGCTCAAGTCTCCATAAAGAACGAGCATGGCTGCAAACGGCACCACCTTCATAATGAGCAACCCTGACAAATACAGAATTTTAATATTAAAATATTTGTCTATAAGCACTAAATATTAATTGAAGTGACACTGTTGGTTAATTATTCATCATGAAGTATATGAAGATGCTGGGGCATCCTGCTGAAAGGTCTGTTAGTGTGATTTAAGGTCAACTTTACTCTTTTTTTTTTAATTTGCAGCAGTCTTTAATGGGAATGAACGCCTTGTAAGTTGTTCTTGTGGGGAGAAAGCTCTGTTGCACCTATTTCAGGAACTAGAAGTCAGCCAGAATAGAGTTGAGCTTCAGACGTCAGGATTTGGATTCTTATTTCCTGATATTTGGAGAACTCGCCTCTGATTGGCTGACAACACTGACTCCTTTGCTTTGCAATGTTTTATCTCCACAAATAACACAAGCCTGAAGGAGTTGCTAATGCTAACAATTAGCTTCTGCTAATCGAGACGTTTTCTGCTGTTTCCTGGACACTAAACCAAAAACAGCGAGTTAAGATGGGTGAGGCCATGAATGTGAAGTGACAGTGTGTTACTGATCTGTCAGGATTTTTCTAATCCGAGCATTTCACCATCAATTTTCTATCAGAAGCTAATGCGGGAGGTAGATGTGGGAGACCTTTTTCAGGGTCAGCCTGCATAACAAACTTCGAGTGACCGATTATAATCCGAAATAATCATTTAAAAAATGAGTTTTCAGTGAAATTGACCTTTGAGAGAAGCAAATGTGCCAAAAGAAAATGAAGAGACTATAAAGAGAGAAAATAGTGCTTTTGCACACTTTTAACAGAAAAATGAGTAAAACGACAATAAACAGCAGTCACCTGCGCTGGTCGTCCCCTTGGTCAGCACCTGGAATGGCCAAACACTCATCCATGTGACCATGAAAGAGTCTGAGCACATACCCTCCAGTCAGGAAACCTATAGGGAAACATTACTCTTACTCAGACAGATAAGAAGTGTTTGTGAAGATTTGTTTTTCTGGAGCAACAAAGTGGCAAACCTTCAGCCAGCTCACAGCCAGACATCACAGGAGTCATGGTCCACAGTGTCTGCATGAAGGAGGCATCTACCATCAAGTCACCACTAGCGTAGGAGAGATGCTGATTGGACAAAATATGTTTAGGATTAACTGATGACAAAGACTTGTTTTAAAGTGAGTTTCAACAGTCCTGGTTACCAGGTATCGCTCTGAAGAAGCACTGACGAGGATGAGGTCATCTCCCACCCTGACCTTCTCACCCTCAGACCTCTGTTTGGATGCTGGATGAATGGTCCACCAGCAGGCCTCGCCTGTGACGAAGAAACATGTTAAGAATGAAGCTGTGTGAGCTGCTGTGTGTGCAATAACATGTCTACCCACCTGTGGAGTCTTCCTGCAAGCCCACGTCAAAGGCCAGTTTGTCTGTCAGTGAGCGAGACGTGGTCAGGCAGCTCAGGTACTGCAGCATAAAGAGTAGAATGAGAACAAAAGCAGTAGATTGTGGTGCAAGTGTGTACAAGAAAACACTTGAATGCTTATTAATGCACTCACCATGTTGGAGTGAGTGTGTTTCAGGAGGATGGCATGCCCGTAGAGCAGAGTTCGACTCCCCCCACCTTGTGAAGACTAAAGAAATTCAGATTTGAGTAAATAATTGAATTAAAGGCCTGGTGTGAAGGAATGTGCATGGCCCACCTTCCATTACAGACAAACAAACAAAGATCTTGTCTTGGTAAGATCTAATGACATGTAACGCATGATTTCATGTGATGCTGCTAGATCCACTGGTGAGCGGTCTGTGACTCGCAGCTACCACTAACCCAAACATCTGTGAGACTGCGTTAAATCCAAAGATTATTCCGTTTTAGTTGAACATCACATGAAGACTTGAAAGAAGTTTTAGAAGGCACACATGCATCATCTCCTCATCACCGTTTACCATTTGGTGATCATTTATCCCTATAAAAAAGGATGACCATCTAATTCTACGCACAAAACAGTTTCCTAAACAAAGCATAAGGTTTGCTGTAAAACGACAATGCCAAGTGAAGTGTAAGACCCAGGAAATAACAGAAGACTCTAAAAGCACAAAACACAGGTTGTGTAAAGTGTTAAAAAAATGATTTCATGTCAAGATGTGTGTTAATTTAACACTCGCTGCCTTTTATTGTTGCAGTTATTCTTTGGGTAAAAACAAACTAGTTGAGATTTTTTTTGTTTGTTTTATGATGACTTTGAAATGAGGTCGCAGTTTTGTTTCCCAAAGATGATGCACACCAATCAGTTTGAGAGAAGCATGACAGAACTAAAGATATTCAGAATAGCCATCGTGCCGTGAGAACACATCAAAATAAAGGTGTGACACTTACCCATTTGTCTAAATCAACGGCCTTCAGCGTGCAGGTTTAGGATTTTTTACATAAAAAACAGAAAAAAAGACTTGTTCAAATGGTGCTTGTTTGTCATACGAAGACCTGATACATAAGGAGAGCTTTTTCTATTTAAGTGAGTCTCACCTCATCCACAGAAGAGTTGGACAGCATCTCCTGTAAGGCTCGCACCGACAGGGACTGCTCCAGAATGAAGCAGCAGATAGCCAGGTCTGGAGGAACATTCTGAAATGAAGAGCAACCAGTAAAACCCAGAGGACACCAGCAGTAAGTAAGAGCAAGAAAGGAGTGAAACATCCAAGTCCTTTTACTACCTGAGCGTTCGAGGTGGTCTCCAGGAAACACAGACGATTCCCAAATCCCTCACATGACAAACACAGTTTGATCTGCTCTTTCAGAATAGATGCTGTGCACTGCAGGACAACTTGATCATCCTACAAAAAAAAAAAAAAAATTTTTTTTAAAGCTGACTAGAATGAGACTTTTTGCCTGACAGTATAAATAGATCCGACAAAGGATTGACAGTCAGTGACCGTTCCCGACCAGAAACAAAAACCTGATAGTTGCGCTGAGATCACTCTCAGGCAAAAGAACTATTTAATGCACATAGTCACTAAGAAGGAGCCCTTATGTGTGTAAAAAATATATTTCTAATTATGGTTCACAAATGTAATGATGGTCTGATATTTTACACCACTCCAGTGTCTTGATGCTGTTTAAATTAAAAAAAACTACATTCTACAAATCCTGTTTTTTTTTTTTTGTTTGTTTGTTTTTTTAGATTTCCCTGCTAGTCGGATGAAGATAACTCCTAAAAGCTGAGGAACTGGGTGCCGCCTCTAACAGTACTTCGGTAAGCTGATACGCCAGTTCTGTTCTGGGGAGTGCTCTGGAGCTGATTGAACGAGCATGATGGACAACCTTGATCCTCCTCTTCATGGCAGTTTTCCAACAACAGAGCGGCTTCAGTCAGAGGCTTCTTCAGATCTGCTGCAACACAGAAGATCCTTCCTCCACACACCATCTATAGACCTTTGTTCACACACTGTAAAGCCTGCCGAGTAAGTTCAACTCAAATTAAGTGAGGAAACTGATTGTGTTACGTCATTTAAAGTCTCTTTCCGGAGTATTTCTCTTATCCGATGGCACCATCTAGTGGCTTACAAGCATATCACACAAATAGTTTCTCCTTTTGTTTTTTTAAGATGGCGACTTCACGTTTCTGGTTTATAAATATCCTTCTGTAGCCGACAAACAGAGCTACAACATGTCGTTTCACCAGTATTATTCTCATGTCATGTTGTGTTTTCATATAATTATATTTTAGACTTACTTGTCCGTGAAAAGTTCATCAACAACGCTATTGGTTAGTTCTGGTCAGCGCTCAGTTTCCTATTGCATGGAGCTATGTGGGGCGGGGGTGCTTAGCAAAGTAAAATAATAACAAAGATGTATTGATTACATTATATCACAGTACATGATAAGACAATCACTTTTACGAATTTCTGAAAAATCATACATAATTTCTGTAAAAGGAAAACTCCGGAAAGATACTGTAAGTTCATTAACGTAAACCGTTAACATTTAGAAAATTAATGTGAGTTAACTCTAATTAAATCTAATAAGCTAATTAAACTAAATTAAACTAATGTAACAATGAGACACTGTTACATGTATATATAATTAGGTTTATTGTTGAAGTAAATAAAAACATTGATAAAAATAGGTACTCAGTACGTAACTAGGTTTTTGATTTCCCTTTAGAGATTGTACTGTTTTTCCTCTTTGAATGGGTTCTCCCAATTTAGGTCACCTGTGTAAATTGTCTGTCTCCCCATAGTTCTGGGTTGGTATCACTGTTGGAGAATAAAATGAAAAGAAGCTTCCACTGATGTCCATCTTTCCTTGATTTATGCTGCTGTTTGGGTCAATACCTTAATTACCGAACGTCATCCTGACAAGCATGTGACAACTAATTTAATTTAACTAATTTAATGTAATTTAACTAATTTAATTTAATTTAACTAATTTAATTCAACTAATTTAATTTAACTAATTTACTTTAATTTAACTAATTTAATTTAACTAATTTAATTCAACTAATTTAATTTAACTAATTTAATTTAACCAATTTAACTAATTAAATGTTATAAAGTTATTATAACATGTGTGAATACATTTCATGCGTTAGTTCTACTAAGTTGACATAACAGTTACAACAGTTACAGATGACAGGTGATCCCACGTTGTCTCAGTTTGTCACAGCGGCGATTCGAGCATCCGTAGGCTGCACAAAATCAGGCATATTGACCCTCAAGCTTCACAATTAATAAAGGTGTATTTCTGCAAACACAACTCCAGAAATGTCCTGTTCTAATATATCCCAGTATGAGTTTTGTGTAACAAACCAAGACGCTTAAAGGGACATTATGGAAGTTTGACAGCCAAAACATGTATAGAAATGATACATTTCTTCTTCATACATTCTCCTGCAATGCCCTGGTCCTGTAGAATGAGCCCTGGCATTTTTACTGTGATTGCCTGTTTTTCTGTAAAATCACAGAAAAAGAGAGATGCTCGGGTCGAGCAGGCTGCTTCATGCGCGTTCACGCTCAGGCATAGCCCGTAGCATTTGCTATCCGTAGCTTTAGCAGCAGAGAGTGAGGTAGTGCCAACTCAGCGACTTTGTCGCTGTTCCTAACGCCTAGTGACGAACCTAGCTACATTTCTGTGGACCCTTAGCTACTTTCTTCTAGATATTTCCTGCAAATTAGCAACAAAATAGCCATTTTCGCTCCGAACTGTTCTTTGAACGTTGTTTCAGCTATCATCAAGGATATAAAAGTTACAGATACAAAAGACACCACTGGTGCTTTAGCTCATCTAGAAAGACAACGGACACCTGGGTGGAAGATCCAGGTTCGAATTTAGATGTGAACAAAATTTATTTAGAGTTTATTTTTACATTAATGGTATATTTTTTACAGTAAGATGCCCAAATTTTTATTTGAGACTCGCCGAACGGCATAGAATTCACAGATAAAAAAGATGTGGGTTCAACTTTCATTTTGGAACAATTTTTCAAGCAAGGGAAGGGAATGATCTGAGCATGCAGGAGGACTGACCCATCTTAAACCTTTGTCGGCTGTGCTGAAGAGAAAGGTACAGAACCAAATTATTTAATTAATTAGCTGCATGTTCTCCTGTCCTCTGTCCTCCGGGACACACACACACACACACACACACACACACACACCAGCCCACAAACACACATCCACACAAACAACATATATACCAAGTAGTGTTTCTATGGTTACATTGTGATTTCTTACTAAATATTCTATTTGGTGAAAGATAAACTTTATTGTATTTATCCTAGTGAATCTATAATTAACCTCCACATGTGTTACTGGTGCATGTCACAGGCCTAAGACCCCCCACTAAGCCGTCTATTTCAGGAGGCTGCACCTGCTGTTCACACGCCCGTTTCTAGAAAAGCAGCAGATATTTAGAGTTTGACTGTCGAGAGGAAAGACAATTCTCTGCAACTCAATAGTGTCATAACCATAGTTGGTATTCTGACTCAACTATAAGGAAACCTTATCCTCCTCAGTGCCTTTCATATAAAGGGAAGGCATGTGCCAGCATCATGTATGGCAATACAAACAATTCAATAATGTGGAGTTTATTCATTTGAGCTCTTGAAGTAAATGTTTAAGAAGAAAGTCTGTCCTCCGGTACGTGGCTAACTCCACTGGTGTTCTCAGATGTTTTACACGCTCTTTATGAGTAGAAACCCACTCTGATTTTGTTCTGATTTAGGTTTGCTCTCGTAAAAAATCTTGTTCTCTTTGCTTTTGTTTACATTTGTTGTCTGGTGAAAATTAAGTGTAATTTTGTAAGACTATGATTTTTAGAAGACAAAAGCTTGAAACAGATAACTCGTTGGTGTGATGACTGAACATTTCTGTCCTACACATGACTAAAATAAAACTAATTAACTAAGACATCCAAGTTTTAGATGCAACAAGGAACTAAACTCAACTTGAAAAACAAACATTGTCCAGCTACATAGCCTAGACTTTTAACTGAAATAAAAAACACATCAACAGAACAGACAGAAATTAAGCAGCTTATTGTAACGCTGCAGATCAAACGAGCTGTTGTAGCGGCGGAGAATCTCACATGAAACTGAAGTATCATACTGTTGATAATCTGGTGAGATTATTGTTACACTTTCCCAGAGACTGTTGTAAAACCCTCGTTTGTGACAACAGGATGCAATGTTCTGTGTCTGAAGTGTATTAACGATAAAACGATTATTGCTCTGAGGTCCAGACTGAATCATCCAAAACTGCATTATAATAAATCTCACGGGCGTCAATCATTGAGTTTAATTATTAAAAACAAAGATACTCATGACACAATCCTGAACAGTAATATGGTTTTTGATTAAAAGTATATAAAAAATATGAGTCCGAAAGGGTTCAAATGAAGGCAGCTGGACTTCTTTGGTTTCTTGAAGATGTTTTGCTTCTCATCTGAAGAGATTTGTCAATTCTGACTTGAACATGGGAGAGTGAAGCTTATAAACTGTAGCTGTCTTCACGGATATGTATTCTTCATTCATAGGTAGTTTCAGCTCGTTAACGATAGACAGCGACAGTTTATAAACTAGAGAAAGAGAGAGAAACAGCAGGATTTGTGGTCTCACTAATAATTATTCATGATACTCCAATAACTTGCCTCTGACTGGCTAGCAAAAACACGACTCTTCCACTGCCTCGATTTGCTTTACAACGCTGATGTTTTATCTACATAAATACCACAAGCCTGAAGGAGTTCTGCTGTGTGGTGCAGTCGCTAACGCTAACGGTTAGCTTCTACTAGACTAGATGCTCTGCTGTCTCCTGGGCCCTCATTTATCAACCGTACTCACACACAGATCTGCGTGTGTGTCGGAACTAATTTCTGCATTGTGTGATATGATATTCATCATTTTGTACTTGTGCATGAAAATGTTCCTACATCAACACATTCTCACACCCAAAGCGTCAAAATATGACGCGTGTGACCAAGCATCAGTATATGACGATTCGGGGTGCCCCAGCGCGTTGGGAGACGACGATCAGGGACACACTGATGACGCACCGTCCCAGAGCGTCGATATCTGACGCCGGTGGTGAGACTGACATTAGAACGACTTGTGAACTACTTAACCTTCCCCTCACCCCAATCCCAACCTTAAGGTCACAGTTACTGACGTTAAGGTTAGGACTGGGGTGAGGGGAAGGTTAAATAGTCGAATAATGTCCGTGTGACCCGCGGGCGTCAAACGCTGACGCTAGCAGAGCCATGTGTCCCTGCGTGTCCCTGATTGTCGTCTCCTGAAGCGCTGGGGCGTCCCGAATCGTCATATATTGACGCTTGGTCACACGCGTCATACCATACCATCTTGTGCTATTGGAGGGTTTAGCAGAGTGGGCACTCTGGACTAAACGTGTTCTCCGTCAGCACACCGGTCCGATAGCTGAAGGAGATTCTTCTGGAGCCTTACCCTAACCCTTTATGGAGCCACAGACAAACCACAAGAATCAGATTCCAGTTCCTACTATTTCACAACTACGAGAACCTTCCAGAACCTGCTCTGCTCCCCGATCATACGCGTTACTCTACATTTTATCAAATTCAATCTTATGTAGACCATTTTTATTTATTCCCAACAAAGACCTCTCCTCTGTCCAGACCGTGTTCACCAGCTCTGCAACGTGTTGTCTTGCACTTCGGTAGCCAGTGCCTCAATCTCGCTGTCAGTTTATTTATTTATTTTTTCGGGAGCAACGCAAGGACTCTCCTCACGTGCTAAGGACGTAGTGTGACAAAATATGCTTAATTGAGGGCGCTTTTGTAAATGACTGAACAGACACGAGCACCTGAGTACAAACAGGTGGGATTTGTCTACAGTTGATTGCAGAGGATGGTGTGTACGAGAGGCCACCCGCCGCATGTTTCATCAATCAACATTTTGACCATTCGTACAAACAATCTAAATTCATTCATAAGAAGGAAAATAGGAATATTTCTAAGAATATTTGCTGAATGAGGCTTCTGGACGCTGAAACAGCAACAGCTTTCCTCGTTGCGAGCCAGGATGAGTGAGTCCATGAGTGCCGACTGGCCTTTTTACTCAGAGCGTTTCCCGGCGGCTGCAGGAAATAGGGAGCAGATTAGGGGTAGAAGACTATTTTCACGTCTAGCCTGCTTGTTAAACTCAGAGTGACTGATCACATTTTGAAAATAACTAATAAAAGATGGTTTCTCAGTGAACCTGCTCCATAAAAACGGCCTTAATGTACAAAATGAACAGCATATTATGTAAATAAGTGCGTTGTAATGACTAATTAACAGAAACTGATTACTGAGAATAAAAGCAAACATTTTCTTTATTCGCAAGTAGAGTCATTATCTGTATTCCTGTAATGTGAAGCCAGAACTGCTCTCCCCTCCTACTGGTTTTTAGACAGTAGCCTGGCTCTGCCACAGTGCCGTGTTCAGACTGAGAGGTATGTCCATCTTTTATTTACAGCAACAGCATCAGACTCAGTGACAGCTGTGTCTTCATAACAACTGTGGGTGAGAAAAAACCAACCGAGTTAACTTGCCTTATCCTTCCAATGGCAAGACTAAGGTAATCAAACGTAAGTGAAAAGGTTTCATATAAACATCTGAGACGTGGCTGCAGTGGATCAGGAGGCAGCCATAAATCACAAAGAAAGGTTTCCAGGGAGACTGAAGTAAGCAGGTGCTGAAACGTGCACAGCTTTGAACTTGTTAATCCTCACACAGTAAATTTAGACCCCAGCTGAGTTGAAGCCGAACAGCAGCCAACCGACAGAAACTCAATGACACATTGCGGACATATTCCATACTGAGCTGTGTTTCAAGTCAAGACAGTGTTAGACTAAAAACACACTCAGACTACATTAAGGACTTGTCTTTATGAGAAAAGTTGTTGTTGCATCTCAGGAGCTTTGGTTGACATGACGTTTTGCTCTGGCTACCGTATAAAGGCTAAAGTTACCCAAGTTAAAGGAAGCTTCAGCAGCACAATGTAGAACATGTGCCTAGCATCGACGTCACGCTTCCAAATAAAGAATGTCACAGTATGGTCGTCCGTTTACAAAACCTCAGTGTCCTTCAACTGGCTAGGACGCCGCTCCAAACAGGAAATATGATGCCTTAGAGAGCCGCAGCAAAAATAAAATGCTTCTATGTTTCAGTGAGACAAAGACTCTCAATAAGGATTTAAAACTTCCTTCAGGAAAAGATTCATGAAAAGGAACTAAAGAGAGAAAATACTATAAAACGTAAAAAAAACATAAACTGTTATTGCTCTATTAAATATAGAACTAACTGACAACTATTTCTACATTAAGCTGCATAGCTATTGTGTGCTCTGTGTTCATATCCTTGGGTACATATCACGTCTGTAAATGTGTACATAGAATTATGCCCTGTCCTATGTTCTAAGCAACTACAATAAAGTCTATTCTATTCTATTCTATTCTATAAAATATTCATAAAGTAACCCAAATCAGAAAGCTGTTCCTTTGAGGAGAAAACTTTGCTGCATTGAAAGTCAAAGATGTATTGTCTGGAAAAATGCAGTTTCTTGATTTTGTTTTCTAAATGAAAATTTAAAAAAGAGTTGTTTTTTTCACACCGTGGGCAGATTTTCCTAAAACATTTCAACACAAATCATATCAGCATCGATAAAGACTTCAGTCAGCTCCAGTTATCCAGACCCTCATTCAGCCCACCCTTTAGTAGTTCTGCATTCTAAGGATGGATGTTTAAGAAAACAATGAACTGCTTTCACACACTTCATTAAACATGTACTTTATTTATAAAAGCTGCTGATAACATTGTGTCGACCTCAGCTATGTTTACCTTATAACATGAACCCAAAAACAAAATCGACCAAATAATTTCAGTCATTTTTAAGATGATCCTGAGTTTGAACCCAAGGTGGCAAGGTTAGTGTCAAACCTGAATGTGCATTGCTTTATTCTGAATGTCCGTATGCTAACTGTCACCTGGGGCTGGGGGCGTTCTTCTCTGTGACCAAACAATCATTTATCACATGCATGATGGGATATAAATAGAGAACAATGCTGAGAAAAAAGCCACCTGTCTTTGTCGATCTGTGCTTAGCCTACATGACCCAACCGTCTTAATGCTCGACTTTTTCCTGACCATCGTCGGTTAAATTTTTAGCGTAACATCACTTACTGTACGCAGGAACTGGATCTCCTCCTCTCCATCAGCTCCTTCTGCCATCCTCCCAAGGGGTTCAAATCAAGCCCTCTTCAGAACGTGAAACCGTTTTGACCACAGTTCTGAGACTCCAAGCGCCTGTTAGCTCGCCACATGAGGCGAGTTTCTGCAGGACCAAGTGTGACCCCTGCCTCTCCTTAACTGGTTATGAGCTGGTCATTATTCACAGCTGCTCAAAACAGCATCTTAAAGAGGAGGAGCAGGCTGACAAAACTCAACCCTCACAGGGAAGTTTCATTTTAGAGTCACGCATGATTAGTTTTTACTACTGCAATGTTATACAATACTTTACAATGGTAAGAAATTAAGTAATGAAAATGGAGACTTCTTTTAAAGCCATATTTTTGAACAAAATTAGATAAAAACAACAGATTTCATATTAGGATCACAGTGTTTTCACTGACTGAATCATCTCCCTATAATTTTAAGTGTACCTGTGATGTTAGTTTTATATTATCTGTAATAATTTACGTGAACACTCTCGACCCATTGAAAGTTGTTGTTTACATCCTTGCAACTGCACACATCCACACAAGCTGGAGGGCAAGAACCCCGTCTCCTGCCATTACCCTGAGCTGTGTCTCTGCGATTTAAGCTAACAAAATAAAACCTAGAGATTTAGACCTTACTACTTTAGATCGTCTAACACATCCTTGTGCAGATAAACATCTCAAGGCTAACGGTGTTTAGCACAAAGCTTCCAGATCCATTTGAAATAGCCATCGAGCAGTGGGAAGGAACAACAGTCTTCAGAACCGGTGTTTGGCCCGAGCAGCATACCTTCAGATCGGCATGCACACATTACAGCGCACGCCAGTCTGACAGGCCACGTATATCAGACTGACATTGATGTAACCCTACCCTGCACCCTAAACCCAACCCCAGTGACATCATACATGCAGATAATGCACATGCGCGTTATCTGCTGGAATGCTCCTCTGGCTGGCATGGCACCCCGATGCAACACCGGCCACGCGGACTTCTCACAGCTGAACCAACAACGGTGTAACCGGATCTCTTCTACGTTTTGCGGGTTAACGCTGAACGATCACCATGCCTCCTTTGTCTTTGGAGATGAACGGATGGTCCGATTAGTCTGACAAGCAATGTAAACAGATGCACAAATGAACGGCATTGCCCCGCTGCTCCTCCACATCCAGAGGAGCCAGTTGAGGTGGCTCAGGCATCTGATTAGGAAACCTCCCTGATGACGTTTTCTGGGCATGCTCAACCAGGAGGAGACCTAAAGAGAGACCCAGGACACAATGGAAAGACTATTTTTCTCACTTGGTCATCGGGGAACACCTGGGGATTCCCCTGGAAGCAAGGCCGGATTAACCATATGGGCAACTGGGCAATTGCCCAGGGCCCACGATCTCTAAAGGGCCCAGGGCAGCAAGGGCACGAGCAAAATACTGTAGGCCTATCTGTAATCTCCCGCTTTATATTAAACTAGGGTGACCATACGTCCGGTTTTCCCCGGACATGTCCACTTTTCACTCTCTGTCTGGGCGTCCGGACTGGGGGTTCTTGTATTGATGAAAATGTCCGGCTTTTCATCCAGGAGCAGGGATCGAATTATGGGGGAGTTAGATATCCTACACATCCAGGGATGAGCCGGAAAAAAGTTTTCTACCGATATTACATCATTTATGGACTCTTCTGAGCAGAGAGCGGCACAGCGCGTTGTTGACCGTTAAGAACGGCGTCAATTACGGCGTTCTGGCAGAGTTTTCGCCGTATTTTACGATGTCTTGGCACATCAAACGGAGTTTTTTTTGCCATCTCTTAACTAGACGGGTTGGGAAAGTGACGTATTGTGGCGGTTTTGGCTTTCCATACTCTGCCACTGTGGAGCTCATCACCTGTGCTGCGGTGATTTCACCTCACTGACGCAGCATCGAAACGCGCTCTCCGCTTTGCGGTCAGGAGATCCCTTTGATCTGCTCAGAAGTAACTGATGATGTGAAAAAGTAAGAATCCAGGCAGCAGTTTTTCTGGAGAGTTTAGAGGAGATGCAGGAAGATGAGAGACAGACAGGACAGGAAAATAGTTCAATAAAAACAAGAAAACAAAACTAAGTGTTGAAAAGTAAAATGTAGGTAGATTTATCTCCACTATACCTTTTTACCTGTATAAAACAATAAGTTATACACATGTAATAATTATACATCTGATACAATTCAGATCACCTTCAAAACTCAGTCACACGCCCAGGGCCGTTTCAAGACATTTTGGGGGCCAAGGCAAAATGACCCCACCCACCCCCATCCCCCATAACTGGGCTCCCCAGAAGCCTCTGTGAAATCCATACCCTCTCCAGGAGTGTTAGTTATACAGTGTTTGTAAAAGCCCATCAGACATTACTGACATGTTCTAATATTATCAGATGAAAAACTAAATTATCAGGCACGCTGTCTCATCTGCTGCTTTTCTAAACTTGCAAAAAGTAACAAAACCATTTGAAAGCCACTATTTGTGGATTCTCTGAAAGTTTCCGTGGAGTGTGTGACAACTTATTTTTTCATTTATCCTATCATCTAATCTCACAGCTGAAACAAGCATCCTTAATAATCCGTGCACAGGAAGTTTACCGATGCTGTAGTAAAACAAAAGGTTTAATAATTTCTTATTAATAAAACCTTGTTGCAGCACTAAAGCAGAAAAATGAGATTTTGCAATAAATATGCTAAATATTTACATATGAATTGTTTTGGAGCCCTTTTATTGGCAGAACGGAAAGTGATTCCGTGTAAAGTGTCATTTTAGCACATACTGGCTCAAGAAAAGTTTTTAAAAAATATGAAAATTTTGCACTGAATGGCTTTAAAATGACGCGGGACATTCCTTCATGTATTTCCCAGGTTGACCGCAAGAAGGCGCGCTTACAGTTAATTTTCAGTAGAAGAAGAAAATTGTGCGTCGATCAAATAGTTCCTTCCCTTTTCAAAATAATCGCTCGTAGGTAAGATTTTACACATTTTCCAACATTCTGCTCACTTTTACTGAATGTTCTGTACACCGTCTTACGTAAAGGACATTTTGTTTGCGTCCGTTTTGTTGAAGTCGGGAATGAAACGTCGTAACTGCTTTTTATAAATAAGAATTTGGTCTCCAAGCTAACAGCTGGACTAGGGACAGTTGATGCTACCTAGCTAAATCTCCCTCATCAGACTTTGAAGTTTTACGTGTCTTCAGTGTCAGATGTTTTTATAGTTTGATCGTTTATTTCCTGTGTTAAGGTTCGGGTTTGTAGCACGGATACTGAATCTCATCTAGACCATAAGGAATCCGCGTCATAGGCAGACAGATTCAGTAAATCGTGTGGATTTATTGTGTATTGTTTTGTGAAATACTTGACAGGCGGAGCAGAAGGATGGATGCACTCACACAGATGCTCACACACCCTCTCGACTCCAAAGAGGAGCTCGGAGGAGAAGCCACAGAGGAGTGTTTGCTTGGAAGCTGCAAAGTGAACCTTCCAGAGGATCTTCTGGAGGATGTTAGTTGATTTAAACCTCTGATTCAGTTAAATGCTTCCTGTTTAGCTGCCATCATGGGTGATGTCTTTTATGGTTTTCTACAGCCTGATATTTTCTTCTCTGTGATGAGTGAAAGCACCTGGAGTGAAGTACTAACAGAGTCTCAGAGACGACACCTTCGCCAGTTTTTGCCGCAGTTTCCTGACAACAGCGCTGAGGAGCAGGACCGCGCTCTCAGTGATCTGTTCAACAACAGGAACTTTAACTTTGGAAACCCTCTCCATCTGGCACAGAAGCTCTTCAGAGGTGATTCCTAAACTCTGTCTTTATTCTGACAGTTGGGCTGATGTCTGCTGTTAACTGTTTCAGTCTCCATCAACACGTCTAATGCTTTTAAAGCCCAATCTGATTCTAAACATCTCATTTCAGATGGTTACTTCAACCCTGAAGTGGTCAAGTACAGACAGCTGTGTGCCAAGTCTCAGAGGAAGCGCCACCTGCACTCCCTTCAGCAGTACTACCACCGACTCCTGAAGCAGATTCTCGTCTCCAGAAAGGTTGGTCCTCCTGCTTAGTTTGTTGTGTTTTACATGCAGCGTTTTGGTTGATCTGCATGTTTTTGTCTCTTTGTAGGAGCTGCTGGACTTTGCTGTTCACAATGGTCTGGACTTCCCACCCAAAAGGCAGCTGCACAACAAAACTCAAGTAGAGATGCGGGAGCCAAGAGTGAGAAGGAGGCTGAGTCGCATACTGAAGGAGGTCAAAGCCGAGTGTGGAGATAGCGATGCTTCCTCTGATGATGATGGTCGGGATTATAATTGACTCTCTATATCCATATAACTCCTAATTTGTTAGTGACCATTGTAGATGATGTTATAAAAAGAATGTGTTTGTTATGGTTGTGTGTCAGATCTGTCATTATGGACTCCAGCACCTCCGTCCCCCTCCTCTCCGACGCCCACCGTTTCCCTCAGAGTCCTTCCCAGTCTCTCCACTCCAGACATGAGGATTACTGGTGAGATATTTCTGTCGGATGATGATGATGATGATGATGATGATGATGACACTTCAGTATTCAAACATTTTTATGTTGTCACAGAAAAAGTAGAACTAGGTGAGCTGGACTTAAAAGTCATGCTGCAAAACCACCGTGAGAAGAGGAAACGTCAGCCGGTAAGTTGTGATCAGAGCCGTTCACACCAGCATTGTTGTTGGTTCTGCAGATCTAACAACTGGTTTCTTTAGGACCATCCAGACTTGGTAACCTCTGCCATCCATCTCGGAGACATGCTCGCAAGAGCCAATCTTGGTCGGAAGGGAGCTTTGCGTAAGGAAACAGATCAGAATGGGTTTTTGTTTGGATTTAAAATAATCCAAGAGGACATTTCTTCATTTTCATCCTCCAGCCCTCTTTGATCTGTCTCTGCCAAAGAAAAAGATAAAAGAGGAGAGAAGGAAGAAAAAACTGAAGGTGATAAAAGTGGAATCAGAAGATCCGTGTGAGACTCTGACTCCATCAGACACCTCCTCAGCTCCGCCCGTGAGCATCGTCCCGCCCCTGCCTGATGCGCCATCCACGCCCCTCACCAACATCAAGGAGGAGTAAGTCTAGCCTCTCTGTGGTGTGAAGAGCAGTCCCATTCTTATTACTATTGACGGGAAACAGTCCTCCTGTAACAAATGACATCATCATTGCAGAGTTGTGGATGAGAGTCAGAGCAGCCCGGTTCCTGTAGAGGAGATAACTTCCAGTTTCTTCAGCTTGCTGGAAAGCGTGTTGAGAGTGGAGGGTGTTGCCAGTACCTCAGTGGTATGGACTCATGTTAGACATTCTCAACCCAGTCAGCTGCAGCTGTTAACGTCACGCTTTTGGTGTCTCAGCTGGAAGAGAAGGTTCAAGCGTGGCAGTCCTCTCCAGCCAGTTCACTCAACGCTTGGTTTTCCTTCGCCTCCTGCTGGTCCGATTTGGTCCTTCAAGCTCTACAGTTTCTTGCAGGAGAGACCAAAGGTAGGAGGAAGTGAAATAGTAAGTTTTCATCTCATGTTGGTGCTATAAAATTGTCAGTTTTTTTTTTTTGTTTGTTTGTTTGTTTTTTGGGACCAGATGGCATGATGGCGCTCCCCAGTGGCTTTTCCCCCTTTGCAGAATTTGTTGATGAGTTTCAGCAGTGGAGGTGGATCGGTAAGAGGCTGCAGCTGATTAATGAAGGTGTCATTCATGCATATTAACATCCAGCTCTGGTTTCAGGTCCCAGTCAGGATACAGAGAAGGATCTCAGTGCGCTCTGTCAGCTCTGGCTGGATTCCAAAGATTTTGTTGTCAAAGTAATCAAACATTTCCGTCGTAACGTTAGTTTGTGTTGTTCTTCTTGTAAATGTCTCACCGCTCAAAAGGCTTCGTTCGTCTCCCACAGACAGAAAGTGAAGACATGGTGGAGATGGCTTCTCCTCCACCCAAGCTGTGAGTTTCATTCATTCAAACTTGAAGATCGGAGCAGTTGCTTTAGCACCAAAGTGACCATTACGGGGTGTTTTGGTACAGGTCCACTGATTATGTGGTGCGTCCCAGCACTGGAGATGAGAGACAAGTGTTTCAAGTCCAGGTCTGTTCCCGTCTCTGCAAACATTTCCCCTCTTCCTGACATAAAATCAGGTTTTCACAAGTGGTGCGGTGTGTTTCAGGAGCAGCAGCGATACAGCCAGCCTCACAAAGCCTTCACCTTCAGGATGCACGGGTTTGAGTCTGTGGTGGGGCCCGTTAAAGGCGTGTTCGATAAGGAGATGTCTCTGAACAAGGCCAGGGAGCACACACTGCTTCGCTCAGACCGGCCGCCATACGTCACCATTCTCTCGCTTGGTTAGAACTCCAGCTTGTTTGTGTGTGGGAACACACACACACACCATACACACACACACAGCCTTAGGAGATTCCTTTAAAGGTGTATTTTTTTTCCAGTGCGGGACGCAGCAGCCAGGTTACCCAATGGAGAAGGAACTAGAGCTGAAATCTGTGAACTACTGAAGGACTCTCAGTTCCTGGCTCCAGATGTCACAAGTGCACAGGTGTGACCGTCTTATATTTTGATATAGTTTAACAATGTTTGCTTTAAACTGCCTTTAGGCAGTAGACCTAGCTCGGTTTTTCTTGTTAAACCGAGTTTGGTTCCTGGTGCAGGTGAACACGGTCGTCAGCGGCGCGCTGGACAGACTCCACTATGAGAAAGACCCGTGTGTTAAGTACGACACTGGCCGCAAACTGTGGATTTACCTGCACCGCAGTCGCAGCCAGGAAGAGTTTGGTGAGCACTGAGAAGCCCACCCGCAGACATTTTTAGTCCAGCTTGCATTTTTAAACCCATATCCATCAAAGGTTTGAGTGCATTAATCATTCTGATGTCTTTGTTTTGTTCAGAGAGAATCCACCAGGCTCAAGCTGCTGCTGCAAAAGCTAGAAAAGCTCTGCAGCAAAAGCCTAAACCTGCATCAAAGCCGGTGAGTGCGCAGCTTCCAGCAGCGCCGTTCGCATCTGCGCTGCCGTACGAGTTTTGCACCACGTCTAAGAAACCGGTTTTATTTTGTCTTCTGTAGAAATCTGGAAGCAAAGACGGAAGCAGCAAAACTTCTGGATCTGCAGAGGCAGCGCAGGATATAAGCGGTGATCCCATGTCTCCCATTCCTACAACACCTGGTCCAAACACTCCTGGAACCCCCAAGTCACCCCTCCCCTGCACAGCCACCACGCCTACAAAGACCGGCGTCCCAGATTCGATCAAAGCCAGCCCGGGGTCAGCCAGCTGATGTTTTATCTGCGACCTGACAATGCCCTTGGCTTCTTTCTCATGGGTTTCTCTCTTTCAGCGTTCTACTCGTGTCTCCTCCTTTGCTGCCTCAGCTGGGAACAATCTTACCCCCGAGTCAGGCTTGTCCGCCCGTCTCGCAGCCAGTGTCGTCCCAACCAGCTGCTCGGATAGTCAGCCACCTGGCGGCAGGCTCCCTCCCTCAGGTGCGAGTCGTTTCTGATCAGCCTGGTCTGGGGTCAGCTGCTGCAGGTCAGCAGGCCGCTCTGGTCCAGCAGGCCCCGCATCAGATCCGGATGCCTGTGTCTGTGGCAGCCAAAGGCCTTTCACAGGTACGCTACAGAAGAGTCGGACGTTCTTCCGTGTTTGTTTGAATTATTTCAAGTATAATCGAGTTTGTTTGTGGAACAGGCGGTGGTGTCTGTGCCTGTGAGAAGTCAGTCTGGAAGTAGTCCAGTCCAGGTCCCGGCCAGCCTCCCAGTGTCGGCTCTAACTGTCGCCAAACCACAGACCGGGTCTCCTGGCAGTCCGGCCAGCGTCCCGACCTCTCCAGTTGTACCCAACATCAAACAGGTGCAGCTTCTCATCCTGTGGCTATGCTAGCTCTGTCTGTTTAACAACCCCCCCACACACACACACCTTTTATAGCGTGTGAAGGATGGTTAATGCTAAAGATGTGGACTGCAGCCATTTAGGTGCAGCCCTCCGCCCACTCCTGTTCTCGTCCCACATGTTGTCCCACGGCTGAGGACCCGTCTGTCTCTGGTTTCTCTACAGGTGTCCATCACAGGCCAGCTGGGAATGAAGACTCCGGGCGGAGCAGGAATTCCCATATCGGCGACAAACCTGCGGATCCAGGGTAAAGATGTCCTGCGCCTTCCGCCGTCCTCCATCACCACGGACGCTAAAGGACAGACGGTGCTCCGGATAACCCCAGACATGATGGCAACCCTCGCCAAATCTCCCGTGGCGACCGTAAAACTGACATCAGACTTTCTGGGCTCTGCCGCCTCGGGCAGCAAGAGCATCTCAGCCACGCTCCACGTGACGCCGCCTCACCCTTCCTCCTCCTCCACTTCTACGGTTTGTGCCGCAGAATCCCAGACAACAAAAGCCAGCCCCATAGCCTCCACGGTGCTGAAGGCGGGCGGCGACACAGCCATACGTTTGATGCCCACTCTAGCCGTGTCTGTGGCTGACCAAAAATCCAGAACCTTCTCCACGGTGGCCTCCCCCGACAAGAGCGGCGCCACCATCCGGATAATGCCAGGCCTCGGCGTTATTCCCCAGAAACAGGGTCAGACGATCACAATGACCTCCGCCTCAGGAACCAAACCTCTCACAGCGTCCACGTGTGCTAACATTGTGACCATGGCTGCCAGCGTTGTGGGTGGAGCTAAAGGCATCACGGTGGCTCCAGGAGCCTCTGGGTCTCCTCTGGCTCTGGGAACAGCTGCTGCGACTGTGAGACAGGTTCCCGCTACAGTCGTCACGACACAAACGGTAAAAGTTTGAAAAGGTTTTCTCGACTCAACCAAGCCTTTTTTTTTTGAGTCTTCATTAAATCTATGAAACAAAATCAGTCGATTTGTAGCTTTTTCCTGTCCCGATCTACGTTCCCAGTAGTGAGTTTCTTCTAAGTATTGCTTCTGTAATGTTTGCCCCAGTGTCTGACTTTGTGCTTTACTGAAGTGTTAAACAGTACTGAAAGCAGAAATCTGGAGTCTTTTCTCAGAGAGCACCATCTAGGGGCGGAAACGTATATCGCACCTTGAGCTCCTCCCTACTTTTGTGTTTACGGCTGAAGCAGCGCTGCTCGCTCGCTCGCTCGTCTCTAGACGGCCAACAGAGTTAAAACATTTTTATGAATTTCTAAAAAAAAAAATTTTTTTAAATCATAGATAATTCCAGAAAGCGGGAAAACTGCAGGCAGCTGCTTTAAAGCTGTACTCTGCAACTTTTTTCATATTTTTAGATCATTTACTGGAGCCGGAATGTGCTAAAATGATCCTTTACAAGGTTAATTTGCAACTCCAGACTGGCGGGCCTCCCTGTTCCTGCGTGTTTTAGATCAGGAACACAGCTGATTTGTTTAATTTAGTAACGAACCACTCCTGTAGACACTAATGAAGGCTGAGGAGACATTTCAGCTGTTAGGTTAAGGTGTTAAAAAGACAAACGCACAGCGAGGAGATGCTTTTCATTGTCGGCTTGACCACAGAGAATTAATAACGGACACTGGGGGGGGGGGCTAAAAGCAAGCAAAACTGCCTAGTGTGCCTTTAAACTTGGGCTGAAAGACTCCAAAACATACCTGTGCTTTGTCATCGTAGGGAAAGCTACCTGCTCGGATCACTGTGCCGCTTTCTGTCCTCAACCAACCCCTGAAGAGTAAGGGCATTGTGTCCACGCCGATCGTCAAAGGAAGCCTCAACACAAAGTAAGGATCTGTTAGTCACTGAGCACCAAATATCACAGTACTTCAGCGTATTTCCTTCCATTCCTAGTATTAGCAGCCTGGGCAGGAACATCATCTTGACCACGATGCCCGCCGGTACGAAGCTGATTGCGGGGAACAAACCGGTCAGTTTTGTCACGGCGCAGCAGTTCCAGCAGCTGCAGCAGCAGGGCCAGGCCACACAGGTGAGTTCTGGTGTGGGCTGCCAATGGGAAGCTGTCTGAGCCGTAATCGGGCTTAAAACTTGATCTCTTTGAAGGTTCGGATCCAAACGGTTCAGACGCAGCAGCTCCAGCAGCATGTGGCAACCGGCTCCCCAAAGTCAGTTTCAGCCGTTGTTGTCACAACCGCCCCTTCACCTAAGTGTGCTCCTGACCCGCCACCCGCTCCACCCCAGCAGTGAGCTGGTCTGTCGAGGTCCAGTTCTCCACACGCGTCTGCATCCGGAGGTTTCTGCTCTCAGATCATCCTTCTTTCTCCCGTTTCTTCTTCTACGAACATGTTTTAGCCTGATCACTTTCCTCTGGACGAGGGTGTTCTCCATTGTCCCACCATCATGTGTAAAACGTTCTCACCCTCTGTTCTCCACATTATTACACACATAAATATGAGGAAGCAGCTGTTTCTCCACAGAAAACCTAAAAGGCTCTTTTCCTGCTTCGTTTCCTTTAATTAAATCACATAGCAACTTTTTGGTTTACATTAAACTATTAAAACAACCTTGAGTTTGTTTTTTTGTGCTAATTCATTTTCATGTTTAAGTTTATTCTGACCAGATGGGCGTGACTAACAGCATTATAACACTTTGTCTTCTGGTTGTTGAGTAAACTCCCGTCTTCTAGTGTGGCGGAGTTAGAGTGGAAAAACCATTTTTTAAATTATTTCTGATTATAATCAGTAAATGAGTGTTCCATGCAGGCTGAACGTGAAAATAGTCTCCGACATCAGCTTCTGGTGGAAAATAGATGTTGAAACTCTAGGATTTAAAAATCCTGACAGATCTACAGGTGCTGGTCATATAATTAGAACGTCATGATAAAGTTGATTTATTTCAGTAATTCCATTAGAAAATGAACCTTTTAAATTTGATTAATGCAGAGCCGTCAGTCGTCACTGCGTCACCTACAGGTTGTGCAGAACAGCGCTGCCAGGTTTCTGACTGGGACCACATCAGTCCGGTTCTGGCCTCCCTGCACTGGCTTCCGGTCGGTTATGGCTCTTGCTTTAAACTCCTGGTTTTTGTTTTCAATTTCCTCCAGGGTGGTGCCCCCCCCCCCCCCCCCCCCACCCACCCACCCACCCGTACATCACTCTGTCTCTTAACAGTCAGACTCACACTCATCTTGACTCACAATGGGGAAGGTTGTTGTTTTGCGTCCAGGGAACAGCAGGGAACATCTCGACTAGTAGGAGCTAACTATTAGCATTAGCCTCACAGCTGAACTCCTCCAGGCTTGTGTCATTTGTGGAGTTAAAATGTCGTTTGAAAGCAGAGTCAGTGAGTTGAGTTGCTGTTAGCCAATCAGAGGAGATGTGTCCAAATATCAGGAAATAAGATTCTAAATCCTGTGAAGCTACTTGTTCTTCCAGCTAAATTCTCTGAGCTTAAATTGGTGCACCGGAGCTCCCCCCTCCCCCCAGAGTACGACTTAGAAGGCATTCATTCCTACTAGAGACCACTGCAAATGTATTAAATCATGCGTGAAGGACCTCTTCAAAGGCAAATCATTCATGTAACATTCAACACTTTTCACATTTAAAATCACAAATCCTCCACAAAAATAACAAAAAAAATTAAATTTTTATTTTTTCAAAAGTCTAAAGCACATCACACTAAACATTTTCTTCAGCCATCCACACCGCAGCGTGGAGTTGATATTAAGTCAAATTTCAGAGAACAGCAATCATGATGTCACTCTTCATCCGACTCCTCTAGTAAAGCCTTCTGAGAACTGGATTTGGGAGATGCGTCTCTCATTCCAATTTCAACGTTTCGCCCTTTTACTGAGAATCTCATCAAAGTGCTGTTGGAAAAAACAAAAGGCCTTCAGTTATCTGGTCCATTCATTAAAATCCTATCAGTAGTGCTGGGCATTTTATTTCACATGTTACTCTGAAAGGAATTGTTGAATTTAAACCGATTGGCAACAATAAATATTCTTATTTTAAAGTTATTTTCTGGAGCAAACTAAAACAATCTTCCATTAAACTTCTTCAAGCTACGTTGTTAGTTAACCATACAGAAGGTATGGGTTCCAGTCAGCAGATCAGCTCTGCCAGAGTAAATGGAAAACGTAGCTCCCTGCTGCAAAAAACTGGTTTGGCAACAAATCATTCCATTGTTACTGGTTGCATTCCAGTGAGCTGACCCATCATCCCAGCTGGGTTTCAAAACAGTCAAAATAAACCAAAACTCAAGTTCACCTGAGAGGACCCTCTACTCTGCAGGCCCAGCAGTTCCACAACGCTGGTTCCCTCTTACATCCAGGGATGAATACATTTATTTTTAAATAACATCACACCTACATTTGTCGTTCTTCCTGCTTATGTCTTATCCTCCAGCATAAGTGGTGAAAAATGGGACACTTACAACCAAACTGCAGAGACGGTGCAAGTGACTAAAAGCAGAGCAGCAGCTAAATGCCAGCAGAAGCACATGGTGATGAACATCACGTTGGTGTGTAGCTTCAAATCCCACATGTCTCCATTTAACGGATAAAGGACAAATCCGACCTGAAAAGAAAACCGTCCGTTAGCAGTTCCTTGGGTGAGAAAGAAGTTCCTGTGAGCTTGAAGACATCCGATCACCTGGTAGAACCACGAGCCCTGCAGGATGAACATGCCCGCCCCAAACAGCTCCAGAATAACGTTGTTTCTCATGAACACCTCCAGCATGATGCTCGCTGATCCACAGAACACCGCCACCAGCAGCAGGGAGTGGATGTGAGCGTCCAGGAGCTCCCGGCCATGCAAGTGGTGATAAAACAGGAACCCTGCGATGGAAGGGGGGGGGGGGGGGGGACACAAAAGCACGGCTCAGCCAAACGCATCAGGAGAGCAGCTCCTAGTAATGACAGATTCTCACCATTACCTTCAACAAAAAGAGCGAGAGAGAGAGCTACTCGATCCACGCCAGCCGGGATCTTTTTCAGTAACGTACAAACAACCAGTGAGATTCCTGAAATCCCAAAGAACAGATACATGGTGCTGTGCTGCCAGTTCATCAGCTTGACCCATTCTTGGGTCTCCCTGTCGTAGAGGCGGGCGTGTGGGCCATCCACCACAAACTGCTCAACCATAATCCCTACAAGCAGGTCAACATCAGATAAATCAGGTCAGCAAACGGAATCTTTAAGCCTAGAAGGATCTATAAAGGGACAACGGACCAACAAAGGAGGCAAAGATTTGGAATCCCCCTTCAAAGTAGTCCATTTTCTTAAAGAAAGGAGGCATGACCATTCTTCCTTTGAGCTGCATGGTCCTCCAGTAGTGCTGGAGGACGTACTTCACCGTCAGCCAAAAGCCATAGAACAGGAAAAAGGTTCCAGGGATGGCGTGTCCTCCGAAGTTGGCCATGTTTGGCCTGAAATATGAGAAATAAACATGTTTTATTCAAGCCATAAATCAGTCTTCTCCACTGAAGCACTCTGCTTTGTCCCTTTGCAACATGGGTTAAAGTACAGGTTTATGGCTGTATTTTATTGGCCATGCAATGACTCAACACTGTAAAAGGTGAGGGATAATCAGCAAACAACCAAATTCACTCAAAGTAGAGCACAGGATGCATGAATCTGAGCAGAGCCAGCTCAGCTGATTTGTGTTGGTGAGGGTTCAGGTGGGAGCGAAACAGGAAGTCTGGCTTAAAGCAACAAATACGGCGTGACAGAAACGTGAATATGACTTAACAAGAGATCAGAAATTCATGGGTCAAAAGCACAAGATCTCAGAACAGTTAAGGGAAAGTGGAGGAGGCCTTTGTTTATTTAAATGTCCTTTTATAGGTCTGATTAAACCATTTTGCCCAGCATGTCCAGGTTTTGCCTGCTGCTGTCACCTACTTGTCTCCCAAACACACATGCAAATCCCACCTGTTTGTTTTGTAAATGAACCAGCTGGTCCCACAAGTCCAAAACTGAAATAAAAACAGTATGGCAGCGTGAAAGCCACGTTTCCTCTGGCGTTTCAAACACGACGAGCTCAGCTGCGTGTCTCTCTGAATCAGATTGTTGGTGAATTCTTTCAGGCTTGTTTCTGATGCTGGAGCTTGGTCCAGCCTGGGTGTGTTTGGAATCAAACACAGACGAGTTTTTCCTGACGAACCCTGTCAAGACGGGATGTAACAACGTCTCCGGTCCTTGTTTTATTGCCTCTAAAAGAAAAAAATCAGCACAAATACTCTCCTGATTTAATTATTGATCCTCTCAAAGAGCAGGTGAGCTGCTCGCACTATAATAAAGTCAGTGTTCTAATCAGCAGCGATGGATGATTAAAAAAGCCACGCACCTTGTTGTTTCTGTGCTTTCCTCTTCCAAGAGGAGCTCCTTGTTCCCTTTAGCCTTGTTTCACGGGGAGAGCTGAGTAGTGTGTAAACTGTGCACACCTGATGTCACTAACCTGTGCTGGCATAACTCAAAGCCACACCTCTGACTGTTAATAGTGTGAGTGAGCTAAGCACGTCCCTCAGAGAACCCGGCAGCAGGAAGATAATGTCTTTCTGCTGGGTTAGGTTGTTTATTTAGGATTGTTCCTCTAATCAGAGTGGAGTTTAAAGCTGTCAGAACACACACGTCTGAGAAATGGGTTCTATTTTAACACTATTTTGTTGAATAACTTCGCTATTTATTTATTTAATCTGGGACACGGCTTGGATCAAGTCTTCTTTATTTATCTGTACACAACGTATGCTGGAGTGTTTGCTCTTACACAGTCAGACTAGATGCAGCAGCACCCATGATCTTGTTCATTTAGGATGAGATTCGTGACACATGATGGACATTTCCAAGTACCGATCCAGTGGAAATGTACCATGTCACCAAGGCCAAGCTAAAGATAAAAACTAATGTCTCAGAGCATTCCAGGCCCTTTGTGACTGACGACCACGAGGAGGTCACATTGTCTTGTTTGTACCATTTTCTACGCTTTTTCTATATAAACCCATTTAATGCCAACACACTGAATCGTGGTCTTTTGTGGACGTGTGTCAGTGTTACCGGTCTTCCTCCCCTGGAGGTAAAGAACCAGGAAACGAAGGTCTGCTAGCTGGAGAGGATCCAGACAGGATAGGAGCGCATACAGACCTCATCAATAACACTTTCGTTTCTGCTTTGTTTTTTTCTTCAGCTCATTTAATTGGGGTCATTTTTTGACACTGAAGATTTCTGTGATTTTCTTGAAACTTTGGAGGGAAAAATGGAGTTCGCTGAGATTGTGGTTAATGTGTAAATCGTGTTGGTGCTGGAACGAACTTTGACCCATCTCTTATTAAAACTTTATTGCCATCATTAGCATGGTTTAAAGCTGATCATTTCACACCAACATCTACATTCATTTTAACATTAACAACATTTGAGCTGGAATGGGTGCAGCAGTCACAGAATCTCACAGAAAAGCTTCTTCTCTCGAAAGGGGTTCTCTGATGAAGGCACGGGTGTCACCAGAGGGTCCTCTTTGGCGTGAGACTCGCAGTAGGACATCAGCTCAGCCGCAGCTTTGGACACCTGCACAAAAACAGCTGTGTTACCATCGGAGCTTCAAAAGGGACGAGATAAGGCGTTGGGTTATTTCAAATCAAAGCAGACACTCTTCGTTAAATCCATTTTATTTCACTTGTTCTAAACTGTGATAACATAAATGCACATTTTGTGCAAATTTGGAACAGAAACTGTAGTAAAAGACAAATTTAACTCGTTTTGAATTTGAGTTTCATCAACTCACCATCATCCTCTCTATGTTGACCTCCAGCTTCAGCTGCTCCACCGTCTTCCTTGCATCAGCGATCTTGGCCATGTTGTTAGACATCCTCCGCCGTCCCACTAGAGTCAGCCAGCCTGCAGCAAACTGTACAGGAGCAATTATGTTTGCAGGAATAAAATAAAAACGTTGCATGCATTAAAAGCACATGAGGGACAAGTTAGAGTGTGTTTCAATTTGCTTGTTAATTGTGCTCCCTGGGTCTCAGCTGCAAGAGGTGCAGGAAGGGTCTCAGCGGAGGGCAGGGGAGCGGAGGCAGAGCAGCCCTCCCCAGAGAAAGGAGAGCAAAGCAGGTGAGGACCTGCTGATGGTGTAAATGCACTTAATATTAACATGTTACACATAGAAAATGATACTTTACTAACTTAATCCTGTGCCTCCATTTTTTCATTTGAATTATCTGCTGTTGTTTTTGCAAGGATTTCTGCAGAATCAGACTTATTAACAAGAGAAATGACCTAAAACAACAATTATTTAGCATTTTAGTGGCCGAGTGACTCGTTTACAATGTAAGACTAATAATATACATAATAAAATCATAAAGCAGCAGTTGTTCTGGATAGTTTCTACTCACCAGACTGAGGAAAGACAGCTACAGTGAGATCCCTCTGATCTTCAACAGGGTCTGCTACAGAGAAACAGCAACAAACGAAGCGAGGTTAGCAGCAAAGATGAGGAGGAAGGCTTCAATTGGTTCCCTCCTTCCTTCAAATAATTAACGATGGCTCTGCCTCCAGGATGGGCTCAGAGCCGCCGTTAAAGGCGACATGTGGCGTGACCTTCATCTCCCTCTCTCACCTGAGACAAAAGAGAAGCTCTGAGATGGAACATTTAGATGAATCTGCACACATTTATGTGGTTTTATTGTGATAAGTGGCACATATTGAAGCTGTGTTTTATTTTGTAACACTTAAATGCAACATTAGAAGCTTCAAGAACATTCTGAGGAAATCAGGGATCAGCTTTGAGTGGCTTTATTGTTCTTTTTCCTATTTTACAGTCAAAATAAATGCATTTCTTATCATGTATGATTTTCATTAAGCAGACAGGTTTAAACTGCTGATGCAGGCCGGTGTTTAAGCTGTACAGACAGCATGTTTAATATAGATCAGTGAGTGAGGCGTCTGTGTTTTAGGCCAGCAGAAGTCTTGCTGTAATGGTATCCTGCCAGTCTTCCCTGTGAAGCTGACTGTTATTTCACACAGCAGCAGGGGGCAAAGTGGGAGTATTATGGGTAAATGTCAAGAGCCCCATTAACATTTGTTTCCTGTGGTAATTGGTTCCTCTGTACTGGGGATATGGAACCATATGAGGAGAAAATGGCAGCTGCTTGCTTTCGAACTCAACCAACTGGTGATACACACACACACACACACACACACACACACACACACACACACACACACACACACACACACACACACACACACACACACACCTGGTTTTGGATGATTTTTTTTCAGGTGTCGAGTAAAACACAAACCAGTTTTTCTGGACTGAGGTCCGCTGCTTTGTGGATGACACACTTCCTGCCTGAAACACCACTTACCATTCAATGTGTGTTACTTACAGGCTCTGCAAACATTCTCAGTTTATTGGTTTAGTTTCAGCGAGTGAGTGAAACATACAGATGTGGTGAAAAGTTTACATAACTCCAGTTTAATTTAGACTTTTATATATTAATCTAAACTTGTTTTAGCAGAAGCCAATCATTATTCAAGATAAGACTTATATGAGTTCCCATGGTCAAAATGCTGCATACACCTCATTGTTAGCTTTATTGCCCCTTATAGCTGGTTGAACCATGACCATGTGTTTTATTATAAATATTAATAAATTATTGTTAATAATTGTTAATAATAATAATAATAATAATAATAATAATTATTATTATTATTATTATTAATAAAAACAACAATAAGAATAACAATAACACTAATAATAAGAATAATAATTAGTATTAATAATAAAAACAACAACATTAATATAATAATAACACTATTAATAATAATGATAATAATAACAACAACAACAACAACAACAATAATAATAATAACAATGGGGATGCACAGCGGCACAGTGACTAGTTCTGTTACCTTGCAGCAAGAAGGTCTTGGGTTCAAATCCCAACCTGGGGTCTCTGTATGGAGTTTGCATGTTCTCCCTGTGCATGCTTGGGTTCTCTCTGGATACTCCGACTTCTTCCCACAGTCCAAAAACATGACTGCCAGGTTGATTAATTTCTCTAAATTGTCTTTAAAGGAACAGAGTGTAGTTTGTATCGTTAATCTCTGGAAACATCCATCAAAATGTTGTTGAAAAAATATTGGTGACTTCTTACCATAAAACCATAAAAATCAGGTCTAAAATACATGGGAGTGGGTCGTGTCTCTGGGTGATGCCATATTAGATGCCATGTTTCCTTCTATGGGAGCCCTTGAGGACAAAATGCATTTACTGATTTGTAGCAAATGATTATAAAACTTTCACCATTCATAAACATTGTTTTACACATTTACCTCTTTGCTAGTTGCCAGTGATGAAAGGAAGTTTGATGTGTTTGTTATTTTGCTGAAGTTTGCACTCCCCAGGGCTTTTTGACCCTAATGGGCATCTGTTGCAAAGTCTTACTCCAACACAAAAATACAGGATGTTTCTCAAGGAACCTCGCCTTGATGTCTTGGCCCCATCCTGGTTGCCTAGGAGATACATCATCAGGAGCCACCAAGACATTTTCCAGTGTTCATGTTCTACCGAGGCGTTTGTTCTCCATGTGTTAGCCGTTTAGCTAGCTGAGCAAGGATACACGGGAGGTGTCTTGTAGCCTAGCCGTGGTCAAAAATTGCCCAGAATACACCCCAGTATTTTCAAAAGGACGGTGGATCAGAAGCTGGCAGCTACTTCGGAAGCAAATTTCATGTTTAAAAGTAAGACAACTAATTTAAAATGCTTTTTTAGATCCAAAGAAGTTATCTATGGTTGGTTAGTTGCTTAGTAGTTGCAGCTTCGGTGGCTAGCGGGTAGTAACTCACTTATATTTTTAATTTAACAAATATATACACAATTTAAAAAGTAAAAGTCTCGTTATATATTTATATTGTAACTTATACATGTAAAATATAACGTTGTCTCCTGTGTCACGTGACGTTATGGTTCTGCCGTGGAAGCCGCGGTCACGTGATGCAAGTCTGTTCCATTTAACCCTTTTCTTTGACCAATGAAGGACAGTGTCCTCGTAAGCAAGGCACCTGGCCTCGCAAGATATTGCCTCGCAAGGCCAGGCGCCTTGACATTGAGAAACGTCTACAGCTTGCTTGCAACAATTTAGTTATCTAGTGCCCCCTATCGCCAGGAAAAATACACACTGTCACTTTAGTGTGTGTGCTTTGTTGTTTGTTCTGTGTGTCTCTGTGTTGCCCTGCAATGGACTGGCAACTTTTCCAGGGTGTAAGCTGCCTGTTTGCCAAGAGATTGCTAGAGATAGGCACCAGCCTCCTGAAACCCTGCATGGACAAGTGGATATAGGCAATGGATGAATGGATAATAATAATGAATTATAGAGATTTTCTAGACACGCAAGGCACTTTACAGAAAATCCATCATTCATTCACATTATGTGGGTGATGGTACATCACAGCCACAGCTGCCCTGGAGTAGTATGACAGAGGTGAGGTTGCCCCGACCTCCACAAACCAGTCCTGATGAATTAGGGGTCCTGTTGGAACCATGGTTGGAACACACAGTCAAGGTTATGCTTTCAGGTGAACTGAACTAATACAGAGGTAGTCCTTTGTCATTTCATCCACTCTGTGCAGCAGAATCACATGTGGCAGCATCATGCTGCCACTGCCATGCTTTACAGTTAATAATAATTTTAAATCTTTACAGTAGTTTGGCCTAATGCTGCTTTATTGAATGTAAATAAATAATATGTTCAGATTTGTAATTTTGGAGGATTTTCCCACAGAACATTTCCTTCAATGTTAAATAATAAAGCATAAATAAAAAAAAATAGATGACTACATTTTTTACTTATCAAAGACTTGTCTTCTTACATTTCTCACCAGACACCCATAACACACACCTCAGATTTATAAGGAACTCAATCATTTTTCATCTCAAGCAGCTACTTTTATAATTAGTCTAAATGTAACTATGTAGTTTATGTATTGCATATTATCTTTGCAGAATAACTATATGAATATGAGACCAAATAAAACGTTTTCTATGTAAATTTAAAAAGTAATTGAACCAACACTTCTAAACTTTTCTGTCTTGCCCTGGTTGTTAACGTGTAATTACTCAATATAAACTTGCTACCTGACTTATAATTATAAAAGGTGACCTGCCTAGTTTATATTTCACATAAATAATAATAGTTATGTCAGAATATCAACAAAAACAGCAGTAGCAGCTCACTAGTTAGCTAGTTAGCTTGACTTCTCCTCCAGGGCTGGACCATCCTTAGGTGGGCGTGTGGGGACACCGCTGCTAGCTACAGCAGGCGGCTAAACGCCCTCGTGAGACCGGCGGCAGCGTGTTAGCTCAGGTTCTGTTGAGGTTTGGACCAAACTAAATCATTTTCTGTGACTCTTAACTGATGCGGCTCAACACAGCTTTCTCCTGAGCTAGCTAGTCGGAAGTTACTGAAAGCTGAGTGACACTTTAACAGACGAGCTAGCTTAAAGAAATCTATAAAGCCCGGAGACCCAACGTCCTCTCCTGTCTGCGCATCACTCTTCAGACATCGTTAGCTGTGTTTATCATCGTGCTTTTAATCTTTCGAGATGTGTGGACAGTCGGGATGACAAAGGAAGAAGATGGCAAACGGGGTTGGAAGTGAGTAACTGTTGAAAGCCCACCACTAACTAACTAACCATCTAACTAACCCACTGCTGCTGGGATTCCTGCAGGATGCTTGTCATCCCGAGCTGACAGATGCATGAGCAATAGCTGTTTTAGAATAATAATTATTAATGAAACCACAATTGTTAAAAAGATAGTTTGATCCTGTCAGTTAAAGTGCTCCGTGAGCATCATGGTGGAGTTCGATCCGTAATAAGAGCGAGCGAGTAGGATGCCAGGCCAGACAGCAGCTTTGTTTAAAGTCCATACGCATGTGTCATATCATGATTATCCACATCTGCAGAACACAAGCTGCTTGTGATTGGACCAACGGAACCGTGGTCAGTGAGGGAGAAGCTATGCTTGGCCACATCTGTCATGAAGAGTGGAGACCAGAACTGGTAACTGGTTTTATCCATTTACTTTTTTTACTTTAACCATCACCAGGTGGGTGGAAGGGACAGGTCTCCAGTCCACCTCAGGGACACACACACACACACACACCTAGGGACGTGCATGTCTGGTCTGTGGAGGAATCTGGAGAAAACCCACGCATGCACGAGGAGATGCTAACTCCATGCAGAAAGGCTTCAGCTGGGATTTGAACCCGTGACCTCCCTGCTGCAAGGAAACATTGCTACCATCTGAGCCACATGCAGCCCATAATGCATTTAATTACATAAAAGAGTCAGTTAAACTGTCTGCAGTTTCAGATCAGCAGAAATCATCGTCAGAAAGCGATAACCTGGGTCCGTGACGACCAGGCCCACGTCTGCAGTCTGTGGCTCTGCGTAGCTTTGAATTCAGCCTGAGAAGAACTCATGTTCAAACCAGTAACAGAAAATTGTTTCTGTCTAGACTTTTAAATATTGTTTTACCTTTCTGCAGGGTATCCGTCAGTCGGGCCATCAAACCGTTTGCAGAACCGGGTCGCCCACCGGACTGGTTCTCTCAGAAGGTATTCTCAATATGCCACAAAAGACAGAACTTTTACATTCTGCAGGATATTTGATAGGTTGAGCTCCATTCCTTACAGCACTGTGCCTCCAAGTACTCCGAGCTGCTGGAATCAACAGAGGCCCCAAAGTGAGCACGTGAATCCCTTTTGATTCATGTTTGACGTTTGCAAAGATGCTTCAAACGAACGCTTTTCTTTAAGGAGGAAGCGTGGTGAAAGAGGTGAGGTGGTGGAGACGGTGGAGGATGTTATCGTTCGCAGACTGACGGCAGAGAGAATCGAAGAGCTTAAGAAGCTTATCAAAGAAACTCAGGAAAACCACAGGTACACTTTTAATTAAAAAAAAAACAACAACACAGTTTTACTGTTAAGGTATTAAACCACATGAACTTTGACAGAAAGCTGAAGAGAGAAGCTGAGCTGATCCAAGCAGGACACCTGGACTCCAGACTGGAAGAGCTGTGGGAGGAGATCCTGCAGTAAGAAGCAACAAACTTCCTGTTTTCTTCCTGTAAAGGTGTGATAACTGAATGAACTATGTTGTGTGTGTCTATAAGGAAGCAGAAGCTGGAGGAGGAGGAGGCAGAAATGAAAAGGAAGAATACAGATGCTGCTTATCAGGGTTTCAAAGACACAGAAACACAATCACTTTAGATTTCTCTGAATACAGACCTTTGGTTCACCAATCACTTACATTTAAAAATATCAGTCAACTGATGACTAAAAGAATGCTTATTGCACGTCATTCTCCCTAAGATGCTCCTTCCTCTTCCCTCTTCCAGCCAGACAGGCGGTAAAGAACACGCCAAGGCGGATCCCCAGCATCACCATGAGTTCACCCTCGGCTTGTAGCTCCCCAGGTCAGGAGGTCCCAGCAGGGGACCAGCTGGAGTGTTTGACTCTGGATCTTCCACCCATAAAGCCTGTAAGTCTGTTTTCACCTTTGGATTAAGCTCCTTCTAGTGCTGTATGATGAGGAAAGATGATGTTTAACTTCCAGGCTTCAGGAGCAGCCAGGTTGATGACATTCCCCGAAACATCTGGACCTGCTAATGAGGACAGCAGCCACGGAGCAGCGGTGGAGGACCCCACTCAGAAGAAGCCCCTGGGTCAGAAAGCTACCCCTCCACCATCTCCACTCCTGTCAGAGTTACTGAAGAAAGGCAGTATCTTGGCCACCAATTCTAGACTGGTATGCAGTTTTCTGAAGTTCCAGTGATTATTTGTAAGTCAGTGATGCGGTCCCAGTTTAATAAGCGGTGGTTTAAGAGCATCCTCTGGGTGTTACTGTACCTAACAGGGTAACTGAGAATGATACCCATCAGAAACTACGACATCCTCACTAGGGTCACATGGAGCTGGTGTCCAACTCCAGCTGTCATTGGGCGAGAGGCGGGGGACGCCCTGGACAGGTCTCCAGTCCAACACAGGGACACATATTACCACTTACACACTAGCATCAGCTCCACTCCACCTGCCCCAGCCTGGCTGTGTTCGTTCCACACTGCCTTAGGAATGCAGATGTGATTGAGCACATGGGAGGTCTGTGATGTCATGAGAACATCTCTGAGCACGTGGGCGGGGCAAAAGAGTGCAGAGAAGTCCACGTTGTCTCCATTATTTAACTAAGCGACCTGAGCAGTCTTGCTTCTGGAGACCCGTTATGATTTTGCATCCTGCTTTGCTGTGTCTGGCAGCACTGTGTGTGTGTGTGTGTGTGTGTGTGTGTGTGTGTGTGTGTGTGTGTGTGTGTGTGTGTGTGTGTGTGTGTGTGCACAGCAAATTCAGCATGCTCAAAATAACTCTGTCAGAGTTGATTTCAACACTTTTAAAGTGTCTATATGGGTCCACCCCAGTAAGTGTTGATTTAACACTTTTTGAAGAGTTGGTACTTTAACTCTGATTTAGTGTTAAAAACCAACTCACATGGGCTTCACACCCGTGGGGGGTGTGGGGGATTCAACACCCACACTTTTCTTATTGAGATCGTTCAACACCCACACTTTTCCAGCCATTTTGCTCACCTCCACACCAGTCTGGTGTCTCACACTCACTCTGTTTGCCTCATCTCCTTCTTCCCCTCCCTCTCCTGTTTCTCCTTGAAGCCCGACATCGGCTGTCGGGTTTCAAGGAGAAACAGGAGAGGGAGGGAAGAGCTCGACTGAATTCATAATTTTACATCTTGACATTAGCTGTACAAACTCTGAGTTTGATAAAGTGAAGAACAACAATTTGCAGAGGTTTATAACAGGCGCAACGCCAGGTTGTCATTTTTGGGTGGGCCACGGTAATTTTGGATGGACCTTAATAAGCAGTGACTTGAAGCAGGCAGGTCGTGCTTGAAAATTTCGTTTAAAAAGACGTCATAAAATCCCCCCCCCCCCCCCCCCCCGTCATTTTTTTTCTAAAATATGAAGTAAAAACTCCCAATTTAATTTTCATTCATTTTTCATTTATAGGCACCAGAATGCATTACCTGCACTTCTAATATTTACCTCTCACCGTAGGACTCTTTCATGAGGGTACATGCACACCAGTAGTTTTTACAGTTATTCGTGGGGCAAAATCTCCGACATTTTAGAAAAAAATAAAAAAAGCATCCAGTCCACCTCTCCAAATGCGTAAAATGTGTGTGAGCGTTTGTGTTTGCGTGTGTGTGTGTGTTTTCCACTTCAAACTGGTCTAACCAACCAGACCAGCGTGTCCAGTAACACATTAATGTTACAATTAAACAGTTTCACTTCATGTAGGCTAGGAACATTCCACCTGCCGTGGCCCGACCGCTTCTGCTCCACATGAACTTTGTGCGTAATCAAATGTCTCTACAGGTGCTTTCTGAGCTGCTATTCTGCCTCAGACTGGATGCGTCACGCGTCTCCATATTAGAGACGGGAACAAGCGCTATTCAGCCAAAGTTTCATAATCAGCGAACATTTTTCCAAGTGACACATCCCTCAGAGAGACCGGCTTTCCAGACCTCTTCAGTGGGAGGAAATCTTACCGCATGCGTCGTGGTTCTGCGCTGCGCTGCAAACCCCTCTACAGACCTTCAGCCCACTGTCCACCGTGTGCGCTCCGAGCCGCGCTGAACACAGTGTCCAGTATAAAGCTCTGATGTTCTGATGGGAATCGTTTCTTGATTGATTTAGTTACCTCCATGATGTGCGTAACGATTAAAATGTCAGCTCATCTGTGTGTGCATCAGTGTGCGTCGGGGTAATTCTTTCAAAATAACCAACATCCTTGAGTTTATCTGTCAAAATTAACAGTCAAATGGAAATATCTGTAACCTGCCATTTAACTGTTTTGCTTTCTTGTGAAGATTGTTGCAAAGAGAAACAACTAAACTTGATTAACCCCAGAGCCACGCGCACTGCACTGTACTGACTGTAAAATGAGGGGGAAACGATTTAATCGGATCCTTTTCTTTTCAACATGGTTTAATGTAAAGTTTCATTCAGTACAAACTTTAGTTACACCAATCTAACGAGACAGAGCCTGGATTTGTATTCTGAACAGTTTAAACATGTTTAAACGGAGACGTGCGTGATGCGTCTAAAATTCACACCTGCTCCGCTATTATGGAAATTAAACTAACAAGATGAATAACGTGAAATTATTTTAGGCACAGACATCATCCCCCACACTTTTGAAAATTTTGCAACGCACCTGCCAACTCCTCTAGAGTTAAATATCTAACACAAAATCAGAGTTAAAGTACTAACTCTTCAAAAAGTGTTAAATCAACACTTACTGGGGTGGACCCATATAGACTCTTTAAAAGTGTTGAAATCAACTCTGACAGAGTTATTCTGAGCATGCTGAATTTGTTGTGTACACTACAACCAGTGTTAGTTTTCAGAGTCAGTTTACACTCAAGTTGCATTAATCTCCACCATGATATCATGAATTTTAATGCTTTTCCGTGTGCCATGCCAGGAAGCTACCAGCTACACTGATAATCTCATGCCTTGTACACCTCATGACTGCTATCAGTCAGTGGGAGAGGATCACCAGCAGAATCCTGAGCACGTGATATTAACCGTGCACCACATTATTATTATTGTGATAGTGGAACACACAGCGGTCCCATTCTTTTGACCGGCCTCTTCACTTACGGCACAAACATGACATAACAAGCAAAACCACATTTGCAACAGTAAACAAAGTACTAACTAAGAACAACACAACTCCGCAAAATACACACGATAAACACCTCAAAATAGAACAACCTAACTAAAAACATGACTACCCACAATGCACCTCGCCGACAGCAGCTCCTGCAACTCTCTGCAGCCAATCGGCCGCTACCAGTCCCAACTTTTAGAATAAAAGGGTGGAGTCTACAAATGAACTCTGCAGGTGTTACAACTGCTGTGGGAGTTCAGAGTTAGATTTTCAGGAGTTATTTTGTCCAAAAAGTTTTAGGATTAGGAAGCACTCCTTTTTAACACTGGGTTTTAACTCTCATGTCAGTGTTACATATCAACTATATAACTCGTTTTAGTGTTAAATTAACCATTCTTGGTGTTAAGTTGGACCAACACCAGAAAATTAACACTTTTGAATTTGCTGTGTGTGTACCTCCTCACAGCAGCGAGAGACGGAGAACAACAGCTTCATTCGGAGGCTTGTTAGCTTTACAGCATCCAGAATGATGCGGAAAGCCCCCACGGGCTGATTCTATCTGCCAGTCGGAGGCTCCCCCTAATAGTAGGCATGGCTTTGAGCCAGCCGGTCAGCCGGCAGTGAGTGTGTCAGCTCTGTTCGGCTCCAGGGAGACCTCCTCTGGAAGAGGGCTTAAAAGACGTCCAGTTGTGTGTGGAAAAATCCAAGGCAACCCAAATGAGAACACTCCCAGCCCAGTCCAGGTGGAGAGGAGCAGACACTAGTGTGTGAGTGCCATTAGAGCCTCCAGTCTAGAGTTGTGTTGCTACAGGAGAGTTTAGTTTTTAGCTCATATAAAATAGCCGTGCATAATAACAGTTCAGGTCGGCGATGATGAATGAGCCAAAAATGTATTAGTTAGGGTTAAAGATAATAAAACAGTGTTTACAAAACCTTCAGAAATCAGATGAAATCCTGTTTTAATTATTCATTAGTTGTTTATAAGTGAAATTCTTCCTTTTCTTTGTGTTTGTTTTTTTTCACAAAGCTTAAGAATTTGAAACTAGTAAAAACTACTTATAGCGCTACTTAAAGAATCACGTTGCCTTGTCTGACACCCCCCCCCCACCCCCCCCACCCCGCCTCTAAAAAATTAACATTTTCTGGCCAGTGACAAAAAGTCCAAATATAGAAACAAACAGCCGGTTGGGGATTAAAAATCTGATTATAAAGAGTATTGAATTGGCTGCAGTTTATTTACAGGAGACGATACAACAGATGGGCAAGTTTTTTAGTTAGTTAAATACTGAAGATTGTACTTGTGTGTGTGTGTGTGTGTGTGTGTGTGTGTGTGCCTCCCAGATTGGAGACGTTGATGGTTCATCTGGTAATCTGACAGGATCCCAGGATTTACAGCTGACCTTTCCACCTCAGTCTCAAGCTACAGGTACGTTTATATTTAATCCCTGCTGGTGTGTGATGTTCACGCTGTCCGAAGGAACCTTTTCATGTTCCACGTTAACCGTTTCTGAAGCTGAGCTGTGTCGTGCTCATGTTGCCTGTCAGGTGCCCCGATGTTGTCCCGTCTCCTGGAGGCAAGTCCCTCCCAGTTTTCCACCCCGTTTGGTTTTATGGTCGGTGCCGATTCCGCCTCAGGTGTTTCCGTCTCTGCAGCCACTCCTGCTGCTGTTGACTCTTCCGTTTCAGCCTCTACAGGTTTGTCCACTTTCACCTGTGCAGTCCAAAAACCAAACCCTGTCCTGTTTGCTAGTGTTTCAATTCAAACAGGGACATTCAACACACATCACAAAATATAATTAAATTAATGCTTCTATTTGAAAATTATAAAGGCTTCCTGAACAGCCTCTGTATGAAGAAATAGAGTTTATGTCTGATGAGACTGACGAGCTAGTGGCGTATCTGAATGCAGCCATTTCGTAAAGTAATACTTAAAAATTAGCTTAATTTATTTTCTATGCCTGTTTAACAACGTTCTAACATAGAATAACTATAAATACGTTGTGGAAAAGAAAGAAATATAATGAAGTTGTTCTTGCATTTGTCTAAAAATCTCCGTCAATAACACGTTTCGGACCTAAAGCAACTACTGGACCATCCGGTTGTTGGTCTCGCCGAACCGCTGGGTCCTCCACTCATTACACACTCGTGTATTTAGCAGCAGAACACTGCTGGTGTGAGAGGTTCTCCGCTCAATAAAATCAAAGGAGACACAGCCGGCTGCTACCACTTCAACTTTAGTATAGAGTCCCAAAAAAAAAAAAAAAAACACCATTTGAAGTCACAGACAACAAAAGATGTTTGGATCTAGAAAACGGTGGCTGGTGTTTAGCGCCATCTTGTTTCATCTGGCGTCGCGGGTTTCCAGTTCCAGTAGAAGTGTCTCAGGGAAGATCCCCGGGGAGAGGGGTGAGTGATCGTGTTTGTGTTCAAAACCTAGCTTGTTTGTAGATTTGCTAAAACAGCTTTAATACATTTTCCCATTTCTCCCTCCTACTGGTTGAAAGTGGAATTACAACTGCCGTAAACAACTCTACTGCAGCCTGCTGTAGCTAGCGTTAACAACGAGCTAACCCTAACATGAGCCAGCTGATACTAAATAAACCACAAAGTAAAAAAGATCAACACTATTGGACTAAAGTATTTTTACCTAAAAGTCCAGTAGCAACAAAGCAGGGTCACCATCAGTCCCTGATTTCGTAGCCTCCTTCAGCTTCTTCAAACGAGTGTAGGCTGCACCGATGTTCACTCTGGTTTTAGCTTCGCCTCCAAAAACATTACTCTCTTACGTTTACTTCCCGCCTCCGCCATGATGACAGCAATAGTTTAAAGTGTTAAAACTCTTTAGTGTTTCTTCACAAAGGCTTCGATCTCATAAATGAAATTATTTATTTACAAACAACTACATTGCTGCAGTGCATGGTTAATTTGGCACTGTAATTAAGAATTTCCTGCCAAATTTTCACCCCTAGAATGTAAATAACTGCGGTGCTAAATTGACCAAGGCATAAAGATTTATAAAAGAACATCTGCATGAACTGTTATGAGGCTTTGTAGAGTGGAGTCGTATTGGAACAGCTTCATACATTTGTTCATGCTAGCCGTTAGCTTATCAGTCCTGTTGGACATAATGCCTCTCACTCCAAAAAGAGGCCACTCTGGAAGCTTTCTGCAGGAGGTTAGATGACCAATGTTAACTTTTACACAAAAACACTCATCCTACATATCCCTCGAGGCTTTGACGGCTAATATTTGGTGTTGAAAATGTTCCGAGGTAGATGTGACGGCGCTGTCTCATCCTCCTGAGAGACACCCTGGATCTACTGAAAACAAGGAAACAGAACTCAGTGAGGAGGACGTGACCGTGCCCTACATAGGAGACGAACTGGACCTGAAGACAGTTGGAGACATAATCGCCATCATCGAAGACAAGGTTTAAAAACAATGTACAATGAAATGAACGGGCCCTTTAAGAAGGTTTTTTTTTTAACCTAAATAGGCAGCTTTATTAGTTTGCTCAGTGACTTGGTGAGCTATTAAACAGGTTTTTAGGATTCTGAGGTGTGTTTTTTATCCTGCAGGCAGATGAGGCTGCAGAAGCTTTAGATGCTGCTGCAGTAGAAGCTGCTTTGTCCCTCTGTGAGGAGAACAGCCACACTCTGGCTGGATCCTGGGGTACCGGGCCCTTCCAGGCCCAAGAGCCTCACCCCACCATGCCTGCACAGTCCTCAGCTCACCACTGTAGTCTGGAGGCCGGTGCAGAAGCTTCACTTTCCTCTCAATACAACAGTCAAGACAACAGTATCTCAGTGTTTCCTGTGGAACTAAGAAGCCTCCCTCCCCCCTCCTCATCCTCATGCAACTCAAACACTTTGGAGCAATGCCACAGTGCAACGCCTCCTCTGTCTGAGGCAGCAAAAGAGACTGGGGAGACAGGGGACACAAGCAAACACATTTTAATGGATGGTAGCACAGAGAGTGAAAATAAGCCTCAACAAAAATGTGGAAAAAGCTACAGAGGTATGCACACCTGCATTTATGCTTACATGCTTCATTACATACAGGTTAAGAATAACTACCTCTCTTGTTGTCTTGACAGAGTCAGAATTAGAAGACAAGCCTCCAACAGGCTGGCAGCCCAAGGTAAAGTAATTAGGTTTGCTAATGCACTGAAACCTGTAGTTTAAACCTCCACCTGTCTGTTCTAGGAGGTAAAGGTGGAGGAGGGAAACAGTGCTGGGGATGAAGAGGGGGCTTCTGAGACAAAAGCAGACAGGGAGGTCATCGATCCAGATGAATGTGAGGAGGAAGAAGAAGAAGAGGAGGAGGAAGATGAAGAAGACGAAGAAGGTGATGATGGAGTGGAAGAGTTCTTCTCAGAGCCAGATGGGGAAGCCGAGCTGGAACCTGCAGCCAGTGAAAGTGAGGACGGATACAGTCTCCACACGGCGTCCTCGTCTCTGCAACTCCACACCACAGCAGACTCGATTCCCAGCAGCCCTGCTTCATCACAATTGTAAGTGGCACACATTTACAAACACCCAGATGAAGGAAGCCCTGTTTGTTTGGGAGGTGGTGACAGGCGCCTGCAAGATTTCCTGCCTAAACACATTTGAATTTCTTCCACTTGCTTCTTTTCTACCATCATGCTTCAGTTCTATGTGCAGCGAGGACCTCGAGGCCCTGCAGGCACACAAGATCTGGAAGAAGGCCATAATGCTCGTGTGGCGTGCTGCTGCCAATCACAGGTCAGAAAACAACTGAACTCTACTGATCCACAGCTTCTGTTTACCCCTTTACTTTATTGATTTTATGTGAATCTATTGCAGGTATGCAAACGTGTTTCTTCAGCCAGTAACAGATGAAATTGCACCTGGATATCACAGTATTGTGCACAGGTAAGTACAGGCTTTATTTTAAAGTAACACTGAATGAGTTCCTTGCTTCTCTGCTCTACTGGTGGAAAGCAGAGTTAAAAATGTTGAAAACAACCCCGTTAGTGCTGCTGTAGGACTAACAAGGAGCTAACGCCAACAACGAGCTAACACTAACATGAGCTAACTGATTCTAAATAAGCCACAAAGTGAAAAGATCCACACTTTTGAACAAAAAATGTTACAAGTCCAGTAGCAACAAAGCCTGGCCATCATCAGTCTCTGATTTCTTAGCCTCCTTCAGCCCCCTCAAACAAGTGTAGGCTACACCAATGCTACTCTGGTTTTAGCTTAGCCTCCAAAGACGTTACCCTCTTACGTTTACTTCCAGGCTCCACCACGAAGCCAAAAAAAAAGCTAAATAATTTATCTTTTTTTGGTGGAGGTGCGGTCTATGCCCTCCCTTCCCTTTTCACCCTGTGTCGGAAAACTCGGCTACTGCAGTTAACCTGCTGCTGCCGGGGCAGATGGCTCCTCTGATGGCATTTCCTTGCCTTACCTTATGGGCCATTCCCATCTGTACCGGGTCGGCCCGGGCCGGGTAGTGTAGGTTGTTTACATATCTGGGTGGCCTGGTATTTTTCCGGGCCAACCAAGGCTCATTCTCAGCCCTCTTCTCGAGGGGGTCTGCTTCAGGCCGACCAGGGCCAACACACCCACTGCTGACAGCAAATTCACACCTTCCATTAGAGCAAGCCTCTGATTGGTGGGTAGAATCAGCCCACATGGGCTTAAGGCAAGGATGTGTGGAATCAACCGGGCCAGGCTGGGGCCGACTGGGGCTACCCGGCCCGGGCCGACCCGATACAGATGGGAATGGCCCAATATAGTGCTCATCTGAACTCAGCCCAATATCATTTTTTCTGATTTTCTTAAGTGTGTGTGTGTGTGTGTGCCAATGCTTTTAAACTGTTGTGGTAGAGATGGGAGTGTAGGGTCATTTTAATCTGTAAAGCACTTAGTTGCATTTTTTGTAGGAAAAGCACTTTATAAATAAAGTTTGGTTGGATATTTACTGACAGTCTACAAACAGAAAAAGATACCTGCTAGCTTTTATATTAGCCACCGGCACAGTAAACAGCTATTGCTGTAAAGCAATGGCCACTAGTGTTCTTACCCGAACCACAAAACTGCTAAGTGCAGTTTCTGGTCAGCAGAGGGCTGCAGAGAGGTGTCACATTGCTCAAGAACCACTGAAGTCAGTTTGAAAGCAATAGCTTAAAGTGTTTAAAAGCCTTTAGTGTTGCTTTAAGGACTAAAGGAGTCCCATCAGATACCACAGATTTAAACTCTTAGCACTTCTCTCTCTCAGGCCCATGGACCTGGCTACCATCAAGAAAAATATAGAGACCGGTTTGATTCGGACCACTGCCGAGTTCCAGCGAGACATCATGTTGATGTTTCAGAATGCGGTCATGTACAATGGCCTGGATCACGACGTGTACCACATGGCTTTGGAGATGCAGCGAGATGTCCTGGAGCAGGTCCAGCAGTTTCTAGCGACCCAGCTCATCATGGAGACGTCAGAATCTGGTATCAGCGCCAAGAGCCTGAGGGGCCGCGAGGGTGCGCGCAGACAGGACTCTACTGACAAGGTGCTTCACTAGAATTTTGACAAAAGCAGAGAGTACAGAAGAAGAGACCAGGGTAAGGCATCAGGGCGACATGAAGGTTAGAGGCTCGCTAGCATAACGCATGATATCATGACAGCTACTGGTTTTATACGCCACGAAAATCATGTAGTCATCCAGAACCTCCTCATAAATCTAGTTAATCAAAAATGACACCAAGTTTCACTCTGATATTTCATCTCTTGGTTTGCATCATTAGGACATTTAAAAAAGGAGCGAAAGAGAATGGAATCAATAACTCACAATAAACAGTCTCAGCTTTTTCAGCACATTAACTGAAAAGAAGATAGCAGGTTCATTCCAAAGTTGCTTTAATGACAAAGGCTAAGAAAAATGTACGATGTGTGATATTTAACCCAAACTTCTGATAAGTGCCGGGTTTGGAGTAGCAGTCCAGTGTTTACACACCAAAGTAGAAAATGGTTAACTTTGTTCTGTTAATGCAGTTTAGCCAGAAATCTGTTTCCAAATGTATTCCAGCAGTAAGCTCATCTGTAGATTAGGTCAACGTTTATTTTCCTGCTCAGACCTCTGACCTCTGCATCGTTTCCCTCTTACAGGACACTGTGTCAATGTCCTCACCAGCCTTCCTCCTCTCTCTTTTTGTGAGTAATTATTTTTCTATTGAAGCCAGAAGATTTAAAGCAACACTAAATAGGTTTTCCACTTCTCTAGCACTGGCGCTAACACGAGCCAAGTGATACCAAATAAGCCACCAAGTAAAAAGATTAACACTGTTGGACATATTATTACATGTCCAGTAGCAACAAGGCCAGGTCACCATCAGTCCCTGATTTTATATCCTCCATCAGCTTCCTCAAACAAGTGTAGGCTGCGCCAATGCTCACTCTGGTTTTAGCTCTTTGCTTCACCTCCAAAGACCATTATCAGACAAAGAAGTTGTTTTCAAAAGACATATTTTAAAATTTTCTATCTTTATGCACAAAAAACTGTCAAGATCCAAATATGCATGCTGGATTTAAAATCCTGTCTTACTTTTACTTCCAGGCTCCGCCTTCATGCCAACAAAAAGGCAAAATTCTTCCTCTGATTCTTGGGCTTTTTAATGATGGTCAAAAGGCTGAAAAGGCTAACTGCTAGCATTTATATGAGCTACCAGCACAGTCAACAGCTAGTGCTATAAAGCAGGTATAACCTTGCACTGAACCACAAATCTTAAGTGTGAAAGAGTAGAGCTGGCTCAGAATGACCCCTGGACGCCTACCGGGGGAGGTGTTTTGGGAATGTCCTCCTGGCATGATTCCCCCGGGTCGTCCCAGGGCATTCTGGAGGGACCACATCTCCAGGCAGGCCTTGGCCTGGGAACACCTCAGAATCATTCCATTGGTGCTGGTAGAGGTTGCTGAGGAGAGGGCAATTTTGGCCTCAATGCAGGGGCTGCTGCCCCCATGACCCGGTTAAGCGGACAAAAACGGATGAAGACCTTCAGCTTTTTTAAAAAGATGAAAAGTTCAACATGGTTCACATTAATTTTGAGGTCCAGGCCATTTAAATACACACTGGTGAGACTCCAACAGATTTATGCCCTTTTTGGTTGATTTCTTTGTCTTTGGTTGTAGGATGGTGGCACCAGAGGGCGCCGCAGTGCCATGGAAGCTGACTTGAAGATGAAGAAATAAAGATCCAGTGTGGAAATGTTCCCAAGAGTGTTTCTGGGATGAAGTGGCAGACTAAGATTGTTGGTGAGATTCCCAGTCTGGACTTTTTACTCGATCGTTAGATTGACTAACTGTGATGTGGATACACTTCTTCCAAGAGACACGTTTGGACATGGGTCTGTATATTTCCAGATTCCTTTGGGGAATTTGGGTAAACTCTTCCTAGAAATAACTGCCGATCACTTTAACCCCCATCAAGCTGTGTACAGAACCAGTTCAACCAGTTGGAGCCATCTTCTCATTCAAAAATAAACCAAGAAGAGAGTCCCAGCATGGGTGTTGTTCTGCACATGAAGACAAAAGTACTTCCTCACCATTGGGTAGACACGATTCTGTTGAACCAACGGTCAAAGAGTCTGATTAGCTTTCATGTTTTATTAATTTAGTGATCAGAGGAAGCGTTTGTTGGTATTCAACTCATTTCCTGAAACTTTTAGATCATTTCACATATGGCTGTTTTAGTGTTGGGTTTATTTTGTTGTTGTGTACTTCTAAGTATATTTGTTTGGAGCTATTTTCAGTGCTTTAGAAAAAATGTGACAACAGCAGTTTTGGTGGATCCGGCAGCAGTATTAACACAATAAAAATATCTCCACAGTTCAAGAACCTTGTCTTGTGAGGTTTTGTGCTTGTGTTAATTTGAGTGGGATTAAGAGTTAGACCGCACACCACCTCTGTGTTTAATGTCATGTTTATACTTCTAAGGTCAAGAGACTCACTGCTTTCGGATGTAGGACCATCGATAACAAATATGGACTTGACTTGTTTAAACTTTCGATCTTAATTAAACTGACAGACTTTTTAATCTCTCCCAGAAGCTGCTGTCTCCTGGAGACACAGCTGTTCTAACGATTTCTAGAGCAAAAACATGCTGTTCATTCTAGAGACAGAGCTACGAGCCTCCAAGCCTTTGTGTGTTAAATTGTGATTATGGCTTACAGCTGATGAAAACGCCACATTCAAAATCTCAGACAATTGGAATATTGTGAAGAGGTTCAATATTCTAGGCTCAGTGTCACACTCTAATCAGCCAATACACCTGCAAAGGGCTCCTGAGCCTTTAGATGGTCTCTCAGTCTAAATTCAGTTACTGACATAAGCAGAGTTTTGCACCCTATTCTAATTTTTCCACCTTCACATGTATCCTCTCTGGACTGGGAATGCCCAGGAATCCCCCGGGAGGAGCTGGGGAGCGTTTTTGGGGAAAGAAACGTCCTGATTTCTCTCCTGGGTCGGCCACCTCCACAACCTGACCTCAGACAAATTACAGTGGTGATGTCACCCAGGAGCTCTAAATACTCACTTCTCTTCCTTAATAAGTGAATGTCATTCTATTAAAAAAAAAATCCAGTTACAGCTTAAAGCATTATTAGAAATTCAAGGACTCTCAAAACGTCACAACATCTGAGCATTTTCAAGGACTTCCCGTACCCGTAAGCCCAATTTCAGGTTCAAGGTGATGCTTATTGTGTAAACAAACTGGATTCTTTGAATTGATGTCGGTCCCAAACATCAGAGGAATCGGGTTCTTGATCGGCAGCTCAGTCTGAAATAAACCTAGACACATTTGTTGTTTGTTGTGATCTAATGCTGGCATTTATATAGAAAACAATATAATTGTTCATTTAATGATGCAATCACACATGCAGTACTCAATCACAACACAAATACTCATCACACGTCAGCTTTAAATCACATCTTTAATGTTCTGGGATTTTTGGCTTATAAATCTGCTAAATCTCTTCAGCTTATTTCCACAGGGACTGATTCCAGAACCCCACTGGTGTTTCCATCGCAGTAAAGGACTTATATACTTGTGAATAGAGGCCGACCGATATATTCAACTTTTTCTAGATCAGCCAAAATCATTTTTAAAAGCAGATTTTTTTTAATAATCAGGCACCTGTGTGGCCAACTGCCACCAATCCTAGACTGAAGAGAGGACCTGAAGGACCCCAACACTGTTTTTTTAATGTTTTGAGTTTGTTTTAGATTTCAAATTCAATAAATATTAAGAAATTTATTGAATTCATATTGCACACAGTGAGTGTTCAGTTGTCTTTCACAATCAATCAATGTGCTTAATAATTGGCTTTAGATATCGGCCATCGGCAACAAAATTCATAAAAAAATCGGTATCGGCCTCAAAAAGCCCATAGCGGTCGGCCTCTACTTGTGAACGCAGTGATTCTGAATATTCATGTCCATTTTACATTTATAGTCATCAATATGGCATTTGTCAAATAAATAAATAAATAAATAATATGCAACAAACTAACAGTCACTGGGATGCATGCAACAGTAACAAGATTAAACAACTGAAAAGTGCTGAAGATGAACCTGATTTTTCACCACGATGGTATCAGCTAAGGCAGATTGGCAGACTTGCATGGTTAGTGCTATTGTCAGCATGGGGGTAATTTGGGGCAAGTCTAAAGTAAGACAAGTTTCCATAATTCAATTCAAAAATACTTTAATAATCCCAGAGGGACGGCAGCAGTATCCCGCTGAGTACACTGCAAAAACTGATTTTTAAAAGCATCGGGTTTAGACATTGGATCTGATTCATCTAAAACGGTTCTGATCCGCAAAGGCAGCACTACTTGAAATAAGGTAAATATTCTTAAGTTTGATCACATTTTTCACCAACAGGTTAGGCAAAAGTTGCTTGACTAGTGGTTTTTATTAGAGTTGTATGGTTTTTGCGGATGAGAACTTTTTTTTTTTTTTACACCAAAAATTAAAAATTTGGCTTTTTTACTGAGTTGAAAATCAGACGTTGCAGTTTCTGACCTGAACGGACAAACTTAGCTTCTGATCAGAGGTCTGGTCACATCTGGCCAAGTTTAGATCTTCAGAGCTAAATCTTTAGAAAAGGGGTCGTACAAAGTAACAATTAGAAAACGTTTAGAAATTTAAGAGGAAAGACATTTTATAAAAACTTGTTTATGCGTGTCATTTAAGACCAGGTAGCCTTTTACACACCGCCTGTGCTCCGGTTCCTCGTAACCATTAAGAAACATCCAATAAACACTGGAGTGTGACTGGGAAGTTCACTGAACCAAGTGAAAATGTGACCCAACAATCTAAAGGACCCAGCAGAGACCTGGGTGCTCTGCTCTTATCCACCAGGGTGAGTTTCTGTAAAACAGCTTGTGTTGACCCCATTTGAACCTCTTCATCAGCGGGCGGGGTATTTGACAGAGCAAGAGGCTAAATGATCAGATTTGTAAAAGCTTATTTCACTACACAAATGTGCTCTGATTTGTCTAAACACGTTAGATCTTTGTACTCGTTTCCTACAGAAAAAAGATGAGCTCAACAACAATTTCTTAAACTACCAAATAAAGACGCCTTTTGATTTCAGCAGACACAAAAGTAAACACAGATAAACTACGAATCCGAAACGCGTGAACCATCCGACTCCCCCGTAGCCCCAAACGGAGATTACGTTTGTTAAACCATTTCTATAAGAAAGTCTGAAGGCTGTGAGACGTTAAAGTCTGCGCTCCGTGCCGCTAACGTCACAGCTAACATGCAACTCCAGTTTCTGCCACTGAAGAGAAGACAGAACGTTTCCAGCAGCAACAATTCCCACTGACTGCATTGTAACCCCACAAATGTCTTTAAAAAGTGGCCAGGTATTGTAAATTACACACTTTACTAAAGAAACATTTCCTCCACTTTTACAGTCCTCATTTCACTTTCTGCCGACCAACCAGTCGCTGCAGTTTCTCACAGTTGTCCAGCCTCATCGACTCGGCCTTCTGCTTTAGCCGTTCATCACGGTAAAGTTGTCCCAGGTTTGCCAGGTCTGACTCTGAACAGAAAGAGGAAAAACAGACGTTTATCAGACTCTTTTCTTATGACTTTCCGTTAAAGATCTATTCCACTAGTTTTTTTAAATTATTCATAAAAATAATAAAAATACAGATTCTCAGAGAACTCAGCCTTTAAGTCAGCAGCTTGTTAGCCTAACGCGTCTTAGCAAAGAGAAGTGGGTAGAATCAGAGGACGGGGAACAAGGACTCTGCAGGAATCTGCTGCTGGTTCCAGCACACTGATGCACACATGCAGCTCAAACTGGTGGTCCAACTCTATCATGTAATAACGAGTCTCTTCAGTTCTTTTTAGGAACTCTAGGTTTGGGTTTTTTAACCCTGGGGTTCTATTTGATAAAGGTCTGGCCCAAAAGGACCATTTTCTATATTATTTAATTCTCTTTGTTGTGGTTAAGCTGACTTACCTCTGAAGTATCAAGCAAGTTTAATAAATGTCTAAAAATAGAGAATTTAAAAAGGTCCTGATTTTTATGTACAGGTAGATTGTATTGTTGATACTCTTCTGTTCTGCTGGCATCGCTTTAAACTTACTGAAGTAATCGTAGTTTTCTAAACGACTGGAGATCCACTAAAGAAAATCACACATCCCTTCTGAACGGTGGTCGAAGCGATGAAAGCGGCCTGAACAAAATCCTACATCTGTTGTCAGGTATTCTGATCCTGGTCCTGCAGCAGGTTTCTTTACATGTTCCAGCTCCTTCTACAGATGTCAAACAGGATTTGGACTCATGTAAGGTCACTCCAGAACAGTTCAGTTTTTGCTCCTGATCCATGCTTGTGTGTGTGCTGTTGTGTTTTGGGTCATTTGCCTGTTGGGCATTGAACCTGGCTCCAGAAAGCCTTGGTAGTCTTGAGACTTCATTTGGACCCTGAACAGATGACACCGAGTACCAGACGCGGCCCCAGAACAGAACCGAGCCTTCTCCGTGTTCCACAGTAGCTCCAGAGCTCTTTTCTTTAGTAGCTGTGTTTTTGAACAAGGAGCAGACGTGAGGTCCCAAAAAGCTCCATCCCTGCCTTGTGTGTCTAACGGACAGAAGCTTTGTGCCACGCCAACATCCATTCAGTTTGCAATTATTTCAGTGATCATTGTGGGCTTTGGTTAGAGATGTGTACCTTTGACATTTGAATCAATAACGTATCAATTCCTGGCACCTAGGAATTGATACCGGTACCAATTTTCAATACATTTGAGTGTTTCATAATTTATTAAATCACTTTTGTACTTAAATATTTAAAAAATTTAAACCATATTTGATAAATATCATGATAAATAGCTGTTTGTATTTTATCATCGTAGTGTTGTACAAAATTCTTCAACATGAAAACTTTAACCACAACCGTTTCTAAATGATGCAAAAACTAAAACCCAGCTCCATGTACTCCTAATCCTCTCCTATGCCCTCTGGAATAACTCTGATGAGGAGAACATGCATTATAAACTACAAATGAAACTAAATTAAACTTTGACCCCAAATAACTGTTTATATTTTAATATTGTGGTGTTTCACTAACTAAACCAGCTCCACGGACTTCTTTCTCCTCTAGACAAACTGTGATGGTGGGTTTTTGTAGTAGGGATGGACAATATATCGGCATCAATATCGGTGTAGTGGATATTTGTCCATAAAACTTAAACAGCAATCGGTATTGGCCAGTGCTAGTCATTTTTTAACATATCGATATCGGTTCGATAAATAAAATCGGGCTGATATTAACAAGCGATATTTTTTCCATCTCATCTCCATTTGTTTGCCTGTTTCAGGTGTGTGTGTGTGTGTGTGTGTGTGTAATTGTTTAGTAATGTGAACAGTGAATGAAATCATCTCAGAAGCGTAAATGTGTGTGTTGTGTGTACATAATAACATAAATTCATCTTTAATAATTTTCATTCTGTACAAAATCTGCTGATTTTAGAAGCATTAATGTCAGCATATCGGTATCGGTTATCGGCCAGAACAGTAATCTTAATATCGGCATCGGCCCAAAAATGTCATGTTGGTGCATCACTACTTGTAGTTTTTTAAATTGCTAATTAAACTGAAGCAAACATCTTTACTGTGAACTAAATTTACTGCGTCTTCATTCCTGTTGCTGTTCTTTTTCAAACTATTGATTTTTTTCCTACTCCGAAGTCAAAATTTCAGAGTTCTGAGAAGTAAGCAAACGCACCATTAGCTGATGCTAACAGAAGCTAAAATATCAAGCTAACGTTATCTTAAACAGTTTAATTTACCTGCTGGAGCGGATTAGGATGATGCCTCACTTAGATCATCATCATCACCATCCAGTCACCCATCGCATTTACTGAGGCTTTCTCTCTGCCCTGCTACTTGCTGTTTACAGCTCGCCCGCTGCAGCTAACGACATTATGCTCTTACATGTGCTGCTGTCTATCTCAGCAAATCGCTGTCTCGCAAGTTCTCATGAATGAAGGAAAGGTACTGAACTCTATGGTACCAAACCAAGTTTGGTACCCATCCCTGGTTTTGGTACCAATAAATGTAAGTTCATTTTATTGAAATCTAAGTTTAAGAACTGATGCAAAAGTAAAGAACAATTGAAACGGGTCAGCCCGAGCTTTTGGATGATTACTTTTACACAGAGGAAAGCCAAGTCATACAGTGTAATGTCTAGAACTGAAAATAGGATAAAACATTATTAAATAGATTTGGATCAAAACCTGAGCCTCATGAAAATGAACATGTAACAAACTCTCCCCAACATCAGACAGCTGTTGGCCTACTTTGCTGTTTTTCCTTCCAGCAGCTGCTCTGGAGGTGCTCCACGTAGTCGCTCTCAATAGTTTTCTCCAACTCCTCCAGCGCTGCTCCCCGGTACTCCTTCTCAAAACTCTTGTCCACAAAGTACGGTACACCCATGTGCTGCGTTTCTCTGGACACCACCAGCCCCAAGGCCCTGCAACCACAGTCACAACACTTCACTCAACATAGTTTAAAGCAACACTAAAGACTTTTGAACACTTTAAGCTTCTGCTTTCAAACTGGTTTCAGTGGTTCTTGAGTCAAAAACTTGAGCAGCTTCATAGTAGCTACGTTTACATGGGCACAAGTAATCCGAATGAGCGGTCTATCTGATCAAAAACTCTTCATGTGAACATGTCAGTCGGAATACTCTGATCCAATAAGGCCCGACGGAATGAAATTCCATTCCAATTGAGAGAGGTGGTTCTGTCCAATCATCATTCCGATTGACGTCCATGTACACACTCATTCAGATTCTTGGAGTAGAATGATGCCCACTGCACGTGAGTAACTTCGGAGTGACGCCTTTCTGCCTTTGCAGCCACTCAGGACAAGTGGAAAACATGGTGGGAGGTAGACAGAAGTTATCCTGCTCTCCTCTCCTGTGGCGGAGGAGCAGTAGCATTACGTACCGCTGAGCCTGCAGCCTAGTTAAGGCGATCAGTAAAAACAAAAGCATGGAGGTAAAAATGCAAAGGTCCATAACCGGGGGGTGGGGGTGGGGGAGTGTAGGTCAACGGACAAAGCTAGAGAACTAGAAAATAAAATGCCAGGAGAAAGACATGCAGACAAGATAGTGTTTATTTACTTTTTTTTCCCAGGAAAGACAACTCTACGCATGCTCAACCTATTTAATGCTTGGTGAATGTAGGGATGGGCACCTTTGACATTTGAATCGATATGGTACCAATTCCCAGTACCTAGTAATCGATACCGGTACTTAAAGAGCAAGTCACCCCCAAAAAAAGTATTTTTTGCTGATAAACTATATAAATTAGTGTCTGATCGTGCTGCAGACACGTGTAGTCAATAGTTTTGCACTTTAGTGCATTTTAGTTAAAATTAAAATTTTCTGCCTAAAACTGTCCGTGTTGTGCCGTTGTCAGGTAAAAACTCTGCACGGCATTTGAATTTAAATCTGCCATTGCTATTGGCTAAGAAGTACACAGTGACGTTACATTATGTCACCATGTCGTTGTGAGCCTGTGTGTGTGTGTGTGTGTGTGTGTGTGTGTGTGTGTGTGTGTATTTGTTAGTGGCTCCGCCCTCTCGGTCTGCTATGCAACAGCATTTGTTGCATTTTTCAAACAGGAAGTGGGAGCCGAGTAATACTCTGGTAGGGGGTGACTTGCTCTCTAACGGTCCTAATTTTCGATACTATTGAGTGTTTAATAATTATTTAAACCGCTTTAATTAATAATAAATATGTATTATTTTCCCAATGTTTAACCAAATTTGATAAATATCAAGATAGATAACATACAAATGTTCATCATTGTAGTGTTGTACAGAATTCTTCAACATGAAAACTTTAACCACAACTGTTTCTAAATGATGCAAAAACTAACCCAGCTCCATGTACTCCTAATCCTCTCCTATGCCCTCTGGAATAACTCTGATGAGGAGAACATGCATTATAAACTACGAATGAAAGTAAAGCAAACTTGGATACTATACACAACAGTTTGTATTTTAATATTGTGGTGTTTCACCAACTAAACCAGCTCCCTGTACTCCTTTTCCTCTCCCTTCTTCTCTGGACAAACTGTGATGGTGGGTCCTTGTAGTTTTTATAAACTGCAAATTAAACTGAAGCAAACACCTTTGCTAAACCAAGTTTACTGCGTATCTTCATTCCTTTTGCCGTTCTTTTTCAAACCGTTTATTTTTCCTACTCTGAATTTGGAATTTCCGAGGAGAATGCGAACGCACCATTAGCTATGTAAACAAAAACTAAGCTAACGTTAGCTTAAACAGTTTATTTACGTACCGCAGAAGATTAAGATGAGGATGCCTCACTTAGATCATTGTTGCTGGTTTCATCATCACCCAGTTACCCACGCCATTATTTCTGTTAGTGTCCGTATAAACAGAGATTTGGGATTTACGATCAACCAAGACTCGAATCGGATAGGGGGGATTTGGCGCATGTAAACGTAGCTATTGGACATCACTCTGTAGCCCTCTGAGTACCGTCACCTGCACTGAACAACTTTATGGTTTGGGTCGGTACACCAGCGGAAGGTCTGTTTTACAGCAATGGCCGTTTACTTTACCAGGTGCTAATGCAAAGGCTAACAGTTAGCTTTTTTAGTTAACCGACCATCAATAAAAAGCACAAAAAGAAGAATTTTGCTTTGTTTGTTGGCATCATGGAAGAGCTTGGAAGTAAAAGTAAGAGACTAATGTCTTTGGAGATAGAGTAAACATTGGCGCGGCCTACGTTTGAGGGAGCTGAAGGAGGTTACTAAAACACATACTGATGGTGACTTGGAATTGTTGCGACTGGACTTCAATTCGATTCAATTCAATTCAAATTCAAAAACACTTTATTAATCCCAGAGGGAAATTGATTGCTGTAGTAGCTCAGGACAATAATAATAATCAAGTCGTCAAAGAGTTATTGTATATTACAATGGCTGTTGGCAAGAAGGATCTCCAGTAGCGGTCAGTGTTGCAGCGAAACTGAAGAAGCCTCTGACTGAAGACACTCTTCCGTTGTCGGACAGCCTTGTGAAGAGAATGCTCAGGGTTGTAAGTAATAATTTTTATCCAACAGTGTGGATCTTTTTACTTCTTGGTTTATTTAGCATCAGTCACTCCTCGTGTTAGCGTTAGCTTGTTGTTAGCGCTAGATGCAGCATGCTGTAGTGGGGTTGTTTAGGACAGTTGTAGAAAGAAGTGGGAATCTTTAAACCACGAAAAGTTCAGGTTTGATTTTAAACTCACGGCTTGTAGAAGAGACTGTAGGGCGGATTAGTGGCCATCATCTGAGTAAACACTGAAATAAGGATCAACACCAGCACGGGGAGAAGCTGCAGAAGAGCTGTGAAGGTGTTCTGTGGGAAGAGAAGATCAGCAAAAATGACCATTACAGTCTGTAGGCTGATTCTGAGGTAAACAGCCCATTGCGTAGGTGGTGTTGGTGCAGCACTAGTTAAACATATCAGAGCTAACTTATAGGTCGTACCCTAGTTGGAAGCTGTCTTCCAAGGTTCCTTAGTGGTTATGTTGATGATGAGGTTATGTTTATTTCACCTCCAACAGCAAATATCAACATGAGAATGTTTCATCAGGAATCGGTTCTTATGTTCAGTGAGTCACTGACCTGACTCTGGTTGTCCTCTACCACCTCCTCACGCCTTTCGTGAGCACGCCGACGACGAGGCTGATAGAACTGGGAGTAGGAGGTTCCCTGGTTTGTGTAAACGTGAACGTTTCCTGTAGACATTTCATACAAATATTACAATAATACACGTTGTTGACAACAATAATGATGTAAACTCCAGGTACTGACAGAGTTGATCTGTCTGCATTTGAAGTTGTAATCTGACCTAAACCAGCATTAGGACATACAAGTGAGTATTTGCTCATACAGGTGGAGGGTTTAATATCTGGTATCGTCTTCATCGTGAAATAAAATGTCACATTTTCTGCTTTTTTCCATCCAATCTGAACCATAAACAGTGTCATCGAGTCATGAGTCAAACAGGAAGTTTGATCAAGTTCTGAAAGGTTTCTCCCCTACATTAGAAAATATTACAAGAAACCCCAAAACAAACAGAGTTAAATGGAAGTTGGAACAAGGGTGAGTGTTGGACCTGGTATCAGGACATCCCTGAATACAAAGAACCCTTTCCAACAAACCTGTGGGGAACCTCCCTCCAAAGAAAATGTTGAAGAGTTCTTCAGGGGAAATGTCAGCCTCAAAATCTTTGTAGAAGGTTCGGTAGTGTCCAGAGCGACCGTGGCTGGAGGGCTGGGGAGTGGAGGAAGCTGAACAGTGATCTCCGTACTGATCATACTGCTGCCTCTTCTCAGGATTGCTTAAAACTGCATAAGCGTTACCTATTGCTGTTGGGAGAAAAGAGCAAACATGCAGAGTTAGCTTTAACTTTAGAAACGAGAGCCCCATCAGCACTGGGCCTGAGGAGTGTTTTTATCATTATTATGATTACGTTTTCCCGTGTTCTCTCAAATGATCAGAACAAGGATGTAAAGGAAACCTCAAAAATAACGTCTTGGTTACATTTTGTATTCAGTCCAAATTAAGAATGTCACCACAGCAAACTGACATTTGCATACCAACACTGTCAATTTCGGGGGCAGCAGTGGCTCAGGAGTCATAGCAGGTAATACAGTAATTGGAGGGTTGTAGGTTTGATCCTGGCTCCCAGCAGAGAGCGTGGCTGTTGTGTCTTTGAGCATGACTCTGCCTGCTAGTGGTGGTCAGAGGGACCGGTGGTGCCTGTGCTCGGCAGCCTCGTCTCTGTCAGTGTGCCCCAGGGCAGCTGTGGCTACATTGTAGCTCATCACCACCAGTGTGCGAACAGATGAATGACGCACTGTCTTGTAAAGCGCTTTGGAGTCCTCCAACTCTGAAAGGCGCTATACGAGCGCGGGTCATTTATCATTATCGATTTAACAGATAAAACCAGAAGCGGTGAGGGTAACTCATCACACACATCATGATTACTAACGGAGTCCACAAAATCTTGTGATTTTTGCTCTTCCTTTTAAAAGACTCAGTCCAGTGACTGAGGCCCAGAGGCAGAGGCTTAAAGGCACCATTTACTTGCTTTTAGCACCCCCTAGTGCCTGTTATTAATTCACCGTGGTTAAACCAATAATGAAACTCTTCTCCTCTCTGTGCGTTCATCTTTTTAACACCTTAATCTAACAGCTGACATGTCTCCCCAGCCTTCATTAGTGTCTACAGGAGCGATTCATAACCAAATCTAACAAACCAGCTTTGTTTAAGATCTAAAACGTGAAGGAAACATGCTGGAAGCAGACTCCAGCTCTACAGCTCCCCCCACCAGCAGGAATCGGACCGGCAATTCTGAACTTGCAAGTGTGACATTCTGGCCACAGAGGGTGGTGGGATCTGAGTGACATTTCATTAACCCAGTAAAGGGCCATTTTAGCACATACTGGCTCAAGAAAACGATTTTAACATATGCAAAGTTGTCTAGTATGCCTTTAAATGTTAATAAATCAGGGGTTTCAATTGTATTAAAATACTTTATCATACATATGTCAATATTGAAAATGAACTCCTACAATCACAATGCAAAGCTTCAAAACCTTTCTCTTGCTTGAGCGCAATCAAACTGCACGCAGCCAGAACACGTGTGTTGTTCCTGAACTAGCCCAGACATTTACTAGTTACCTTTGAATGCATCTGTGGCTCCGGGGGCAAAGTTCTTGTCAGGGTGAAACTTCAGGGCCAACTTCCTGTATGCCTTTTTCAAATCTTCATCACTGGCGTTCTTTTCAACACCAAGGATTTCATAAAAGTCCCTGCAATTCTTTATCCTGCAATAACAACACATGTTGGAAGTCAGAATTCAGGTCTGTAGCAGAGAAGCTCTCTCTGGTGATCCCACTGAAGTGAGCTGTACATTTACAGAGATCCTTTCATCAGCATGATCTCTACAGAACCTGAAAGACTTGAGATTTAAAGGTGCATCTGAAAGAGGATCTCAGCACCTGAGAACACTCTGACGCTGTTCTTCGGTGTACGTCTTCTTCTCATCGCTCGTTCCGTTGCTCTTTTCCTGCTCTCCAACGTCCTCATCTCTCCATCCTGCTGGTGGAGGGATGTGGTTTGCTTCTGCGAATGTGTTGCCTCCGTTTTTCAGTAAGGCATCTATCAACACTGAAATAAGCAACAAAAGCATGTTGGTCCTTTCAAACAAATGTCCCACACAGTGGCAAATTTGGTTTCTTTCAATCTGCTGTGCACACAATTTGCTGTAAAACAAACAAAAAATAAATCAAGTTTTTTCTCTTGACAGACATGTTTCATTTCAATCAAAATTGCACTGAAATCTGTAAAAACCAATGCGTGTGTTCTCATTTCTCACATGAAATTCACCTATTTGAGTTGTTTTAATTATCATTCGTCCATCTGTATGATGTTTGAGAGTTGTATCAATAAGGTGAACTGTAGAATGAGCTGTGTCATGGGCCTAGGAGGAAATGTCTTGTGATCCATGTTCTGATTACTCTGTAACTGCAAAAACCAGATCAGGTAACTGGGATGATGCAGCGCTGGTTTCCAGTCTGCGGTGCTCTCCAGCACTGAGGGGGGAAGGGAGTCCCCAAACAAACACCTAAACGTCAACAGCAAGCCTTCAAATATAGAAAGATTTTAAATCTGTAGCTATTTTTAACCCTCGCTAATCCGAAAACACATTTCCAGCAGGTTGGTAAAAGTTACTTGTTCAGCAAGTCAGGTTGCCACAGCCGAATGTGCGTCAGCTAATTTTACCTCTGGCCCGGGTGCTGGGGTGAACATTCTGCGCCTCATATAGCAGCTGCAGCGCCCGGTCTTTTCGCCCCGACCGTAAACACACCTTCGCCCTTTCTATGAGCCGGTCTGCTTCTTCTTTGTCCATTTCGGTGCTGCGGGGCAAACTAACCGCGGTCAAGAAGGGTTTCTCCCGCAGCAAAGTGAGTCAATATCATGGGAAGCGGACGAGAGGATGAGCCACTACGGCTAACGATATATAGCCGCTAGCTTCGGTTACAGACAGCTGCGTAATGTTAACCAGGCGCGAGCCTGCAGTCACCCAAAGTGCGTCCCGTTATCCGGTTAGCAGACGTTGATTGATGTCCGGCGTGAACGGATCTTCAGTCAGGACATTTTAAAACAACGGAAAGTTTTTAGGGACAGTAGTTTGGGTTTTAGCGTCGTTTAAAGGGACATCTTTTTAAATGACTGGACACCCCCACCTCTCCCGATGGACAAAAGGCAGAAGCGAGAGCACGACGACGTCACTTCCGGTGTAATGAGTAAAATCCATCATCATAAAATGCATCATAATATATATATATATATGTCGATGGTAAAATCTGTATTCAGGCACTGTTTGAAGGCAAGTTAGATGATTATATTTTGTGATACCTCATTCTAATTAAAAGCTTTATGCTATAAATCCAGATGGTTGTGTCAAGTAGCATCAGCAGGTGGAAGAAACAGAAGAAGCTGCTCTGTTGATGCTCAGAGGCGGTCTCTGTACAGGATCTGCTCGGGTGCAGGATCTGCTCGGGGTCGCCGATGACGTCACATTACTGCAAATCTACTCGGCTTTCACACATAAGTTTTGGAAAGGCATCAGCAGTTTTGTTAATAAATTCTTGTTTGTTAACACCTAAATGTTTTCTTTATAATTGTAATTTGTTAATAAAACACCATATTGTCTTTGTTTTGTAAAGAATGTGAAACTGCATAAAACCAACATCGGACTGACAAAAAAAAAAGAACAGTTCTTATTTGTGAATCTGTTTGTATTAATGTGGAGTTCGTCTGTATATTTCCTTAGTTGTTATCTAAATACATTCTTTGACTCAAAATATTGCTTGGTGTCTTTCAGTAAAGTAATTATATTTTATTTTGCCCCATTTCATCAACATCAAGAGCTTTTGAGGGTCACGTTTATCATTTGCTTGTATTTTACATTTCCTTTAGAAATTCATCACATATTTTCTCCAAAAAGTGTTGATTTTTGTACTACAGGTCTACAACCGCTAAGACTACGACCGCAAATTTGTTCTGACCAATCAAAATCATAACGTGATAACGTAACTTCCGTAAGCTTCATGTTCAGCCAATCAACTACTTTGACGTCATCGGCAGTCGAAGGACCCCGAGCTGATCCTGCACCCGAGCCGATCCTGTACCGACAGCGGACATACGGTTGGCAAAGGTAGGGCAGGTGATTGCCTTGGGCCCCAATCAAAAAGCCCGTGATGATTTTATTTTGTTTTTCCAAAATAAATTACATCATCTGATAAGGTATTACTGTAGGCTGCCTCATGTGAAATTCCTGCTTTTACATGCAGTGCCATAAAACTGAATTATTACCTTATTTCAGCTGAAGTCGGATCTTTTAAATGCATGTAAACACCTTAGTTTGGCAGAAGTAAAACTGAACTGGACAACTAATTAAGCTAAGGTACCCAGATAATGTGGTTATGTGAACAACATCCTAGCTTAGCTGAGTTTTTGACCAGCTTGGGTACTCACCCTGTCCAGAGATTTGGTGTTTCATTCAGAACTGGCCATGGATGTGTCTCTGCAACACTTAAACTGCTGAATGACATCATATGTGCCATTGACAATAAGGAATGTTGTGTGGCTGTGTTTGTTGACTTAGCTAAAGCCTTTGACTCTGTGGATCAAAACGTCTTACTTAGCAGGCTCAAACATCTAGGCCTTCCTCAGGCATCCGTGGCATGGTTCAGAAGTTACATCTTAGCCATAGGCAAACAGTGAGAACAGAGGGTTACCAATCTGCTCCTCTACCTCTATCTATGGGTGTTCCTCAAGGGTTAGTACTGGGCCCAACCTTATTCAAAATCTATATTAATGCATTCACTGCCATTAACAACTAAAGTCATTGTTTTAGATCCATACGTATATATACATATATACATACATATATATATATATATATATATATATATATATATATATATATATATATATATATATATATATATATATATATACATATATAATCTGTAGAGAAAAATCTTTGTTCTATTGCTTCTCTTGGTCTAGATTTCTAGGCTGTTCAAATGGCATGTTTGCAGGAAATTCAATTAATCTAGTTCCAAACCACAACAAACAATTTGTTCATGCATATTTTATTCAAGAGTAAAAAAATGTGATTTGTCCCATAGGGCATGCTTACAATTGTGTGTATTATTCAGGAAGTCAAATGCCAAAACATATTTCCATAGATAAAAAATGTTGCAAGATAAAATCCATTATATTTCTTTGTCGAAGTATGCATTTAGACTAAACGAGAACCAGAAACAGAGGATGAAAAGAACCATCAGCTAAATTGTAACAATAATAATAAGAATAATAATATTAGCAGTAAATAGAACCAGAATACAATGTTTCCTGTTAAATGTGCGACACCTGATTTTCTGTGTGTCCTGTTCATTTACATTTGAAAACCATGCTATCATGCTTTGGCAGCCTGAAAAGTTGCTTTTCACTGAGAATATATTCATTCACACTATAGAACATTTCCTGTACATCAGTACAACAGAAAAAATATATATCACAAGGCTTCACACCTTAGAAGGGCATCTCTGCATACAATAAACCAATATAAAATTAAAAGCCATGGTGGTAAAAAAAATGTAAACAAAATAATTATGATAATAAAAAAAATACCAGAAAGTGGACCAAAAACAATCAAAGGAAGCCTATTAATCAAATGTTATAAAACAAGACAAAACTACAAATTTAATTAAAAAAAGATAAATTAATTCAAGTTTACTATTTGAAATACAACTAACACGATTATAACCTCACGTAACAATAGGAACTTAATTGCATGCATTGATGCGTTCCATATCATAGATGCTGTGTTAAGTCACTTTTGTCCATCTATAATTCACATACCTTCATCACTGAAAAGAAATATGTCATGGGATCTGAAAAAATATTAAACAACGAGAAGTTCTAGAAATGTGTTGCTTGTGTGACACAAAGTCAAAGGTTCATCGGTGTTTATTCTAACAACTTCAGTTTTTGACTTCTGTTTTACAATTCTGCAAAGCCACATGGCAGCTATGAAACCATATCTGACCGTTTATGAACATGACTGTTGAATGCATTAGCATCACAGTGAATTTTTATATCTTTTTTTGTTTGACCTCATCTTACTCCATAATTTATCCTGATTTTTATGAAGAAACTTGAATAATCCTGGTTTATTATATAATCGGTTGCATTTCTAAAAAGTTCTTCTTAATTGATTCCTGACCAATTCATTTTAAAAGCGTTGCCAAACTGAATTCTGATTGGGACTTTTTTGGTGGGGAATGTCAAACTAATAAAGGATCTAAACCTGCAAATTTGAACCTTGTTTATTTTTGCAACATTTAAAAATGCATTTCTAGAACTTCCTGTTTCATCAGACTCTTCTTTTTTTGCATAAGCATAAAATCTTCAAATGTTCTGCTCAGCAAAAGTTGTAAAAACTCACAAGTTGCTGATGTGCACGTCACCCTCTGATCTCACTATTTCACTAGTAGCAAGCAGGTGGGAACAAATAAAATGGTGTCTCGTTAGTGGGGTATATCCCGTCGTTCTTCTGTTTTCCTTTATGATCCTGGAACCGATGCTGATGCAGAAGTAAAGTGAGATGATCCACAGTCACCCTCAGAGTGAACACAATTCCATGAAATGAACCGATTTAGTAGTCCTGTGAGGTGAAGTGGGTTTATATGCCATGCAGTTCTGGAGTGAAGTGTTTGAGCAACTTTTGAAAGCGAGGTAAATAAATTTTTAGGATGCTGTGGATAGAAACAAAACCCACTGAGAGTCACTGTTTAATGAAGGGTGATGTCTATAATCTGGATGTTTAATCTGAGGTAATGCTGAGGTAACGCTCCTTTCATCCTCTCTCCTCTTTAATGCCTCAATGAGGTACGTCCTACTGAGAAGTGACTGACTGTAAAGAAAAGAGGAAAGAGGTGCTGCTGGAGATTACTAAGGTGTTAAAGGTGGACTCTGGTGTGTTTTTTCTCCATTGTGAGCACACACGAGTACCTCTTTTCTTGCAGGATGGCAGCATCTTACAGGTAAATCAATAAATGAAAGTCCACTGGTAAGATGGATCACTGCAGATCTAAAGAGGCTTCACTGTTTGCCTCCTTGCATGTGCTATGACCTTATACGAGCAAAACAGTTAGATAAAGATTACTTTCCTCTTGGAGTGCATTTATGAGTGACTCTTAATAAATACTTTATAAAACAGTAAAACGATTGTTGTGTGGCATGGATGTTGCAAGTATTTCTTCCGTCAGGCCCTGTGATGAAGGAGCACACGTGGGTTCGCACGCAAAACAAGCCTGTCCCCAACAATCCAGTCTGTAGTTGACCGGAGAAAGGCAACTACAGCCAGACACAACTCTCAGCCACTCCTAGCTGCAGCTCATGGGTCTCTCCTCATCCCTGCCCTTCGATGCAAACCCCCTCCCTCCCCCAACAGTGCAGTGACACGCTGTCATGAAATAAATGACCTGTCCCCCATTTTTAGTTTTGCTGCAGATTTCATGTTCACTCATGTAGGCCTGTTTTATGTCTAAGTTCTGAGGCCTGAATTTCCGATTAAGCAAAAGTCTGGCTGCACGGTGCAGCGGTGGCACACGTCCGAGGCTCAGACAGCAGCATCACTGGATGTTGCTGTTGTCTTCTGTGCCGTTGGCCTCTGACATATTCATCTTGCCCATGGAGTGACCTACGTGATTCACCCCATCCCTGCGGGGCGGCATGCGCTCATTGATGCGGTCTAAGCCCTTCGCCTCCTCAAAGCTGGTGATCTTGTGCTGGGGGGAGAACCCACGGATAGCTGAGGACGAGAAAACAAATGGAAAGGAGTTAGGATCTTGTAATGAGACAATCTTAGAACTTATGTGCACATCCCCTAATGCCGGCTTTCCACTGGACGTGTAAGTGGGTGTGTGTTTTTCCTGCAAGCTCTCTTCTCACCGGGAGTGTTTCAGATGTGAAACAGCAGCTAAAGTGTTCCACACAACTGGTCCAACAGTTCACGTGACAGTAGCGAGTAAAAAGATGGCAGCATGTATCCAGAAAGGTCTGTGCTTTATTTTCTGTTTAATTTACCCCGGCTACGTGGGTTCCATGCTTAATGGTGTTCTTTCCTTTACTAGTTAAAGGCATACTAAGCAACTTTTTTATAGAACGATTTTGAGCCAGTATGTGCTAAAATGACCCTTTACAGGGTAAATGAAAAATCTCTCGGTCCCCTTTGCCCTTCAGGAGCAGGACACCCCGTTTGCACCAGACTGCTGCCCTGAAGTCTCACAAAGTCACGCTTCACAACAATTCATGAGTAAAAGTGGCCACACTGGGAGTGAGAGCTCAGAGCATGGACGTAATTTTGGGGGGGACAGGGGGGACATGTCCCCCCCACTTTTTCCAAAGTCAAGTTTTGACCCCTGCACTTTTTACCATCCAAAACAACATTTCGCTATATTAAATTGACACTGGTTGAGCTCTAGGACCAAGCGGAAAACAACCATTTGTTTTGAAGCCTGTTTCCCATTAGAGCATACTGTAAAGACCCCCCGTGTCCCGCCCACTTCTAAAGGGAAAATTACGTCCATGGCTCAGAGACATGATTCCTGCATGTTTTACAACTTCAACACAACTGACTTCTGTATCTTAGTGATGAACTGCTTCTGTAGAAAATAAAAAGGGCAGAGGAGACATTTCAGCAATCAAGCCTGATTTATGCTTTTCCGTCAGCTCGAGTGTGGAGTCGTGCACTTGCTTTGATGAAAAGTTTTCCCTGCAGACTTCTCTGTCACCTGGGGAGGGTTGCAATGCAGTGTCCCGCCAGCGTCATTTGGAATTCTAGGATGTCCAAGGAAGGTCCCGCCTTTCTCACTGATTGGCTACAAGGGCTCTCCTACGATTGGCTATTTCATGTAAGAGGAAACTGCAGGTTTTTATGTTTACAGACAGATCTTGAGGAGTTTTTTGAAGAAAATGAAAAGTAATCGCTATAAAAAACATCCTTTCCTGATTTACAACAAAGCAGTTTCAGTTTCTTTCATAAAATAACCTGAAAAATGTCAAATGTGAACTTGTAATAAATTTAGCTGCGTTTTATCACACTGTAGACTGATGACTCTGTTGACTCTACTGGGGTTATCTTATTGCATAATTATTAGGCTATCCTATGTCTCCACTTAAATAGGTTGAGGCTGTTTACAAGTTGGAGCACATCTTTCATGATCAGATTAAATGTGTATCATTTAATCAAAAATTAAGGTAAAGCTGATTATGATTTTCACCTGTTCTCACCAGTTTTCATTATCCTACTAAATAAACAGACCTGATGCACACAGCTGGGCAGAATAGGGCAGTTTTATTAAACTTCAGACCCAGGTTACAGGACAAAATGATTATTATAACGCTAAGTTTACATTTTATTTACTAAATGCTCCAAAACAGCTTTCTGCTGGTAGCAGAAAGCTCCTCTCTGGTAGTCTGCACTTAGCGAGGACAGCCGGTTTGCTGCTAAAGGAAATAGCCAATCGTAGTAGAGCCGTTTTAGCCAATCAGAGGCAAGAAAGGCAGGATCTTCCTTGGACATCCTAGAATTCCAAATGCGTCCCGCCAGGACAACAGAGGGCGTAGCGCACTTATGAGGTATCCTGCCACTATTGCAGTCACAGATCTGGTCCACGATAGTGTATTTACTATTGTGTTTACATTGTTTTAATGTAATTCAGAGACTTGTAACATGGACAAACTTGTACCCCATTTTCCTCCACTTCTTCATGCGACCGGCACGTCTAAACCATCGACATATAAATACTGGACAATTCATTTCCATAGACTCCAATAACACGTTTTTGAGGCCAAATGGGAGGTGGCCACCACCGCCATTTTGACCATGTCACAGGTTCCGTCAAGCCCAGACAATTCCACAAAAGGGAAGAGAGGAGGAGCTGAAGGTGGGGCTGTAAGGCTGGGATCAACTGACGACACCCAGTCGAACTAGCTACAAGCTAACCTGAAGCTAACCCAAAGCTAATGCGGAGGTGGGAGCTAAGCTAACGGAGGTAGCAACCTAGCTACAACCGGAGTTAACTGTGCACAATACCAGAGCTTCTGAGTCAGAGGTACACCGGGCTGACTGCTGGGTAAAACCGGGTGGAACATAGAGGTCTACGAGAGCTCCACAAGCCGGCAGCCGCACAGCAGACAAGCGCCGCTGCGATTTGAGATGTGCAGAAATGCCGCTGGGGAGAACCGGGTGGAAAGGCTTCCATCCCAGAGCTCCACAAGCCGTCAGCCCGCGCAGCACACAGGAGCCGCGATCAGACAGAGATGCGCTGAGCTGCGGGGAGGCGAGAACGGGTGGAAAACATCGGTCTCCCGAGAGCTCCACAAGCCGATAGTCGGAACCCAGCTCCACCATCATGTTATATTTCAACCCATTTTCTAAAGTGCAGCATTATGTTAAATGCACTGGGTTTTACCCTATTACATTTAAATTTCATGGTTAAACAGTACATGTTAAAATCTAAGCTCAGCTCCGCAGTGACCTAAAATACATAAATATAATTTTACTTACCGAAAAAAATGAAGTGGAGACTCCTTGGACGCTCTATTAGTGCAATTAATACCACAGCAAGTCATTTTGTCCAACAATTTCACAAAAAATATCCAAAAAAGAACACACAAACATTGAGACTCAAAATCCCAGAGCAGTTCCCAAGCCAGACCGAGGCTCTACTGAGGCCTTTCCACGGAGCTAGCTCTGTGGTCACGTGGGTCTGATGCTCATTAATTATACAGAATTTTAGGCTTTTAATACACTTTAACAGAATAGTGAGAAAAAAATTCACCCCCCTCAGAGTTGTCATGAGTGTAAACTAGATCATTTAAACCAAAAACATGTTTTGGTACTCGGCTGTAAACATGTTTATTTCTGCTGTGAAATTGGTATTTTTAACACGGGAGTCAATGAGGATTTGCTCGCTTCTGAGACCAGCCCCCAGTGGATGAGGGTGGAACTGCAATTTTTCGTACTTCCGGGTTGGCCTCAATTTTAGAGCCGCATTGTGGGGGCTTGGTCTAAACCCACGTTTTCCTGTCATTTCCATCCACGAATAAAATGCTTGCTGTGTATCTTTGAACTCCTTCAGTCACAGGTGAATAAATGTTCATATTTTCGGCCTTTTTTGATCGGTTCCTTGTCAGCTGCTATCTTATTTTTTCAGGGGGCAATGGCAGTAATGTTGACAAATTTAAAGGTAGCAGCATCCTGACCAATCACAGGCTTGCGGTCTCCTTCACTTACGACAGATAGTTAAAAAGCTTGGTATGTCTAGGTCAGCCTCTGCGAGCCCTTCAGAGAGCCCTTGCGTGAGGCATGATGGCGTTGCGTGTATAGTATAGATTAGGTTTAAGATTAAATACAAGCTTATAGCACTAGATCAGGGGTCGGCAACCCGCGGCTCTGGAGCTGCATGCGGCTCTCTGTGCTTTTAAGATAATGAATTAATTTTTTATTAAAATGTATAATTTACTAAATTAATTTATTATCTATATGTCAATTCTGAATGTGAAGATTGTCTGTGTAAACCTGAACAGGTCCAACCCGGTCCCACGTAAGACCGGGTTGACAGGTCACCTGCTTGTGTGTAATCAAATGTCTCTATAGGCATTTTCTGAGCTGAAGAGGATATGAGATTCTGGACTTTTGCCTCAGACAGGCTCATGGATGCGTCACAGCGTCGCTGCCACATTGGAGACAGGAACAAGTGCTATTCAGCCAAAGTTTCATAATCAGGGAACATTTTCTGAGTGACAAGTCTCTCTGAGAGACAGGGTTTGGAAAACACTCCCTTCAGTCAGAGGAATCTTCCCACTTGTGCTCTGGTTCTTCTGCTGCCTGTGACCAACGCGCTCCAAGCCCCTCACATCTTTAGCTCGCTGTCCACCTTACGTGTGCGCTGACAGTGAGCTGCGCTGAGCTCAGTGTCCAGTAGTTTGCTAAGATGTTCTTTTCTGACTCACAGTGATGCAGGAGACTGTTCTGTTCTGGTCCTGATGGACCTGACTGCAGCCACCGCCGACCGTCACCTGCTACTGGAGAAGCTGAGAGACTGGGTAGGCCTATCAAGCCCTGGGGTCTCATTTATAAAACATTACGTAGAATCCTTACTAAAACCGTACTTAAGCTCAGACAGAAAAATGTACTTACGCCAAGTAGGTTTGTGATTTATAAAACATGGAGTACGCACAGCTTCACGCAATCTCCGCGATATAAATCAGAAACTTCCTAGGAATGTGTTCAGATGTTTTTTGATCACATCCCGCCCTCAACACGCCCACTTTCTGCCATAAATGGTCGCTGCAAAGTGCCTTGTGGATTTATGCATATGCAGAAGCCTGCTCGTTGCAGCATTCCACCATTAACGATGGCGACCACAGATCAAGGAAGCGCAGTATCGCCGAAGCAGAAATTGAGGTACTTGTGGGTGAGGTGGAAAAATGAAAGGAAGTGCTTTTGCAAAACAAATAAGAGAAAATCCACGGAGTGGCACAGCGTTTCTGAAGCCATCAATGCTGTGAGTTCTTCAGAGAGATCTGTGGCAGATATAAAATAAATGGTCTGATCTGAAGGTGGAGGCAAAAAAAAAAGGATGCTTTGCCACCGCCCGTGTGTGTGGCACCTCGGATCCCCCACCGCTCGCCTTTAGGATATCAACAGCACTCGGACCGGCAAGCGTGCATGGAGAAGGAGGGAGACTGGTAATGTTTAAGCCTTTCATTAATACAGATCTAATGTGTCCGTCATTAAAATATAAAGCAAAATCAAATCTCATTGTGTCCCCGCCAGCTTGTTCTGTGTGCGCACAAAGCGGTACAAGTGATAATGCTGCTGGAATTCATAATTGTTTCCTTCTCAGCAGCAGCACTGCAGGTGCTCTCCATGTCCAAAATGTGCGTAAGCAAGGTCCTTGGTCAACTTAAAGTTAGGCACATTTTTCCGCTACATTTTATAAATCCCAAAGTTTGCGTGGAAAGTTGCTCACGCAGTTTTCCAACCTTGTTTTGTGTGTAAGCAAGCTTGATAAATGAGGCCCCTGCTCTGAAGTGGTTCTCTGGATATTTGTCTGAGCGTTCTTTCTCTGTGGCCGTCTCCAAGTTTAGGTCAGCTTCCTCACCCACGGTGTCCCACAAGGTTCTGTGCTGGGGCCATTACTCTTCCTCCTCTATCTGCTTCCTCTTCAGCACATCTTGAGCTCCTTTAAAAGAATCTCCTACCATCTTTATGCAGATGACATCCAACTGTACATCTCCTTTAAGCCCCATGAGATGTCTAAGCTGCAGTTGTTACACACCTGCTTAGACTCTATCAGCCTGGATGGCTGGGAGCTTTCTTCAGCTGAATGAAGATAAGACTGAGATCCTCATCTGTGCCCCAGACAAGCTGGTTCCCAAAGTCAGATTCTCTCTTAGTCAGCTTGCTTCTCACACCAAACCTTCTGTCAGCAATCTTGGTGTGACCTTTGACCCAGCTCTCACCCTGGATTCTCATGTCAGTTCTCTTGTTCGCTCTTCCTTCTTCCATCTCAGGAGCTTTGCTAAGCTGAGTCCCATTCTGTCCCGCTCTGAACTTGATACAGTTCTCCACGCCTTCATCTTCTCACGCTTAGACTACTGTAACTCTCTTTTCACGTGTCTGAGCAGAACCTCCCTGAACCGTCTACAGGTGGTTCAGAATGCTTGTGCTCGGCTTCTGACCAAGTCCTCCAAACACACCCACGTCACCCCGCTTCTCCTCCAGCTTCACTGGCTGCCAGTCAACTTCAGGGTTCATTTCAAGATCCTGGTTCTGGTCTATAGGGCCTTACATGGACAAGCACCATCTTACATTGGTGATCTTCTTAGTCCCTACATCCCCAGCAGGTCCCTGAGGTCCAGTGATCAAAGCCTACTGGTTGTGCAGCACCAGACTAAAGACCAAAGGTGACAGATCATTTGCTGCTGTGGCCCCCAGACTCTGGAATTCTCTCTCCCCCTGAGCCTGAGATCAGTGGACTCAGTGGACTCCTTTTAAAAAAAGAATCTCAAGCTGGCTTTTGCATGACCTTCATCACTATCCTCTCCTTTTCCTGCTCTTATTCCACCTTTCCCGGGATCAACTAATTTCCCTCTTTCCTATTCATTTTTATTCATTTGTTTTGAAAGTTTACAGATGATTTACACTTTTTTATGTTTGGCTTCCTGTCTGGCCTTAACTGCTGAGCTTAACACATCCTGGAAGTGTAAATATAGTGAAGCAACACGTCCCTACGTTCTGGGACACCTCCAAAATGTCATGCCTCCACAACGACAGCTAACTGTTGCAAACTATGCTTCACGAACATTATGCAACACTTATGTGTTCAGTGGAAAGGCCAGGTAAAGTACCTAAATCTATAAAGATTTCTAATGACAAACGTAAAAATTAAATGTTTCAAATGTCAAGTTGACCGATTAGCATTCCTCCTTTAAAATTCACACACCAGGATCCACTTGAAACTACGTTGATGATAATTCTGTAATCTTATGGCTTACATGTTTATGTGCTTGGGTTATTTCCTATTTTATAAACTGTTCAAACATGTAAGGAAGAACAAACTAAATTCAGCCACAAAACACTTTAAACTTACTATTTGGTTGATGCAGGATTACATTTCTACTTCTATAAATGAAGATGTGCATGAGGGAAAAAAATACTGCAGATTTTTAGCTTTTACATTACAAGATGCATATTTCATGTTGATGCTCTGGTCCTGTTCTTGTGCATGCAACGCTTTTTAGAGCCAGATGGAGGCCATTTACAAGCCAAACCCAAAACAATGTTCCTTAGTCATGCATCTCAGAGCAGCACTCCACTTTGCAACGGTTTTAATTTATAATGAATCTTCCTTGAGACGTTCAAATGTTGCATCTTTATTTTATTGCTTGCCATGGCAATGCAAAAGGTGGGCCATATTGTTTTTGCCTGTGTGTGTGTGTGAATGTAAGCTCTAAAGCAACAATATATAAAGAGAGGTGGGAGAAGGAAGCACCGGTTTACCTTCTCTGTCCTCATCATGCGGCTCGATGGCTTCAATGGCTTCAATGGTGGCTGAAGGGGGAGGAGGAGGGGAGCAGGTTACTCCTGATAAAGCCATGCAAATGCATCATGCAGCCCCAGGGAGAAGGCAACTCATGTTTTGGCCTGATGAGCTGAACATGTTCATTGTCACTGAAGCCAAAGTCAGAGGAGCGCCATGCACTAATATTGATTGAATTAGTGTCAGTCTGGGGTTAGAAAATTCATTTAAAAAGTAACAAAGATCGATCCACAAAGACTGACAGAGATATGAGACAATGAAGAATGATGGGATGAGATGAGCGACAGGTTTAAAATCTACTCTAACTACTGAGATGTCCTAGTTTTGTGCAGGTGGAAGACCCTGATCCTTCCCAGATTTCAAGGTTTTTAATGAGGTAAATTGATGTAGCTGTTGTTTAAACAACAAATTATTTCCAAATGTTCAGGAAAGAAGCTTAAATGCTTTATGTGGTACAGCGGTGCCCAACATTTATGCCACCTAGACCAAAATCACACAAAAGCACCCGCAGCACACCAATAATTTAATTTTAAGAGAAGAAAAGTTACTGTGGTTTTTTAAAATTAATTTTACCTGTTGAACAATTAAGCAAATGTGCATTTTTAATGAAAAAGAGCAAATTATTGTGACTTTAGAAAGAGGATCTATAAATCACTTGCCTGCAGTCATGCGCAGCATTAAATCACCACAAAGCCCCATGCAACACTTTGGACGCCCTTCATTTAGCAGCATCCTGTTATAAATGACTGAAAAGTGGCCTGCACCTGTAATAATCATTCATATTCAAGGTCACATTATATTAGAATGCCTATTGTCCCTAAAAAGTAAGTCAGACTTTTTTTCATTGATTTTTTCTTGGAGTGGACATCCAAGAGTAAACATCCTCTCCAACTTTGTTATTGTTTTCTGAACACGGCGTTTTCCAAAACATTTCTGATGATTTGGCAGTGCCTCCAGACACAAACACCTCCCTAGGAGCTGGACACAATCAATAATTCACCGTCTGCTGCTCTGGCACGTTTCAGACGTTAGCTGACCAATCAGAGCTGATAGGGTCTCGCCTGCAGAAACTCAGACCAAACCAAAGTCCAGGTCAAAGACGGCTCAAATGATATCTTAATCTAATCAACCTGGAAAAGCAGATCCCATTGGTGTCAAACTCCTTTGTTTCAGTAGATTTGAAAAGACAGAAGAGAAACAGACGTATTTTGGTTTTAAAATGACAATAAAAAAGCCGTATGCAAGCAGTGCGAGAGATCAGGGGCTAGTTTTAGGAATACTAAACTCAATATGATGTGGAAAACTGACATCTGAGTTCACTGAGAATGTTTTGCAGTTTTTTGCCACCAGGAGGCGGGAAATAAAAGCCTGTATGTTGGCTGTTCTTCATTTAAGATAGCGAAGAAAGTCCCTCTGAGATTAATAAAGTATCTTTGAATTGAATTGAATTGAATTGAATTGAATTGAAGAGCTAAGGGGAGAAATCAGACTAGAGGTAGAAGTGAGAATGATGATGAGAAACAGAAACAACCACAAAGGGAGCGAATACCAGAGAAAAAGGCTCAGACTCACCACTCTGCAGGGTCTGTCTGCCTCCAGAGAGAACCCCACTTGGCAGCATGCCAGTGGGCGTCAGGCCCTTAAGCGTCAACACATTTTCACTCTCCTCTCTGCAGGAAGAACACAAACCAGCAAACGGGTCAGAAAACGACGCCGAGTCCTGATCGGACTGGAGAAAAATACTCTGACCCAACTTCACCTCAAACACGCCACCGACTGTTTCAGAATTCAAAACATCCTGTGGTCACATTTAAATTTACAGCCATTAAAATCAATACGACCTACCTGAGAACGGAGAACATTTTAGCCATTTTTCCAATCGCACGGATCTTGTTTTTGATCACTTCCTTACGGGCTGCGGCTGCATTTGCTGAAAACACAATCAGATACGATCACTGCAAACCTCAGATCAATGGTGCCCCCAAAGGGGGCTACCCCTAGAAAATTGCAACATTTGAATTAACTAAATTGCATTTTTCTGAAATGTTTGTGTTTGTAAATGTTTTAGATACATACTGTTTAATAAAATGAATAAAAAAAAAAAACGAATAAAGAAGCAATGCAACACATCGTCACAGGCTAAACTCTCCCAAAGTTACCACAAGGACCAATTTGGTGTGCCACTCCAAAAATTTCTTTGGCCCCGTCTGGCCACCCCTATCAAAATTTTCTAGAGACGGCCCTGCCTCAGAGGTGCAGAACAGTTATGTTATTAAGATTTTTCAAGCACTAGATGCAAACTGTTGACCAAATGACATGAAATAACACATATATGTCTTGTTCTGTTGCTAAAATTAAATATCCAACTTATAAGTTAAGAATCACAACAAATCGACACGTGGAAAGTGTGCTTTTAAAGTGTATTTTGATTTTTTTGTCAGGATGATGTCTTTACATAGAGGGGGCGGGGCATAAACTAGTTTGCTGGAACCAGCCACTAAGGGGAGCTTGTTTTGTCCTAGCTCCAAATTCTGGGCTTGATTTGATGCCTAGGTATAATACATGTGTTCATGTAATCTTTAAAGGTGGAATATGGAACATGAACACCAAAAGCGGCATCTAGTGCATGGAGGTTGTAGTTGCAACAGTAGAACAAGGTTTGCTGCCCGTAAGTGAACTGTTTTCAGAAACAGCTGCTTGACTTGTCAAGTCCGCCATTTTCCACACGTCTAGCCTTGCTGTGCAACGGTGCCCTCTACTGGCTGGTAGATATAAACACAAACCCAGTGTAGCACCATCAAAATAAATATTTGATTATTATTTAATTAAAATACAGCTTTTAAAGGAAACACTGTACCTTCATCCTGCACACCTCTAAACCTCTTTCCCATTCTCCTTACAGGTATTATTTTTTAAACCATATAGCTTTTTATTAAATTGTTCCATGATCAACCTTGAAGAGACATTTTAAAGCAGATATTTAATTAAAAAGAAACAGTTAGCTTGCTTTACAGAACACCTGTAAACAAAATGAGCTCGGAATAAAAAAGATGATCCTCTTTGAACAGTTCTAAGTATAAAGTTACCTCTAATTGTGAAGAATTGGTTTTCAAGTGCTGTGAATACATGTGTCTAACAGGCAATGTGGTGCATGAAGGGAGCCCCTTACCATCAAAAATCTCATCTTCATCATTCATGAGTTCATCATCGGAGCAGATGCTCAGCACATTCACCAGCATTTCTGTGACTGTGGAGGAAAAGGTGTGAGGAAACAGGTAGTCGCGGCGCCGCGCGGCGTGGAGCTCACACACCAAAAGTCCTGAAGTGACGTCTTACCTTTCTCTCCAACAAACGGCAGGGACCAAGTGAAGACGTCCATGAAATTGGGCAGCCAGTAGGGATGTGGTGAGCAGTTGAATTGTCGAATGTTCATGACATTATTTTCATATTTCAGTACAGCAGCTGTTGGGGAAAGCAGAAAACAGGGGAGCTCTGCATCAATCAGACACCTAAATAACAAGACTCACGCTTAAAACTAAAGCTTTAAGTAGATTTATTCAAAATTAGGCAGGGAAATATGCAAACTTAGACCAGAGGTGGATAGAATTATTAGCTTATCTGATAAACTCAAGACTGTAAAGGGTTGCAAACACCAAATAGCCTTTAATAGCGTCATGATAATGAGGAAAAACCTCATTTAAAGGGATCTTCTGGCTTTTTTGTAATTTGTTTTTGTGTATAAATAATAAATGATTAGTATTTTCTTGTGTAAGGCTTCCTGACGACCATACGTTTGGAAAACATGGGCTGATGAACTGTGAGATGTTTTGTTGTTGACAGAAAGAGAAAGTATAGTGTTCCACCACTAGGTGGCGTGGCTGAAGCCAGGCTTCACTGACACTGTTATATCAGGAGGCATAAAGCCACATGGAGATAGTCAGCAATGCTGACAGTCCCTCCCACGCTCCCCATCTCCCAGAGCCCATGGCAACCAAGACACAGATCTGAGAACACAAACAAACCAGGGCTCCCTGATGCCTTCTTGCGTCCGCTCACGGCTAAACGCACTTTAGCTCGCAATGCTGCAAAAACATTCTCACCAATAAGTAAAAGAAACCTAGGGAATCAGTTCCCACCAGTCTTACAGGCTTTCCCTTTAATGCTGCACATGTATGCATGTGTGTTATTGGACCAGCTTCATAAAACTGTCAACAACGCTGCTGCAGATGTTAACTGAATGTCTTACTATATTAGGTATTTTAACACTTTAAAACAGTAATTCAGTGCATAAAAGTGATATTCTTACCCTGTACTGTGATATAATTTAGCAATATGTCAATTTATTTATTTTTTGCTATGCTTGCCCCCGTCCCGTAGAGCCCTGTGCAATTTTAAGTGAGTGCTACTCAGCATTAGCCAATAGCGTTAAACATCTGCTTGTCAATCACCGAGCAGGTGCAGAAGCACCGGGACCAGGTGTGTAGGAGCAAGGGAACAGCTAACATGGTAGCCCTCGAGTTGGTGACCCCTGACCTAGACTGATACAGATTGGCGACCTTTCTTCTGGACAAGTACTCTTTTAAAACACGTTTGAATAAACAGCACAACATGAGAATAATAAAAACGGCATGTTTTATCTCTGTAGCCTGGCTAGAGGTAGATGCATGAGAGGTGTTGCTTCAAGCTGGAATCACAGAAGTAGGGTGAGGGGCTTGAGGTGCAATACATCTTCTCTGCCTCTAGATGGTGCCCTCTCAAAACAAAAACCTGAATTTCTGCTTCTATAACATTAGTGACCTTGCTGTAATCCTATAAATTACATTATAGGTGACTATAATAGCTTCCTTAAACAGCAAATCACTGAGAAACTGAGGATTCTGCTGACAATGACGATATAACGGTGATGACCTCAGTTTGGAGAAACGGAGATGAGTTCTCACTGAACAAATAACCGTACAGCTGATCACCACCCTGCCATCTGTACCTCGTGGTTTCACGTGCATTTCTAATTTAACCTGCTATTTGGGAACAGAAGGGCCCTAATCCTCGTTCGAACAATTAATAAGTCAAAAATTATAAACACTTTTCTTAAATTAAATATTTAGAAAAATGTTTAAACTTTCACTTTTTTAATCAATGATTACAAGATAAAGCAATTATTATTATTATTATTATTATTATTATTATTATTATTATTATTATTACAATAATAGACAAAGAAGCCTCACCTGAACATGTGTAGGTCTCAGGTTAAAAAACTTTAATAATTTATTCATTCATTTAAAAAATGTCTGTCAGTTTAAGCATGAATGTCATGAAATTTCATTTAAAGTTGTTTTAAGATGGCAGCATTCCATTTTGAAGCTAACCTCACTGAGGCAATCTGGTCATAGCTAATCTTTATTTCTCCATACTTTGGTTGTTCAAAGAACTAACCACAACAGGTAAGAAGTAACTTGTTCATTATCTTTTCATCCAATTCTAAACATCTGATCTGCTGCTTTCATTTTCAAAGTACATCAGAGATTTGTGCCAAACCATGAAGGCATGAATTAAAAGCAAAAGGCAGAGAGGTTTTCTGACCTTTGTTGTTGTAAACATCCAGGTAGTTTGGAGCTGAGAAGATGGTGATGAGGGACGGGAACCCAGTGGTCTGACTCTTACGGTACATCCGGTAGCTTCAGAGCAGGTGGGCAGAAACAGTCACAGCGTTTTTAAATACATGTTAGTTTTAGCCAGTAGGTGTGTTTCTTCTTCCTGTGCAACAGAGACAACTTACCCAGCATCTTGTGCTTCGTGTGCTCGGATTATTGATAATAAGTTATTGCTCTGTAGGAACTCACAAACCGCAGGATAACTGGAAAAGAGTAGCAAGAAACTGTGTTATGGGACTTGATTGGAGCCTGGAATTAGAAGAGGCAGCTTCATAAAGAGGCCAAGGAGAACGTTTTATCACTTGTTCTTAAATAGCAGGTCACTAATTTCATTCATGGTTTCACACACTGAAAAATGAAACATGATTTTTAACTCATTAATATATGCAGAAGCTGCATGTTGAGGGTGACGCAAGGGTGTGAAAAACCAATCCAACCTCCACCTGGGGCGATAAAAAACAAACTACCCCTGAAAGCAGCACTCAGAGCTTCCTGCCCTCCAGCTCTAACCTGACAGGAAATGGGCCTGAAAAGAAATGGAGCCCACCAGCTTCACAAAGCAGGAAAGAAAAACATCCTCATGATGTATCCAGTGCATCTTCTGCAATTCTGCAGTCTGGACATGCACATCTGTTTATATAATAGTTGATAAAAACATTCTGTGTAAAAATCTATTTACTATAAATACACTTTTATGTACTGCGATGGACTGGCACTCTGTCCAGAGTGTACCCCTCCTGATTGCCCATTGAACGCTGGAGATAGGCACCAGTCCCCCCACGACCCTACATGGACAAGCGGGTTCAGACAATAGATGGATGGATGGAAACTTTTATGTATGCAGTATATTTGAGTTTCTACCCTTAAACCCTGCCACAAAGAGACTGCATCCATCCTTTTATAAACTCATAAAACCTTTTGTACACACGCTTACCTCACATAAGCTGAGAAAAACACAACAACACAGCAGCAACCACACATGCATTGTAAAATCTAACTTAGTTCATTCATTAAAAAAATACATGCAAACCGATTGCACTTAAAGGCCCCGTGTGTGAAATCCATTGAAATCATGATGAAAAAATGTGACTCTTTAGCGCCTTGCAGGTCAGAGAAAGTATTGCAGCTACGATTGCTCACTCATGAGTTTGATGTGCATTATCAATTCCAACCTGTGTAGCCTAGCCCACACAAAGCTTAAAACAAGCTACTCGACCTTTTTAAAAAAGTATTTATAATTATGACTGTTTATCAACCTACCAGTCCTGAAGGAGGCAAGCTAGTTCTGTTATTGAAGCGGTCACGATTATCATAAGGAGGAGGGGTGACGTCAGCCGGGAGGTCAGGTGTTGTGAGAAATTTTGTTTCCCTGAAATATTCTGGTACCGGGTCGGGAGTTCTGGTGCTAGGAAAAGACGGATGAACAACTTGAGGTGAGTTTGGGAGTCAGAGACACTGATCAGAGGCTAGCGTCCAGATAATAGCGGGCGGGGGTCTGAACATATGCGGTTTCCTTGGGTTGGACATGATGACGAACTGACAAATTTTACGTGTCTTTTGATTAAATTTTTTATTCAAACTAACAAGTACAGCAATGGTGTAGCTATTATTTTGTATTCATTAGTTCAATTAGCAGACTCCATGCTTCCAGGGTGCACTGCTGCCCTCTAGTGGTTCTTTCAGGCTACAGTCATAGTCCAAACGGGTAATGGGCTCGACACACGGGAGGCGACATCGCCTCTCCTCCATTCATTTTCAATGAAACATGCGCGACAAAGTGATAATCGCGGGTCTCCCAAAGTGAAACGCAAAAAATGTGCGTGTGAAATTTAGCGCTCGTGCACGTGTCGTGCACAGGCGACCCAGTGGCACGATCCCAGAAAGTTGAAATATTTTCAACTTTTCATCGCTGTCGCTCGGACGAGGACCAATCAACGGAGGTTTCATTCACTGACCAATGAGCGGGCAGGATGCTCCGTACATCTCCTAGCAAACATGGAGGAGAAATTGATTATTATTATGTTTTATATAGTAAAATCAGAAGTAAGATTTCACATAACTCTAGCAGCACCTTGTGAAACATCATATCTACCACTTTATTAACTCTGAAATAACCTTAATTCCCTCCAGCCTGACACAGCCAAACAAAACAAAGGGAGTTTCGATTTCGCCATGGAACAGAACGCGTAGACTGCTTTGCCGCTGGCCGCTGCCGCGGGTCGCCTCCTGTGTGTCAGGCAATAAAAGCGACAACGACGAATTTCGCTGATGGCGGTTGTTTGTCGCCTCCTGTGTGTCGAGCCCCTAACGTGGAGCTTGTATGTCCCTAAACAGCTACTATATTTTAAGATGGTGGATGACCATGGAGGGTCGACCACAGTTTACGTGTTTAAAAATGTATAACTTCAAGTTGAGAGGAATATTTAGAATTCTTTTTGGTGAGAAATATTAGTGAAAAAGAATAAGTTTGTGAACTGGAAACACAGGATTTGATAAAAAGGTAAACATATCACACACTGGGCCTTTAAAATAATTAGCACACAGTATTAATTCAAGTTTATTTATAGCGCCAAATCACGACAAGAGTCGTCTCAAGGCACTTCACATAATTAAATATTCCAGTACAAGTCAGTTAATTAAGCCAATCAGAAAAAAGTTTCCCATATAAGGAACCCACCAAATTGCATCAAGTATTATATTATTATTATTTATAGCAATCATCATATTAAGCAAGCATTTAGCGACATTAGAGAGGAAAACTCCCTTTTAACAGGAAGAAACCTCCAGAGGATCCTGGCTCAGTGTAAGCAGCCATCCACCATGACTCACTGGGGATGGAGAAGACAGAGCAGACACACACACACACACACACACACACACACACACACACACACACACACACACACACACACACACACACACACACACACACACACACACACACACACACACACACACACACACACACACAGCATATATACCAAGTAGTAAACTTTATTGTATTTATCCTAGTGATTCTATAATTAAAAGGGTAAACATTCAATGTCAAAGAAAGTAAAATGTTATCATCAGGAGAGGGAGAATGTTTAAATGGTTAGGTAACTACTGCGTGACCTTTCATTAACCCTGTAAAGTGTCATTTTAGCACAAACTGGCTCAAGAACATGATTTAAAAATATGAAACAGTTGAAAACTTCATGGTTTTGAAGTTTGCAGATGACACCGCCATAGTGGGTCTCATAACAAACAATGATGAGACCCTCTACAAAGAGGAGATACAGCACCTCACTCAGTGGTGTTCTTTGAACAACCTGGTGCTCAACACCAGTAAGACCAAGGAGGTCATAGTGGACTTCAGGAGGCCCAACAGGTCAGAGCACCCACCTCTACTCATTTGGGGGGAGCTAGTAGAGTGTGCGGACAACATCAAATTCCTGGGCATCCACATCACCTCAGATCTAACCTGGTCACTGAACACATCCTTTCTGGTAAAGAAGGCCCAACAAAGACTCTTCTTCCTTAGGAAACTGAAGGGAGCCGGTCTCTCCCCCCACCTGCTAAAAAACTTCTACAGAGCCACGATTGAGAGCATCCTATTACTCAGTATGACGATGTGGTATGGGAGCTGTACCGTCCAGGACAAAAAAGACCTGGCCAGGGTGGTGAAAACTGCTCAGTGGATCATGGGGAGCCCACTACCAGATCTGGACTCATTTTATACCATCCGACTTCAAAGGAAAGCTAACCGTATCGCTGCTGATTCCTTCCATCCAGGTCACAAACTGTTTATGCCGCTACCATCCAGGAAACGTTACAGGAATGTCAAGGCCACAACCACCAGGCTGAGGAACAGCTTCTTCCCTAGAGCTGATAAAGCCATCAACCCTTCCCACCCCCCACCCACCCGTGATCCTGCTCCCACCTCTGTGACCCTGCAGATACCTACACTCCCAACCAATGACCCATGACACTATTAGACTTTTAATGATGGGTTGGTTGTAATTTACAATGATCCTGTTTTTTCATGCTGCTATTGTCCTGTTCACACTTGAATCTTCTATGTGCAATAACAAGTAGTGCAATAGTATCAATCAACATGTCGATCAGTACGATCAGAATGTCAGTCAGCACAACATTTATCTTTTATATCCTTTAAATTATTTAGCTTTTTTACTCATTTTACTAGTGTGTGTATGGCTCCCTAAAGGGAAGGTTATGTATTGTTCTTTTGTTTTACTCTTCGTGTTTTTATCATTCTATTTGTGGTCTTAGTCCAAATGTTGTTATGCGTATGCATGATGGCAATAAAGAATTCAATTCAAAAGCATCCCTTTAAGCGCGGCAATAAACATGATTGAACGTTTTAAAAGTTTTTCAGTAAAAAACATTAAAAATATTAGAAAAAATTCTATCCAATGTCAAAAGTCCTTCATCTCCTTTATCTTTTTAAAAGAGCTCCTAACCAAACATGTTTTAGGTTATAAGTAAGGAAACACTTTTTATACTCAACATGTTCTTCGACAATATCAGATCAAAATGTTATCCAGGGGTGTTCGTAATGTTTTGGTTCACCTCAATTTAGACTTTACTATAAACAACATTGGTATTATTTATATTTGTGAGTTACCTTCGGCTGAGATACATAAAATACTCTGAAAAGTTTATGCTGGACCTGCTGGCTCTGACGGTTTCTAACATTCCTGCTCCTATCCCAGAGTTGTCCTCCATGTTTTTTGATCCTGCCCTGACAGACAATGAGCTGCCCCACAGAGACTGATGACAAAAACCACACAACTCACAGCCTGTCGGTTTGGATCAGAACTGCAAGGCCACAAATCAGAAAAGGGGCCGATATAGTGGCAGAGACTGTTTTTGAAGAAAAAAAAACTTGAGTGATTTATTTCTAAACAGAAGACATCAGTCTTGTGTCACACCGGAGGGAGAAACAATGTCCTTCAGGCTTTCTGCTGCTGTAGGCTACCATGTAGTGTTTTATTAGGCCATCCTCTGTTATCCTGGATCTGCATGAAAGTCTGAAGGGAACACTCGTTCTATGAGCTGCTTTTAATAGATTATTTATTTTTAAACTTCACTGCAAATTATGTTTTAGTGTAATATTCTATAACTGTGAGAAATAACATGCTAAATTAAATCTCATTATTATTGAAAGAGTCAAACTTGTTTTTTTTTTCTATATAATCAA